TTATCTTTAAAGATTAAGTTTAGTTAGTTAAAAAGTCTATTAACTATAAACTCTAGACTTCTCTTAGTATACTTAATCTATAGATAGATTACTTATACTACTTTACTTATTAGATAACTAAACCTATACTAGACTTAGTATTCTAGGTCTTTAATTATAGCCCTATTAATTATAAGTTTCGCTTTAAGCTTACTTATCTATTAAGTATATAGAGTCTTATCTTTACTATTAAACTTCTCTATATCTAGTAAGCTAGCCTTCGGCTTTCTAGCTTCTTATACCTCTATAAGAGAAGAAGTAAGTTATTAATTAAATATTATAACTAGAAAGAGAGGTATAGCTAGAATCTATAGCTAAAGTCTAGCTAGAGCTTCTAAGATATTCTTTATCTAGATATTAAGTCGTTAAGCTATAGTAATCTAGACTTACTCCGCGGCTTATTATACTTATTCTATACTTACAACCTATACTACTAGCTCTTTAATCTAACTCTTACTTAACTAGTTACTTACTACTAGCTAATTAAAGATAGTTTAAATATTATTCTCTATAAGTAATAGTACTACTAGTTCTTCTAAAGAGCCTTCTCTTATATTACCTTCTATATTATATATTCTTCTATCTATTACTTCTTTATTACTATTATAGTAACTATCTATAAATCTATAAAAACTCTCTAATAAACTCTTTAATATTTACTACTATAAAGTCTTTTCTTCTATTATCTAAGATTCTTAGATAAGTAAATAACTTTTAAGTAAAAACTCTAATTTTACTAAATTTACTATATAATCTCGATAACTTTATAATTTAGAGTTTTCTTACTCTATTTATATTCTAAGTTATATACTAGCTACTTAAATATTATACTATTATCTAATAGATTAATTAAGCTCTTTACTTAATTATTATTATTAAGTATAAAGTACTATTATAGTTTCTATATTTCTAGTTTAGATATTTCTAAACTTATATACTATTATACGTTCTCTAATTATAAGATAAGAGTAAGTAATTTAATTATTATAGACTAAGTCTTTAGTTAAAGTAGTAGAGTTATTTATAATAGTTTATAATTACTAAGAAAGTAAGAGAGAGATAGAGCTATAGCTCTCTATATATATATATTATAAGCGAGGTAGATTATATATATATATATAACTCTAGTATAGGTAATACTAAGTACTACTTTTAGGTCTAACTTATTATAGAAGATATTAGTAATTATTAGATACTTAGAAGAGTAGAAAGTAGAACTTAAGAGTATTTATAAGTTTAAGATTAAAATAGACTATAAGAACCTAGAATACTTTATAATAGTAAAGAAGTTAATAAAAAGATAAGTAAAATAGTTTCTTAAGCTATTCTAGTTTAACTTTAAGCTCTTATATATTCTAGGTAAAAATAATAAGTAAGTAGATACTCTATTAAGAAGAGATTAGAATATACTATAAGTAGATACTCTATTAAGAAGAGATTAGAATATACTATAAGAAGACTTAGATAAGAGACTCTAGGCTAAGACTCTATAACTTCTAAAACTAGAGATCTTTATAAAGTTACTAAAGAATATTATTAAGGTTACCTATAAGATATAAGTAAAACTAGTAATATAAAGCTATTATAGAGTTAAAGAAGAAACTATAATAATAATAATATTAAAGCTAACTATAGATAAATTAGATAATACTAGTAGTATCTTAGATATTTCTAGATAAGACGATTCTAAAGACTTAATTCTAGTAAATAAGACTTCTAATAAAAAAGAAGTTTCTTTTAGTCTAAATAGAACTCTAGAAAATAAGATAAGAAAATTTCTAGCTAAGATTAAGCTATAAATATTAATAAATAAGTACTCTCTTTTTAGTATAAGAAAATTATAGTTCTATAAAAGACGTTAGATATCTAATTCTAAAAAGCTTAAAATAAAGTTAATTTAGTAAGTATATAATTTAATTATCTATAGATACCTAGAATAGAAGACTACTAATACTATTATTATAAGATAGTTCTTTTAGCTAAAGATATTAAAGTAAGTAAGAAGGTTTATAAGAAACTATAATATCTATAGAAGAAATAAAGCTTAGAGAGATAGATAGTAAGAATTCCTTAAACTACTCTTAGTTCTTAGTCGACCTTAGTAAGAGATATTAGTTAACTTTATTAATAAGCTTCTTAAAAGTAATAGTTATATAAATATTATAATAGTAATAGATAGACTAATAAAAAGAGTTATATTTTAACTATTAGATAATATTATAGCTAAAAGAGTTACTAGTTAGTTTATAACTACTTATTACTAATAATATAAGTTACTAAAGACTATTATCTTAGATAGAGAAACTTAGTTTATAAGCTCTTTATAGAGATAGGTTTATTAAGAGCTAAAGATTCTATAAAGACTCTCTATAGTATTTAATCTAAAAACTAATAAGTCTATTAAAAGAATAAACTAAAACGTTAAAGTCTATATTAGAAGCTTTATAGATTTTAATTAGAAAAAGTAAGTATAGCTACTAGTATATATAGAACTTATAATTAATAATATAGATTTAGTCTTTATAGAAGTAGTCTATTCTTTTTATATTATAGTTACTATATTAAGCTTCTTTAGTTTAATAAGAAAATTACTATAAATAAAGATACTCTATAGTCGCTAATTTAGAAGACTAATACTATTCTAAAGAAACTAAAAGATATATAAGATTTCGCTTAAGTAGTAATAGCTATTACTTAGTAGAATATAGAAAACTAGATAAATAAATAGAGAAGTTAATTCTCTACTTTTAAGAAAAATAATAAACTATAGTTAAATTTAAGAAATATAAAGATAAATTATTTAAGTAAGAAACTAGATATAAAGTATACTAAATTTATAGTCTTAGAAACTATAGATATATACTTCTATTAGTTAGATATACTACTTAGAGTATATAATATCTTCTATAATAAACTCTTATAACTAGTAGTAATAGACTTATTACTAAGTTAGATTTAAGATAATAGTTAATTATAACTAAGTCTAGTTACTAATAAAGATTACTATAAAGTAGATAAGATCTTAGATAAAAAGTAAGGTAAAGAAGAAAGTATATATATTCTTATTAAATAAATAGATTATATATAACTAATATAGAAATAAAGAGTAGAAATAAAGAAACTAGCTACTCTAGACGTCTAGAATAATAAAGTTAGTAAAAGACTAGTAGTCTTAATATAATTAAAAGAATACTCTTAGTTAAAAAGATAACTAAGTATTTAAGAGAATAAAATATAATAGAAAATATAAAATAGTATTAGTAAGATAAAACTATTACTAGAAATAAGATAAAAAGATAAACTAATATCTCTAAATAATTACTTCTTTAGAGATATTAGTTTATAATAAAAAGATTACTTAATTATATTAATTAAGTATAATATAGAAATAAGTAGAGTTAAGGTTTAGCTAAGTAATAGTTAATTTAGTCTTAATAGTTTTAGACTTAATTTATAAGCTTTTAAGCTATAAATTAGAGTTATATAAGACGTAATAAAGAAGAGAGCCTCTATAGATAGAGAAGAGAGGTATTATAATAAGTTAGATCTAAAGGTAGTACTTAGTATAGTCTATACTAGAGTTATATATATATATATATATAACTTACCTTACTTACCTTATCTATATATAAGAAGCTATAGCTCTATCTCTCTTTCTTTCTTAGTAATTATAAACTATTATAAATAACTCTACTACTTTAACTAAAGGCTTAGTCTATAATAATTATATAAAAGAATAAATAATTATAAACTAAGTATATATAAAGAAAATTAAATCTTAACTATAAGAGAATTTCTTTAACCTTTTTCTATAATAATAATTCTTTTATTCTAAATTTTAATATATAGAATATATTAAATATATATTTATAATTATAGACTTTATTCTTTTAAAATAAAGCTTTTATTCTTATTCTTATTTTTTACTAGAGTATTACTAGAGTTTAAGTAATACTAATTCTCTTTAGTATTTAAGTAAATTAACTTCTTATTACTAACTAGGTTATAATTAAGTCTTATAAACTAAAACTAGAATTCTATATAGTATTCTTTTAACTTATTTATCTTATTCTTATTAAAATATTATAAAAGAGTAAAAAGAAAAAGTAGAGTATAAAGTAATAGTTCTAGTAAGTATTAAGTATAGTTAAGATATTAGATATATTCTTAAGAACCTATTATCTATAGATTTACTCTTTAAAGTTAAGAATAGAAATAGAAAAAGGTACTCTAGAGTATATTTTCTTATTCTCGTTATTTTACTATATAAATTAGAAGTAAACCTAAAAGCTTTAGTTAATTATAGAGACAATATACTAGTATCTAGTACTCTGTCTTTATTAAATACTACGCTAAGTAGTTAGTAGTTAAAGCGTTAAACGAAGACGTCTAAATAAGGAATAGAGAATATAATTACTCTATTAAATAACGAGAACTTAAAGCTTTAGTTCTTGAAAGAATAGAGCCGTAGTAACAAAGACCTCGTGGAATCTCACTTCTACTTAGTTTCGAGGTTTTTACTTAGGTTTATACTTGTGTGAAATTAGCAGCTTGTGTCTTCTTGACAATCTAACTTGTCTAGCATGAATATCAGATAGACCAACCTATTCTGAGCTGAATTGGGCAAAGTATGTCTCGGTTAGAGGGCACACGTGGTTCCTTGACCTTCTTTTCTTTATCAAATCTTTTTCTTTAGGGCATAACCCTCAGCTTTTTATCCTGACACTCTTGATCACTTTGAGATTTCTTCTTCTGGGTCTTCACTAAAGTTCACACTTATGTTCTTGATCAAATTTACACGTTAATTGGGTTATTAAATTTGCTAGCTTTGGATTGTAAATGGTTATTAACCTGATTTTGAGACGGGTCATGATTACATCAGAATCAATCATCGTCAATCGAGATAGACCTAGGAGGTTGGATCTCAAAAGAACCTCATATCTTGATTGTACGCTTAATTCTCAGCGTTGACATGGTCGAGTGATAGCAGCAACACTGCTCTCAACATAAAAGACCATGCCAACGTACACCAAAGCCCCCAAAACGAAGGAAACACGGAATACTCCGCTAGGAAACTGTGCGATGATTTGAGAATGATGACTAACAAAGACAAGAGAAAATACCATGAGCATGATAGTCGTTCCCAGACTCATAGTATACGGCAGCAGTCTTCTCGGAATCAACGAAAACGCTTGTGGGCAGTAGTCGCTGATTGTTTTGTAGATCGACACTACAAATACCAATGTACTTGCGCAGAACGGGAAACTGAGGGTTAGGCCCTGCAGTATCTGATGGTATGCGTGAGATGCCGGGTAGAGTTCTGCTAGCACGTAGCACGTCGCTACGATTATGGGATTGTGGATGACGTAAAGTCCAAGAACGTTGCGTTCAAAGACGAGGATACCGAAGAGAATGGTCAAGATGATGGTGGCGCTGGTAGAGAGTTCGCTGTATCTTGACTGGATGTCTCTTCCATGGTTGACCTGCTGAGATGGTGTGACTAAAGAGCTTGGAGCTGGCGATCTTGCGCTGCGTCTTTTTCTGATCTCTACGTTGTCCATTTTGACTTGCGAGAGAAACTTACCTACGGGCAGACTGTTTTTGAAATTTCTTGTTGCCTTGAAACTACTTTTGGGTATCTTTTGATAATATTTTAGGCAAACGATATTCCTAGATTGGTGTTGGAACTGCTGAGATAAACTACAAGAGCATCTGATAAGAGCTCTTATACATATGAAGTGGCCTATTTTGAAAGAAATCATAACAAAAGAGACAACGAAACAGAACAAAGAAGCTAAGTCGGGACAAACCTCTACATTCTCTAATTCTTCACTTCTAACACAAAGGAAAAAAATCGGGCATTCTTTGATACCATAGAACAAGATGCTTGCTCCCATAGCCACATTTGCCTTTCCTCAGAACCCCAACCGCTCAGATCAGCTACCAGACAGTTGTGGTAGCTGTAGTGCGAGCTTGCGATACTTGATATGTAATTATGCCGAAATAGAGATACTGACTGAAGTTTACGATGTTTGTTAAGTTTTCTCAGTTGAAAGAATGGTAGGAGGACCACAACGGTTTACAGAATATTCTTGGATTCCATGACTAGTACAAGTAAATGTGGCAATGAAGCGATGTTTCATTTCACTTTTGAAAACGATTTCTGTAAAAACGAAGGACAAGAATAACAAAGTAATGGCTTCCACTTAATATGGTATGTCATTAAAGTTTTATTGTAGTGATGAAAAAGATTCAGCACCTTATAGTAGTTTGAAACGAGGTCAGTTGATTTGTATCATGTAGAAATAGGTTAAATTTAAAGCAAAGTTATTGTATTCTTGTTCTTATGAGAGCAATTAAGTTGCTTTTATTGAACGATTTTGAAAGTGACATGACTCTCAGGTAAACCCTCACTTGATTCATTAGAACGGGTCAGGGCAATCATCACCACCAAGAAAGTCACCCTCGAGGAGAAGAAGTGGAATTATCCCATGAGGGAACCGAGCCGCCATCCGACTGCAACAGTGAGGACGACAACAATAGGAATGGAAGCATACTTGACCAGCTGATCAATGAATTCATCATTTTCTCTATCAAACTGAGCTCCTCTTTTATCTGTTTGCCCTCGAGTCTCGTCGAACTTTGAAAAGCTAGGTGGAATTGGGCAGCTATTGGTGCTGGCTTGGACGGTTACCGGAACGGCTCGTTCTTCTGTGCTATCAAGACCCTCTTCATTTGAGATTGTCATGACATCCTGCTCACTGATCATTTCATATTCGCCAAAACCAGCCATTTTAAAACTTTGAGGTTGAAAAATGTTACTCGAAGATATGATTATAAGTAGAAAGAGTATGGAGTCTTGTACTAAAGTTGAAAGACTTAGTGGAAAAAGCATTACGAGAGCACCACCCAAGTACTTATACCCGTAAGAGTAAGAATAGGACATAGTAAATAATGCCCTAGATATGCATAAGAACAATTAGCACAATGCACGATAAAGCATTGGAGCTCAGTTAGAACAATGCCCCTCATTCTCTAATGTCTTATTGCTAGCACAAAGGGAAAAATGGCCATTGTTGGATATCGCAGAACAAGAAACAAACGTCGCAGGCAGATTTCCGCTTTCTAAAAATTATTAGCATGTCGTGAAAGTTACTAGTTCATTAGAGTAGTAATAGGATAAATTGTGGATATATAATGTGTATATAGTGCTGAAATCAAGGTATTAGCTGAGGTTTACGATATGCGTCAAGTCTTTCAGTCGAAATGAATACCGAGGGGCGGCGGAAAGGCCACAAAACTTCGAAAATTCCCTGTTGAAGCCTAGAATTAGTACAACTGAATTATGGATAAGGAAATTGATAGCTAAACTTGCTCGTAACATCACTTTCGAGGAAAATGCTATCAGGGAAAAGACTGTTTCGACAAATCACGAAGTGTACTTAAGAAGTGTTTTTATTAGGGTTTCATTGTATTGATTGAAACATTTAATACGTTTGAATAGTAAAAAATTGGATCAGTTATTTGTTTCACATATATAAACTTGTTGACTCGAAGTATTAATATTTTGTATTTCTGTAATCATGAGATGCAAACCAGTCGCCATTTTTAAACACCCTTTCAAACACAGCCATCCGCAAAACCCTCATCTAAATCATACGAATCAATCAAAAATCAGATCATCGCCAAAAAAATCGCCATCAAGCGCCATGGAGATGACGAAGTTAAAGTCGATCCAATACGCAGCAGTAAGCATTATGAGGACCATGCAGATATAGTTGACTACTTGACTTATGTATTCCTCCTCTTCTCTATCAAGTGGGGTTCGTTTTTCTTTGTGTATTGGTTCTTGCGTCTTGTTGGACGCTGGAACTGGGGCGCCATTGGGGCAGGGCTGGGTTCTGTTTGGAACGGTGCCGTGGGTAATGTTGATGTGGTTTTGAACATTGACAATGGTTAGCTTAACTTTAGATGGAATAGACGTGGTTTCCTGCTTGCTGATTATTTCGTATGAGTCAACATCTGAATTTTTGACAATTGGAGATAGCATGATAATGTTTGAAGGTTTGAGCGTTGGAACTGCGAAGAGTGTGAAGTCTTGTTGTTGATGGCTGAAAGAATTGGAAAAAGAATTAGTAGAAAAACGCTACCCAAGTATATATAGCAGGGAGAGTAAGAAACGTATAGAACGAAACAAAGCACTGGACTTCAGTCAGAACGAATTGGTCAAAGTCGCTCTAGAAAATTTCATAGTTCTGCCAGAACAAGCTTGCTAGTTCTGTTCAGAGTCTGTCCACAAGGTCTTCATCATGAATGGTAATGATAGAAAAGTGCCTTATCTGTTCAGCCATATGTTTTTTCTTTATCTAACAAACAAATTGGTATAATAACAATCATATTGTTCTTTGTTAGGAGTACACCCCAGGTAACGGTCTCAATTTCTTGAATTTCGCTTAGCATATGTAAGATCTTACACTCCCGTACTTTTGTCTTGTGGATGTAGTAGAAACTGGACCCTACATATTGACTATACGAAAAGAAACATACGTACAATAGATTTACCCAGTCGGCATTATGAGTACCAATTCACATGTCACTTGAACTATCGCTTTATAAGTATCCATCACTTCAATTGTGCCGAAGTCAGTCATGTGAGACACCGAAGTTGTGTCAACGTTCACTTTACAGCAACTTTCTAGACCGAAGGACTAGACATAAACACCAATTGTATCATGTATAATTGAACTAGACATTACCACGAGACGCTTTATTCCGCTGGAGAACATGCGAAACACGTGACTCACATTTCTTTCAGCGATAGCAAAAGCACCGTCTGTTTCCCAATCCAGCAATGGCTTTTAGTCGCTGCTGAACATATATCTTTCGCACATACCCACCCTACTATACCTTCCAGACTCACCCGCATCGAAATCAGTCGACCTAGCATGTCAGCGGGATCTTGGCGTTCATCTTTGCAGGGCATCAAAACACCACAACGAGCATCGTGAGATAACGTAATACCACACAAATACGGTTCTGCTCTGATCTATGCAGTATAAACCTCGCGATAAGATTCGTGGACCCTGAAATTTCGGCAGCCCCGTGTATCTTTCTGCAGGACTTTGCAGCTGAGATGTTTTGTTTGCGAGATGCGAGAAGCAAGATGACACCGAGCTGAGAAGTAGCACCGAATGTGGCTTATGTGGTGAAACTGCCAGTATATGTATGGGGTTCCTTTTTCATAGTTTCCCCCAAGTCTCAGAATAAACCATAATCGCGTTTCTAATTACATTCCATGCAACGCCTCTCGATCACTTGAATTCTTCCGTCCGCTGACTTCCTTAAAAATGTCCTTCTCCAAGAAGCCAGGGGTCGATGATACTGCCGTGGGTAGTAAATATGACTCTGAGAAGGAAGAAGCTCCAGTGACCCGACAGATCGAGCAATTGTACGATGAGAATGGAGAGCCACTAGCAATTGAGCCCGGTACGCGTTATAACGAGGATGGAAGCTGGCTTGGGGAAGATCCTCAGGATTATCAAAACACTTACGAAGAGGAGAAGCCGTATAGCGAAGGAGAAGTGGAAGAGCCCGAGAATGAAAAAGTTGCTACGACCTAACAGATCGAGGAGCTATATGATGAGAATGGCGAGCCTCTGGCAGTTGAGCTAGGTACTCGATATGATGAGAACGGTCGCTGGCTTGGAGAGGATCCTAAGGCTTACCCAGAAACTTCCGAAGGAAAGAAGCAGAATGGGGAAGTGGAAGGGGTTGAGCGCGCGGATAAGGAGGTCTTGACTAAAGATAATGAAGGTCAAGAGTCTGCAAGGGAAGCTGTGGAGCAACTTGTGCGACCAGGGGTGGAGACAAAGACTGACATCGGGGTGGAAGGCTCAAGAGGAGGATCCTGAGCAAGAAGATCAGTAAGAGTGCCTTCGGGAGGAGTTTTAATAAAAAGAAATCCAGGAAGGGTTCTTGAGCGAGGAGACTCGTGATAAAGACCAACATCGGGATGAACGTCAAGATGGTGTTTTTGATGAGTACCAGTACCCGGAGCGTCGAAGGGAGTGGTCTGCGAGAAAGATGAGATGGGATATTGAGCTTAGTCGTTTATATTCGAACTGTCCAGCTAGATGCTGTCGAAAGATCATGCAAGGATGTTAGACACTGTTATATTCTGTACTTCGTGGATTGTGTTACATTGCACGATTAATAATGTCGATGGCGAATCGAGAATATCCTTTGCAACATGTGCTTGACTTGTGTTACTCGACTTCTGCACCTGGCCTGAAGGTCTTTAGTAAATTAGATTTTCTTGCGAGAAACATCGAAGGAGTACAGACGAGCCAACTATCCCAATTTTGCAACATCTGGGATTCTGGTTCGTGATACGCCTTGTCGTACACATATGGGGCCGATAAGGAGTTACACCAACACATCATCGCGTGCTGATTTCGTTGGTTACGGAGCTCACCATGCCAGCTTCCATTCTATGAAAATAAGGATAGATTTGTTATGTGGGTTTGGGTAAATCATATCGCGTTGTGAATTTTGTTTGAGCAATCTTTGCAGTCTTATGACTTCTGTGCAGAGAACGAGTGCATGTCAAATCGGAGGAGGTTGTGAAGTCCGTCGAAGAAAGAATTTACGGTATGACAGGGTTGTTGAACCGTATGTGGGCCATGGATCGATTTTCGCATGGGATTTTCAAATTCCGTCATGGCCTTTGGCGTTGTGAGTACCGAGATAGTGTACCTGAAACGGTGCGGAAATCTTCTCCAAAAGATTGTGTTGTTGACGGCGTTGTATGAGGGTATTGTTGGAGCTGAATGTTATTGTAATTTTAGTAGCCATAGATACCAGTTCTTCTAGCATTCCATCTACGCTTCGAAGTAGTCTTTGTTGACTGAAGAAACCTCTCTGTCGTTCGTCGTCAAAATTAGGAAGCAAAACTAGGAAGGATCCCTACGGCCTACGCTGATCAGTCACCAACGGGAGCGATCTCCATTGCAGGAACCTGCGTCAGACCTATTTGAAGGTTCAAATCGAATCTTTGTTTATCTCGTCGAACTCCACGGCGCTCTCATCGCCTTCGAAAGGCCGCTTTCAAGGTTCTGGAGATGTCATCGACAATTCTCGACATCTCTGTGACTTTATCAGTAGATACCTAGATACTCCCCATTTTTAACTTTTTTCTCGGAGCTCTCAGCCGTGACTATTCGAGGTCTGCCGCTGACTGTCCGGCTTTCTTCGCGTTGTGTTCCTTGAAAAATGTCCCAGGTTAAACTGGGAAGGGAAAGGTGGTGTTCCAACGTTGAGTGTTCTGAGTTCTGACAGGGCGCAAGGGGGACGTATCGCTCCGGCGCGCAGGAGGTCCAGTATGAATCCACGTCAAAGGCGCCCGCTTTTTTGACGGAGTTTGTGGGGCCTTGTTGACGAGCAAGTCCTATACAAAATCATACACTTCCTTCAACCATACATATTTTCTGCGCCTATGTTTATTCGATGCGGATGTGACTGCTATTAAAGCCTCTTGATTTCGATAAAAACCTCCCACTTCCTGGATTCTGAACCGCAACGATATACGACGACACGATAACGATACGATAGATACCCGACTCTGTCCAAGAAGCAAGCTGGGGCTGCCAACATCCAAGTATCCCCGCCATCGCGAATAACCTGTATTCACCGGATTCTGCGACGACTTGTCTGCGCACAGTCGAAGCGCTGAGATACGTGTTACTTTGTTTTGCGTGCGACTTGCTTCTGTAGCTATACGATAGGTTGTCGCAAACAACAACCTACAAACACCAATCCTCCTCTCCCTCTCACCACCCTCGCAACACCTTCGCAATGCCAGCTTTAGTCCAGGAAGACGCGAAGCCGCAAGGCAGATTACTGCTCGTATCGAATCGACTTCCGATCACCATCAAGCGTTCCGACGATGGCACCTATGCGTTCTCCATGTCCTCGGGGGGTCTAGTCACTGGGTTGAGCGGGCTGTCCAAGACCACCACCTTTCAATGGTACGGCTGGCCCGGCCTCGAGGTACCAGATGCGGAAGCCGCACCGCTGGTAAAACGGCTGAAAGACGAATATGGAGCTGTGCCTGTTTTCGTGGAGGACGACCTGGCAGATAGACATTACAATGGATTCTCGAGTATGTATTTTCTGCTGGCTGGCATGCAATCCACTAACTTTATCCGCAGACTCAATCCTGTGGCCTCTCTTCCACTACCACCCCGGAGAAATCACTTTCGATGAGTCGGCATGGGCGGCATATAAAGATGTCAATCGTCTGTTCGCAAAGACCATGGCAAAGGATGTACAGGATGGAGATTTGATCTGGGTTCATGATTATCACCTTATGCTACTTCCAGAAATGCTGCGAGAGGAGATTGGCACCAGCAAAAAGAATGTCAAGATTGGCTTCTTCTTGCACACTCCATTTCCTAGTAGTGAGATATACAGAATTCTGCCAGTTCGAGAATCCCTGTTACTCGGCGTTTTACACTGCGATCTTATTGGGTTCCACACATACGACTATGCCAGACATTTCCTCAGCAGTTGTTCTAGAATATTGTAAGTACTTGGGTGCGCGGAAAATGAAGTATTTTGCTGACCATTGTAGGGGAACATCGACAACACCCAACGGTGTCGACTTCAACGGTAAATTTGTTACCGTCGCAGCTTTCCCTATTGGTATCGACCCAGAGAAGTTTGTCGAAGGTCTGCAGAAGAAATCTGTTCAAGATCGAATTGCAGTTTTGGAACGCAAGTTTGAGGGTGTGAAATTGATTGTTGGAGTTGATCGACTCGATTATATTAAAGGTGTCCCTCAAAAACTCCACGCACTCGAAGTATTCCTGTCAGAACATCCTGAATGGGTTGGAAAGGTTGTCTTGGTTCAAGTGGCCGTACCCAGTAGGCAGGATGTTGAAGAATATCAGAATCTTCGAGCAGTCGTCAACGAGCTGGTTGGTCGTATCAACGGCAGATTTGGTACGGTCGAATTTATGCCTATTCACTTCCTACATCAATCGGTGTCTTTCGAAGAGCTCACCGCTTTGTATGCCGTGTCGGATGCCTGTCTGGTTTCCTCCACTCGAGACGGTATGAATCTCGTTTCATACGAGTACATTGCCACTCAACGGGCTCGTCACGGTGTTATGATCCTCTCCGAATTTACCGGTGCAGCGCAATCCCTTAATGGCGCTCTTATCGTTAACCCATGGAATACGGAAGAACTTGCAGGTGCTATTCATGATGCGGTCACCATGTCTCCAGAATCACGGGAGATCAACTTCAAGAAATTAGAAAAATACGTGTTTAAATATACATCGGCTTGGTGGGGCGAATCTTTTGTCAGCGAACTTGTTAGGATCAGCGAGCACGCCGAGAAGAAGCAGAAGCGAAATGCTGGTAGTGTAGCTGGGAAAGTACAAGGCCTTGTAGAAGGAGTGAAGGGTATGGTCGTAGGGAAGGATGAAAAGGAGAATCAAGATGCTGGTGCCAAAGAAGAGAGTAAATAGATAGATGGTGCATGAGGAATTGGCTGGCAGGTTGTCTTATCCTTCAGTATAATACCAAGATACCTTTTCGGGCGCTTTATGCGAAGACATGGCGCCGATTGTATTGAGAGGAGAGACGCATGGTGGACTGGCGTTGGCGAATAGAGAGTTTTCTACACATCAGTCTGGATACTATCTAGTGCCAGGACTACAGAATGTTAAATTCGTTCTACTAATCTACAGAGCGCATCAAACGCCTGCCTACTAAAGCGACTTAAAATTCTTCCTTGGAATAAACGACAAGATTGGAGATACGAAAAGCGACCAATGGATTGGCCCATCGAAATGTGGCATTGTAAGGTCGAGCAGGGTTGCATGTATCCCGTTTTCCGCCCCAAGGAGGATTTCAAGCATTGCCAAGGACCCAACAGCTATTTGAAGCTTACCGTATGGAGGAGTAAGTGCACAATAGCTGACACCAGCTGAGTTGGTTTGCATATTGTAGGTTTGGTTACTTTGGAGGACCGGACGACACTCCTCCCGAATCATTAACAGAATATCCGCGGCTTCCAGAGTTTAAAATACCATTCGTATAGCCATGCTCAAACGATTCAATAAAGGTCTTCTCAGAGGTATTCGATCCACATTCCAGCTTGAATGAAAGATCGATCACTGCCGCCGAAAACGTCGTCCCCAGCTCAACAACTCGACGATGGTCTACAAAACCGTCACACATAGACGTTTCAGGGAACCCACCACTCTGCTCTAGATGTCGAGACATGATCAACGAGGCGAGAGTTAGGGGAGGAGTACACGCATAGCTGGAGGTTCATTCGAATGAAAACAGCGGCTGAGTTTGGTTGCTGTTTATTCTACAACATGCCCTGGATACCAAGCAGCTTTAGCTATGCGGTGACGGAGCAGACGCAGCAGATATCAAATCGACCCAGCTGGATTTTAGGCGAGAAAAGAAGTCAACCGGATGAGATCCTGTATCGATTTGAAGACAAGGATGGAGGATCAGACGATGAACTCCACTGGCGTTTTAACTTGACTATTAGGAGCCGTGCAAGTGTTACAGGGGATAATTGGCAAAAGAAGTTGTTGTTGTTGCACAGGAAAGGTAAGTCTTCTACTCACCTTGACTTTCGTGGCTAAGAAATAAGATTGTGAGGATTACATCGCAATTCCTTCCCCACCAGTACCAATCGCGAGACCGCGAGTAGTATGGCTGTGGCCTGGTTAACTGATTGTGAAACTTGCCATCAGGATTGCTGTAAATACATAGCACAAGTCCCGTCATGGAGACCATCAAGAAAGCCCCAGCAGCGACGGTTTTGACAGACCTGAATCCAAATGAGGTTCTATACGTGGTGTACCATACCACAAAAGTCATGATCTACAAATGGTTGTAAAAGTATGATCTGATGCGCCGCATCAACCAACTTTACACCCTCTTAGTTCCCACCACCCTCCGTCCTGCTGAATCCGTTCGATCGTAGTCCAGGTCAACGACCACTTTATCCGCCAACTCCCCAATCTTATCTTCATCGCTCGTAACCCTAACCGCCACAATCTTCTGCCTTTCATCTTCATCAGACCTCTCTTCTATCTCCAGCATCCCACTCGTGATACGCACTAAAACATCCGCATCCCACATCCCCTCCCTCCTCGGCACCCCCCTCAAAAGCTCCAGCGCCTCACACCGAATCCGCCGATCCGTACAGCGCGAAACAGTAGCGAAAAGCGGACCGATGAGGCCGAGATCTGAGGATATACTTGCCGTGTCCCCCACTATCAGAGTCCGAGAGAGGGAAACGATTTTCCCGTATAGTGATGTGGAGTTGAAGTGGCTGAATCCGGAAGCTTCTAGGACCGCGGTGTGTACAAGGAGGGAGAGGGATGCGTGGTGGACTTGTAGGAGGACGGAGCCTTTGAGCGCGGTTGCGGAGAGGTTGGCGCGGGGTTTGAGGATGATCGCATCGAGGGATCTTGACCAGCGGGTGAGGTCTTGGAGGATGTCGGGAAGTGTGGTATTGATGCTGGTAGTATGTGTAGCGGTGTTCTGGGACTCAAGTTGAATTCGACGATGTGTATGATACGCCATGAATCTATTGAGAATCATATTCAACGCATGTCTAGCATCATCAACCGTTTCGAATCTTGGTTTGAAGCCACGATTGATAATCTCAATGTGCGTCCAGATACTCGTCGTATCATCCGGCAACACACTATCAATAAATGTGCCAACCTGTAACCCCAGCGCAGTAAAAGCCCGCACTATCTGCTCTCCTGATTCTGTTTTATTCCTCATAGTATTAGATAGGTAGTCAGCAAGTAATTTCATACCAGCCTTCAGATGCGTAGCAGCTGCAGCGTAGTTCCCTCGTAGACTATCGAAAACCACATAAAGCGCACAACACGACAAAATCGGCTCAATACTACTATCCCCGGTAGCAATAACTTCCTGCAAATTCGTAATAGACAAAGAATAATGCTTTAACGCAAACGAATACGCCTCTAAATGAGTATTCCGCTCTGGGTTTTGCAGTCCACGTGTGTAGCCCTCGTGGATAGCGGCAATTGCAATAACCGCATGGCGTAATGCGGGTTGGTTGATGCTGAGCCTGGGGACGTACTGCAGCCAAATTTTGGGAGAGAAATGGCCGCTGAGTTGTGGGGCTGTGATGGTGATGAAGTGGTCGAATGCGCGGTTTTCTCGTAGGTCGGAGGGTTGGTGGAGAGATGGCGCAGGGGAAAGTGATGGGGAGATGGGTAAATTGAGGAACGATGAGGAGACTGGGAGATTAGGAGAGATATCTGATGCGTAACCATCACATTTGCGTCCAGTGGTTGAGCACTTTTGGCAGGTGGGCTTGGTTTCGTCGCATTTGATGCGTCGGACTCTAGGGGATGTCAGCCCTATTCATTAATCACAAAATCAATAGTAAGAGAGTTCTTCTGTATTGTTAGTCATCCAAACCAGGTAAAAGAAGTATCAACTTCATCTACGAAGCTGTATCGAAAGAAATTTTACATGACTTTAACTTGATTGGACACCTCAAACTCAAAAACGAACCAACCAACATACTTGCATGTAATACACCCCGTCTTCCTTCTCGGAGCCCATACTCTAACCACAGGCTTTGATTCTTTAGTCATCCTCGATATCGCCGGGACAAATGGGTGTCAGGTGCGTTGATGAGGACTTTTCATTTCGAAGCAGTTCATCTAGGTAGCACCAGAACGTCTCAGCTCTGGCCCTTCGACCCAAGCCAGAAAAGCTGTGCTACATAGCCGCGTATCATATTACACGTCGAGGCGCTGTCTTTGGTATTGGGCGAAAGTCGTCGTCGTTGTTCGACTCGCTCGAGCTTGACTTTCGCACATGAGCTTGGCAGGGCTTAGCGGTTCGCAGTCAGACTTTTAGCAGTATTCGAATAAGTGCGTTCCTATTCTTTCCATCTGGTAAAACGAAGTTATTGAATGATAGATTAATCACATATTTCCTAAGACTAAATACATTAGTAAATATCTGAAAGTGTGGTTGCATTGTAAATTTAAATCGCAGAAAAGCTAACTACCCATACCTCTTTTTCGCATAGAATACGCCTTTGGATCTCGTTATGCAAGCCACAAATCTGACGATCCAATCTGAAATACGGTCAAGTAATTCGCTGTTGCGTGACGCTTTCTACTGGCCAGTTCGCTTAAGTGGAGCCCGAATTATTTCGTCCCCAACTGGGGAAGCGAAAGCCGCTGTGAGTATATACAGGGGTGGCAGAGATTCGTTGTTTAATTTGATAAGGATCCGAATTTTAGGGATACTGTATAAAGAGTCAGTGAGCTTCTCTTTTGCTTCTTTTTGTCAGGTCTGAATATCTCTTTCACCATTACTTGCTTTCTATTTTGTGCTTTGCAAGAACTGTCATCTGTTACTTCGTTGTCAGCTACTAAATCAATTGATGAATCAATCGGAAATACAAATACATACAGGATGTTTTTTGTCAGTTTTATATCAATTGCAATATATCTGACGCATGTCGCGGGAAAAAGTTTAAATCCTTTGAATGAATCTCGCAAGGGAGTAATCAACTCTCGCGATATCAACACAGGTGTCACTTTACCATTAAAAGCCACGTTCACACCAGGAGGCACCATACTTGATGTGGACGTCACAGTCGGGGGCCAGAACTTCTCCATGTATTTGGACACCGGGAGTAGCGACTTTTATCTCCCCAGAACAAACTTCCAATGTCTGAACGGCACCGACAACTCCATACTCCCACAAGAAAGTTGCTTATTCAACAAAGCGTACACGATATCCCCCACGTTTCAGCAAATCAACAATCAGTCATTTGGCGTCAAATATGGTTCCGGCATCGCAACTGGTATCCTTGGATATGAGACTGTTACCATCGGAGGGCTGACAGTCGAAAGACAACAAATTGGAGTCGCCGACAGAATCACGGACGTGGGCGATGGAAATGACAGTGGAGTTTTAGGACTTGCGTATCCTTATCTTACTTCCGCTCATCCAGGAACCGACTATCCTAACGATACCCTCTCCTTATGGTCAAATCGTATTCCCTACGACCCCCTCTTCACAAGTCTCCACAAGCAAGGGTCCGTCAAACCATTCTTCAGCCTGGCGATCAATCGAACACCTGTCAACGTTTCGAACGGTGACGGCGGTCTCCTCGGCCTCGGTACCGTTGTTGAAGTTCCGCATAAACCTACATTCGCCATTGCTCCCGTTCAAATCATCGGAGTAATACCACCGTTTTTCACCGATAATGTCACAGCCAAAACGTACTGGGCACTTAGCGTCAAAAGCACTGATATCAACCATTTAGTCTCCACCAACAATTCGTTCCAAGCTCTTGTAGACTGTGGTAACTTCTTCAACTTGGTTCCCAAAGATGTTGCACTCTCCATCAACAATGCTTTTCAGCCTCCAGCCACCCCAAATATCGATTTTCTCGAAACGGGGTCCTCAACCGTTTCTTGCAATGCAACTGCTCCGTCATTCGGGATGAGTTTCAGCAATAACGTCACTATTTACATAGATCCGAGAGATATGCTCGTCGAAAACGCCGATGGGACTTGCACTTCTGCTTTTGTAGATGCGGATGTGTTGGGCGAGTCGACAGGTATTGTGCTCCACATATTGGGTACTCCGTTTTTGAGAAGTGTGGTTTCGATTTGGGATTTTGGAAAGGACGAAATGAGGTTTGCAGAGAGGATAGAGACCAGTGGAGGCGCAGATCCTCCACCCAACTCGTCGGTGCCTGTTGTGCCATCCTCGAATGGCGCAAATCAAGGGTCGGAGATATATGTAACATGTCTGCTTTTTACTGTTTTGACCTTAGTTCTTGTACTTTAGGTCGATAGACCACCCGCGAAGTAATGTGATTCAGAATTGTGTGTAATACATCAGTTGTACTTTATGAGAATGCAATTGTCTCCACCGGTTCGTACTTGGGGTTGTCACCTTGATCAGTTGTTTCAGTCCTAATAAACAGCCCCTCAAGACAACCTGTCGCATTAGTCGGGTGCATATATTCTCTCCGATTGAAGTTGTATGCTTATCGACTGCTGTGTAGCGATAGCTTCTTAGACGTTAAGCGTGGCGTATAAAGATCGGCCTTCCTGGGCAAGTGAGGGCGGATAGTTTCATCCATTCGCTCACTTAGCCTCCTGCTCATTTGTACTTGTCTACCGACTTCAATAAGCAGGAATTCAGCTTATAATAGAATACATAACTGAAAACAGCCTTTCTAGCATTTTTTGAAATCGTTAGAGATGTGCAATTCTCATATGATAGTGAAAACCACCTCTTCGGTATCATCCTCCCGCTCTTGTAGTTCTCGAGGTGATGCCTTGCGTGAAATATTCGTCGTACATCCGTCCTCTGAGTAATGTACTTCAAAAGGGTATTTCTTGTAGGACGTTGCTAATTCTCTGGAGGCATCTGCAATGTAGCTTCCAAGCTGGCCACGTCTTCTTTTGGATATAAGTGTCTTAACGACGGGGTCGTATGAATTCCAGTTACCAACTCGCTTGTAAACACCTTCACGTACGAGTTCTAGAACGAGCCCACAAAACTTCTTCGTCCGAATGCCATAACATGCAATCACCACGCAGCAATACGACCTCCCGTGCATTGAGGGAGTTCTTATATAGTCCAGTCTGCCGTAAATCTCTCGCGGTCCCTCAGTCACATGCCCTGGGTGCACAGACAAGTCCAGTCTTACTTGCCCGTGGTAAAGGTCAACATCTTCCCAAACTACTTGGGTCAATATCCCCCTCAACCGGATAAAGCGTTTAACGATTGGGCTTATGGGACTTGGACCTGCTCGCTCAAGAGATAGATCTTCAAGGTCTACCGCGTAAAGTTCTTGTAATTGTTCCGGAAATTCGGCTTCTCGCGGCCTTTTGAATGTCTCCACCTTACAATTTATTGACAACCCTACAATGTGCTAATAGTTAGCATTTATTTTCTGCCCCGCAATCTCAACATTAGAAACTAACAGACTGATAAGTGTTTTCTGTCATCAGGTAGAAAATATTACGGAAACTGACATGACCATGTTGGAAACCACGTTGCAGAATGCTCAACTGGTGTAGAACTGCCAGTATTGGGTTGCCACAGAAGTTGGCTTAGTAGTGTACCTAACCACAATCCCACAACACAAATATCATCGAATTGCTTTTGAAGAACTTCGATAATACCGTATATGAGCTGCTTCCTTGTCTTCGAGCTTTGTCAACTGTGCGCCAGAATAGGTCCCTATGATTGACCTCCACATTTCCTCTCTCTCACTCATAGACAACCAATTACCGTCAGGTCTAATGAGCGCTTCTGAAACAATAGTACCAAGATCGGGCATCTTCCGTGGATAAGTCTCGCATAGCCGTTCTTGATTGCATTCCCAAAACAATTCACCTTTGGCGAAATGAAGAACACGCGTTGCTAGCAATCGCTCTTGTACAACCCAAGCCCGTTTTAAGAGCGGCGCCAACTCAATAGCATTGAGCCAATGATTGCGATCCCAGATATGGAACATTCCAGTCCTTGTTCCATATTCCTTGATTTCAATCATACATGGTCGAGGTTCGAGGCAGTGGCCAGGAAATAGCCCCATTGAGCTATCACTTGCCCAAGTAGCAGCAATGTTACACATTGCTCCCTGGTAGACTTTGCTCATGAGTTTCGCTTCCCGAGTCCAGTCCTCGGTTGAGTTTTGGATAATACATAGGGAATCGATCCATATGTACTCGCATTGCAGCCCTTTCGCGACTACCATCGCGTCTTGGAATGTTCTCGGTAATACGTCAACGGAAAACCCAGCTTTGAGTTCTTCAATATTATGAGTTGTCAGCCGGAAAAAATCAGCATTACCCCAGCAATGACTGAGAGTGAGGTAAGGCCCAAGAGATCGAGAACCAGCAGTCTCTACGAGTTGAAGTTTGAGTCCAACGATATCGTCAGGGATTTTGATCAAGCGACTTGGCCGCCATACGTTGTCAGAAAGCCTAGCATTACAAGAGCCGTGAGTCGCCGAACAGTTGTCGAGCCAGGTCCATGCTTGCTTCAATCTCTGCTGTGTTGATATGGTTGTGATCGAAACTTGTTCACATTCATCAAGAAGCGTCAGCTTATTTGATATAATTCCTTTGGAAACTGTGGCAACTTATTAGCATTAGTTAAATGAACTTGTATGGAGATAACACTTACGCAATTCGTCAACGTCCAGCAGTTCAAAGGTTTTGCGAGCGTACCCACCAACCAAATTCGTGTACTTAAATTCAATGTTGGCGGACCGGCTACCAAAGATATCGAAAGCGGGAGTAATTCGATAAGTGACGATCAGTTCATCTGCAGCCTGATATTCGGAATCTGAACAAAAATGACGGTACAGCATGTAGCAAATTCGGCAACCACCGTTACCCGATTCTGTAAAGGATGCAAGAGAACTAGAATGCATATATTGCACCGATCTGTTCCACTCGCTGAGAAAACATCTTTTTGGAATTTTCTGACAAAACTGGCATAACATGATTCATGGATATATAGGATGGTACGTGTTGGAAGTGATTAGTGAAGGTATGGTGGTAGATGAGTGAGTTTATCCCCTGAGATGTGGGAAATGGGACTTGTTTCAGCCTAAGGCAGCAACATAATGTTACAAGTACCAATGTAATTCTAAATAATCAACACCAATAAATATAGATGTATGTATACTTTTGGAAACCGATGAGAATACCTCAAAATGAATGGGTATTCCCAGATTTCCATTGTCGAATGATGACTAAGCCAATTCCTGGGCGAGAATGCTTCAAGCTGGGCGAGCCGTTCCGAGTCCGTTTACAATGTCCTCATACATAAACAAAACTAGGACAATCTTGAAGATATTGAGTTCTACGAGTTAAAACAAAGGACAAATGTTCCGATGAATTCCATCTAGTAGCCGCTGTTGACGTCGTGCGGCGAGGTAACCGCGCCGCAGACAACAATTTCGTACGTGTCCGCAGGCACCACACAACAGGACAGAGTTGATGTATTCGATGGACTGACTCACCTTGTGCAGGATCAGCAGCAGGATAATGCTATCTGTCTTTGTTTGAAGAGCATTATAAGTCCGTTATTCTATTCATCGTCAAGTACTTCGAGTCCAAAAGATTCCCTCATCTTCTGGCGGCAACGTTTCGTAAATATATCGTTGGCATTGGCGTTGAGAGAATAGCCATACTTTTCATCCTTTCTCGACCTCTTCTCGACACTTGTATCTATCAAATACTTCCACAATGAGGCTCGTTATTCTCATCTTACTCCTCCCAGCCGCAATGGCGTTCAGTCTCTCACCCATTCAAACCTGGCTGGCCAGTTTCCAACAACCCCTCAGGAACCTCATCGACAACCCATTGCGCCGATCGACTGTACCTCAATTCCTTCTTGATGCCAGACACCCGTGGGTTCTAGCTCACCGGCGTCAACTGGAAAGACTTCCAAATGCCGAAGCATTCCTGTGTACCGAATTACTTGATGGCACCTCCGGGCTTGAAATCCCACCGGATCTTTTTGACAGACTTGAAGTTGACAACAACCGAGTTGGAATGTCACGCCCAGGATGGCCAAACGCGCAGGAGCGGCTTACCGAGATGTCCAAGTGCCCGAGAGCACTTGAGCAAGTCAAAGAGCTGGAAATTAATATTTATGTGTATGAGGGTGCATATTCAGAACTTGGTAACAGACTCCTGGAGCCTTCCTATCCCCCTTCTCAATTGACTGGGCTTCTCGGTGACGTTCTGGAGTCGATGAAAAATCTGGAAAAGCTCAATTATCACATACCAAAGGAGTACACTCGTCTCTTCGGGGGCGCATTTCAGGCTCGGAAGCTTGTACTGCCATCTGTCAAACATCTTGCGCCTGGACCTTGGAGTCACTACCTAGTTGGTATGTGTCCTAATCTAGAGTCACTAACAAATGGTGGGAGCTTTCAGTGGTACCATGGCTATTTCCCAGATGAATTTGGCTATCGTTTCCAGTGGGGACTCGAGTTCATTCAATCCACTATATCTGCACCCAAACTAAAGCGATTTTCCATGAATGGCGGAAACCATGGCTGGGCTCTGGAGCTTGTCTCAGGTATGTCCGCAGCATATTTGCTTCCCCATCAGTTTTGATATGCTTCCACTCATAGTCTACGAGTGCTAACCCATCTGTCCACTTAGAGGTTGTAAGAGCCATGCCTCAGATAGAAAGTCTAGGACTAAACGGAGCTCTGGTGAGTGACGTGTACCACTATGAACCTGAATTGGGGAATGTGGGAGAAGACGGTAGACTGAAGGTATGTTCACATATTTTGGAGCTCGCTGTGCTCTAATTTGAACTAATCACCTCGGTACAGGCAACGCTGAATATTCTCAACGGACAACAAAACCTCACACATTTGGACCTTCCTCGCTCATCTAGTCTAGCACTTGGTTTTGATGGCGGCGCTTGGTGTGGCAATGCATACTTCGGAAAGGAGGGGAGAGTATATGAGCGCGATGTTGTACGGCAAGGAGCAGAAGCGACGGAAATGGCAGGCGAAATCGTGATGGAAAACATGCCTCAATTGACATCCTTCACTGTAGGAGAACTACGTCCGAATATCACTCGAGATTCTGATGGAAAAAACATGGTGAGTTTGGCGTGGCCTTGGACTGGGCGGATGGATGAGTGGTTAATGGAGGAGGTACCTGAGTGGGTTGAGGGGGATCTGTGAGGATGAGGACGATTAAATTGATTTAATTGTTTGATCACACGCATATTTCTACCTCTCTTCTCACATCAACTTCATATTCAGATCACGATGTGTCGCAATGACAACAGTCGTCGTGTCGGCTTGCGTGTTTGAGATGGTCGTACAGAGGCGCATGCATTCTCGCTTTCCTTGTTTTTATGGGGAGGTTGGCCCGGTTAGGGTGACGTAGGATCAACATCTCGCTTAAAGCAGGGCCAAGACGGGTAAGGAGGCATTTCGAGATGGCATTTTGTCAAATTGCCTTGGAAGATGGTGGTATTGCATGGTTCGTGCTTTGTTTATGCGTTCATACTTGCAGCTTTCATTTAACCAATTTAGATTTAAAGGGGAGAGGAGCCGACTTTGTGGCTTGGTTAAGCTTTCACTCAAGCTTTACACAAGCTTTTTGTCTTCTCTTCGACTTTTATACTCCAGGGAGCAAGTAGATCGATTTATTACAACTCCAAGAAGATCAGACAATATGGGTATCTTTAACAGAGCTCCACGAGATGGCACACACACCACCACAACAACAAGAACATCTCATCGTGCCTCAACTCATCATGAAAAACGAGCACCAGCGACGATGAACATGTCTTCCAGACCATCCTTCGGCCAGTGGTTGAAGGTTACATGGCTAGATATTGTTACCATGGCTGCAATGGGAGCGGTAGGTCTTGGTGTAAGTATATCCTCATCTCCATTCCCAAAATAGCTCTAACATATCCCAGGTCTACACAGCCCACCCAGCACCATCACGTTCCTTCCCCGTCTACTTCCAAGATGGTGAAATCGTCTACCCTCAATTCGCCTACCCGCTCCGCAACGAAATCATACCCATCTGGGCGGCCGCTCTCATGGCAGCACTCATCCCCATCGCCGTCTTCCTCTTCTGTCAAATCCGCATTCGTTCATTCTGGGATGTGAATAACGCAGTCATCGGCCTTCTATACTCGCTCATCACCGCCGCCGTCTTTCAAGTCTTCCTCAAATGGCTGATCGGAGGTCTGCGCCCACATTTCCTCGCTGTGTGCAAACCAAACGTCCCTGTTACCGGCGAGGCAATCGGAAACGGTCTGCGCCAAATAATGTATGATCGTACGATCTGTACCGGAGATGAATCTCAGATCGATGACTCCCTCGAATCATTCCCCTCCGGTCATTCTACCGCCGCATTCGCAGGTTTCGTGTTTCTCTCCCTCTACCTCAACGCCAAGTTGAAGTGTTTCTCGAACTACCATCCCGCGATGTGGAAACTCCTCGCTGTTTACGCTCCAATCTTAGGTGCTACTCTAATCGCAGGCGCACTCACCATAGACGAGTTCCATAACTGGTATGATTGTCTGGCCGGTGCTATCATCGGCACGATCATGGCATTCTCGGCCTACCGTATGGTCTACGCTGCTATCTGGGATTGGAGAGTTAACCACATTCCTTTGAACCGTGGTGTTCCATTTTCAGGACGTGCTGGCGGATATGAGCTTGAGGATTCTACGTTTACACGAAAAGCTGGTTGGGGAACGGGACATGGACATTTGGGTGGACACCGGGAGGGTATGGAGATGCACGATGGGAGTGCTTTCGGTCATGGACGCAATTCGTCGACGCCAGTTCGGAAACCAGTTGGTGGACATATGCACCATGGACGTGGTGGGTCGGTGGATATGGTTTAAGGGCGGCTTATGATAATGAATGAGAGAAACCAAGAGGGATACATTTGGTATGCGAGGAGTTTATGAGGTTCAATTGAAGCGGTTGCTCGTAGCGTTCATCGGATTATATACCCATAATAATGTACAGTAACTCTTTCTCCCACTGAAAAATAATTGCTTTCTTACGTTAGTCCTCCTTCTGAGTTCATGTGAGTATATAATTGCGAAATCACAAGAGGCGTTCATTAATACAAAAAGAAATCCCCAACTGATTGTATCACCTCGATGACAGTGATCAAAGATAATTCTTCGAGATCCAACTTCACGTACTCCTACCCTTTCAATTCCGAAGCAATCAATAACTCTTGTATATTTAGCACTCCCTGGCGGCTTCAATCAAAAAGCATAGTTTCGAAAGTCTCTGAATCGTCACGAGATATAAACCAACCAAAACGACACGCTTGGAGATAAATACTGAAATTCGACTTTAATTAGATCACTCGTTATCTCCTTTCACAGATGATATGACTTGCAACAATGAGTTCTGGTTGCATACTTTTAATTCGAGTTTATTTCGATTACATACAAATGGTGTTGTTGATAACAGCACAACGCAAACACCATACTCTACGTTTTTGTTTGGGTGAGAATTGTTAATTCTTATCTTCTCATAAATGAAAATTATGTCTGTATAATGGTCTTGCTTTCATACATTTGGGTTGACGTGGATTTCATCTCCAATTTTCGCTTCATCCAGCCAGAGAAATATCGATTTCTTGGGTCAATCTGAGTTAACACAGGTTCATTCAACGAGACAATTAGTGCTCTATGAATATCAAACAGTAAAAAAATTTCTTGCTCTGTTAATGTACACGGAATGCACAAAGGAAGCCGAAATTTAGAAAGTGGCTCGAACACAGAGGACTAGTTGGTTTAGAGGTTAAAACTCTTTTTTTCTGTGCCTAGGTGTGCTCTTTTTCTTATTAGTGTTGAATCTGGCAAGTATGTTAACCCAGAAAATTGGTGTTGTTTTGCGAGACGTCGAACATCAGGAGGTACTGACGAGAATAAGTTATATCGAAATATGTTGAAAAAGCCGTCCCAGAATTCACAACCGAAATTTGTTCATCGACCAGGATTTCATCATAGGAATCAAGTTGGCTCAGGTAAATTATCGTTGTTGATTTTTGCGATACAAACGAAGTGAAGTGGTGATAATTACCGTCAGCGACCGTCTAAACCTATTAATACTTTCTCTTTCCCAGCAAAAGTTTGCTCTTGAACAATTATAGACCTTGCTTGTGACTGTAATACTCGTTATCTCCGCAAAGACGGCACCACTTCTAGTAATTATACAGCAGAAGAAAAGTAATAAGGGTTACGACCTAGTGACAGAACTTGATCTTAAGAAATTGTTGGTCCGAGTAGATAATGTTTGTGGCAGTTCAATATGGGTTTTGGGCTCCAGCTCTGATAGACAGCTATTAGATATTTGAGCATTGATCTTTCCTGACACATGTGTTTAGGTAGCCGAGCGAGAGATCAGCGCATGAATGTCTAGCAATTCGTTGAGAAATTTATAACTACCTTACCATTGAAGAAAACTCCTTGATGCTCTTCATCAATTTCCACACAACATCCCAGAGACACAATTCCTCTTTACGACCAAATTCCCGAGCTAGATAATACAGTCATCCTTGGAACCCTGTTCACGATATCTTATAGTAGTATATTTCCATGAAAAAGAAAAACAGTATGACATTACCACATACACAAAATTTCAGACTCCCGAGCATACTGACATCATGAGCTTCATTTTTTCACAACAATAAGCAATATGGAATTTGTTATCGAGAATAGCTTGGAGACTAATGCTTTTCGATCAAGTCAGGGATGCGAATTGGGATGCAATTTCAAAAATTGAGGCTGTGGTACGTGGTACATCGGCTCAACTCACTCTCAATGTGAGGTTCTTGTGTGCCCTGAGCTACTTCTCGACTGACGATAAAGGAGAAGATGAACATCAATAACTTGGATGTACGAGAAGATAATCCTGTTTTCATGGTAGAGTGTTCCGAGGTCGCCGGAAAGAGTTGAGTATATAAAGATCAGTGTCTCTATCTAGTATCATACATCACTCACCTTTCAGAAGCCATATACTCGAGAGCTTTCCAATTAGCCCCTCTCATCCTATTTTCACCGCAAGCTTCATCATGAAGTTCTTCACCACAGCAACCCTCCTCCTGCTCGTTCCCCTCAGTACTGCAAGAGCACTCCAAAGAGACTCGATTCCCATCACAGCAAGAGATTTGTCGACGAAATCAGACGAGATGTTAAATCGTGATGGCCTGCCACATGAAATCACGAAGAGACAGGGCTTTGCTCAAGCCCTCGTCAATGCACTTCCAGATATCCTCAAGACCTTGGGTCTCCGTGGTGTCGCACAGGACAGCACGAACCCATCGATCGGGAAAAGATCTCAACAAAGCTCGATTTCCGACGAGGACAACGAAGCTCTCCAAACTTTCATTCAAGAGTTACTTGGAAGTCTCGGAACGGTGCAATCAGACGGCAACTTGATAAATGGTAGAGGCCAAACACAAGCTATTGCAAAGAGACAGGGCTTTGCTCAAGCCATCGTCGACGCACTTCCAGCTATTCTGAAGAACTTAGGTCTCCGTGATATCTCACAAGACAGTCTCAACTCATCTTTCGAGAAAAGAGATCCAACACTACAAACTTCGGATGACGACGCTTCGACGCAAGGGATAGCAAAGCGACAAGGCCTTACTCAAGCTATCGCCAATGCGCTTCCCGATATTCTTAAGACCCTGGGTCTCCGCGATCTCTCACAAACAAGTCTCAACTCATCGTTCGACAACTGAGTCTCAGCATCAGAAAGCACAGCAGCTGATGTGGACAACCCGAATCTCCAACTTCTTATCCAATGATTGTTTGCAATCAGTGTACAGTGTTGGATATGTTGCGTGGAAGTTTCAATTACCCATCAAGATGTTGTTTCTTGCGACATGCTACTTCGTTTGCATGATGATGGTTGTGGTAGAGCAGTGTAGCTGAGATGATATTCCCTGATTTGATATATTTTCTTTTTGGTTTCCTGCACGATTTCAAGTTATGAAACGTTCCTGTATTTTAATTGTGGTGTTGCCAGGGACAGCAAATAGTAATCAAGTTCGCATATACTCAAACAGTTACTACTCCGTTCGTGTGAATAGCCCGATCTGTCCGTATTGGCTTTGGGTAGTTAAACAGCTTTACCGCAATGTTTAGAAAAAATCTGAAAAATGGTTAACGAAGATGTAGGAAGACTTTCGCTAGCAAAATAAGGCAATCGAAACACAATTGACTCTTACAGTAGTTTATCAAGTCACGGTATGTCTCGCCGACTAAATTTCTATCAAATAACAAAGTCTTTTGAGCTGTGTTCTAAAAGTCCATGAGTCTAAAAGATCTTACAGCTCAAAGTAAGTCTAATTTAAACTTTTAGCCAGATGGCTACCGACACTTATGTTTCCCAGTACGCGACACAGCTCTTTGAATAGCTTGCTAGACATACGAGCTTACAATATAGTAGGAAACGGAGCGGAACTCAGAACCTTCGGCTTCTCTTCAATTATCTGTGATTGCTAGAACAAATTGAACAAATCGCGATGCGTCGGAGCTGCGGTATGTGCGAACTGAAGGACTTCGATGTATTTGTAGTTCAGACCGTTCTAGGCCTGTGAGCCTGATCAATTTTTCTTCTTCCCCCAATAGAGCGATCAGAACGTCCACGTTCGGGGAATCAATTGCCTGACTGTCGCTTGTCCAAAGTCGACTGAACATGATCGGAAACAAAATCAAATACTATATCAACCACGCCGTCATTACTGGAGATTCTGTGTTTACCCTAATTGCTGTAAACCCAAGTACAGTAGCGTTCGATTCCAGTGTCCAGTCTCTAAGTTTATATGCGCCACACTTGATCAGCATTAGTCCCAATACAGTCAGTATTGCTGCTTGTAATATTTGTAGCCGTTGTCAGTTGCTGCTTCAACTTAGATAAAAGGTGTTCTGATCGATTGTCTGACGCTTCAGTACCAGTAACCAATTTTTCTCCACCCAGCAGCACCTACTGTAACCGACCGACAACTTCTCTTTAAACGACGCATCTATCAACAAGAACGTTATACCCAGTACTTTATAATAACCTACTTACCCTAGCTATAGGTGTCAGTAGTAAACCAGCGTCTCGGAAATCGAACAATCTACAAGAGTAGCCGGTTGTTCCGTTTTGTTTTAATTATTATTGGCCCCAGCCAAGAATTTGGACGGAAAGATGCGGGGTGCAGCGGGCTTCTAACCCCATGCAGCCGACCCCTGGTTTCAAGATTCTCGAACTTTTAATATCAGTACCGCTATTTTATATTAGGATGTGGAGGAGATTGCCTCTTTGGGCGAAACTATATCTAGTCTTTAATCGTTTATATCAACGTCCTACCTTTGTTGGGAATCAAGGTCCGAAATCGAGATTACTCCCCTCCAACTTGGATTCGCTTGCCTCCTTCACTTTCCAGTATTTCCAATCCTCGTATTCAATCTTTACTTGCTTCTGAGAGATGGGGAATACAATGAACTACAAATACGAGAGCTCCCCTCGTCGTCGTCCTGGATTTTTGGTTGGCAACAACCCCGACGGCACTCTCGTTCATTTTTCACATTCTCTCTTTTGCTAACTTCTTCTCTCGGTTCTTCTCTTTCGAATCGATACGATGAAGTTCTTGGTTTCTGCTGTCGTGCTGGTTGGCCTGGCACAGGCGCAAGTCAAAGGGAAGGCTCAGGGGTTTGGAAGATTGACAACTGGTGGAGGGACTGCAACTCCTCAAATACCAACCAGTCTTGCGCAGTGAGTTTCTGCTGAGAATTTCTGTCTCCAGACTAAGGTTCTTGTAACTGATATGTAAAGACTTGAGACATGGCTCACGGACGCTACTCCTCGTGTTATCATGATCAACAAGACCTGGGATTTCTCCTCTTCTCAAGGCACAACATCGACCACTTGCTGTTAGTTCACCCTTCGTTGTTTGAGAGAGCCGCGGAATCACTGCTGACTTCACACAAGGCCCAAACTCCTGCCAGCCCAACGGTCAACTCTGGATAATGGACACATGTGACTCCACCCGCGTCGCCTGCAAATATAACAACGCCCCCAAAAACCCCATCGCCATCGCCAGCAACAAGAGTCTTGTCGGAGTCGGCAGCGCCGGTGTGATCAAAGGCCGTGGCCTCCGCATGATCAACGGAGTCAACAACATTATCATCCAAAACATCCACTTCACCGGCCTGAACCCAGAGTACGTCTGGGGTGGTGATGCTATCACCCTCGACGGCACGGACAATATCTGGATTGACCACTGTAAATTCTCACTCATCGGCCGCCAGATGATTGTGAGCGGCTGGGGCGCTGCCGGACGTGTGACTATCAGCAACAATGAGTTCGACGGCAAGACGTCGTGGTCTGCTTCTTGCAATGGAAAACGTAAGTTAACAGAGCTACCCAGGTTTCTCTCTATCTTTCCCCAAATATAACATATATTGACTTCCCGTCAACCAGACTACTGGATGATGCTCCTGATCGGTGTCAAGGATTTCTACACCTTTAGTGGGAACTACGTGCACGATGCTTCTGGACGTGCGCCTCACATGGGCACCGACAAGACGGCCTCGCGAATCCTTTTCCACGGCGTGGGCAATTACTTCAAAGATGTCGGCGGCCACGCGTTCGATATCGATGTTGGCACTAATGTTCTGCTCGAAGGCAACTATTTCGATTCTGTCTCCGAGCCAATTACCGCTCCCTCGTTGACAAAGAGTACCTTGATGTCTATTGTGACCGTGGCCGATGCTCAGCTCTGCCAAGCTAAGTTGGGATATGTCTGCGAGTGGAACCGTCTGGTCAATTCGGGTTCCTTCCCATCAAAAACGAGCACCGCGCTGTTGGATGCTTTTGCGCCGTGGAAGAACTCTTTGGTCGCTCACGTCCCGGTCGCGGATGTTCCAAAGACTGTGTTAGCCAACGCTGGTATTGGAAAGATTTAGGTTAGAGAACTGAAGATCTTAACTTTACTATTTTACTTCTATGTACATATATTAATCGTTTGGTGGGGGGGAGGCTGGCTATTTGAGAAACGTCGAATATGCTCTCCTCATTTATAAGTAATTGTTTATTGCCATAGGCAATAAGAGTAAGAATTCGTTTTACCTACACAATAGACCTAACTTTAAGTACTGATTGCAGCTGAAAATGACGCATTGTCGTCATTGACAGAGGTTAGTACAATCATCCCTCAATAAAGACATGCCAAAAGCAGCAGCTAATAACCTGAGGCTATAATATGGATCAAAATCTTTCTAACCGTATTGAGTCTGGTGATGACTAAGTGTAGCTTAGATAAACTTGAAGATTATAGGTAGGTATGTGGAAAGAGGACACCGCAATTGACGTCCACTGTATCTGGAAAGAGTCAAAGGTTCTTCTGCTGAGATTATATGACAGGCTTCTAATTATCGAGCCGCTCATGTGTGAATTCGCCCCGCTTTCCCGCATGAATGGAGACGGAATTAGGAAATAATTGTAGGCTTTATGCAATTCAGACAGGCAGCCGAATACACGGAGCGGTGCAATCGGCCAAGACATGCAGCAGAAAACACCAAAAACATGGCAGAAACGGCCGTAAAAATCATGAAATTTGCAAAAAGCTGGTCTCACACAACCCTGATCGTCCAAAAAAGTCAATAACCTTTGATTTGAAATGCGTTTCAAAGCCAAGCCTTTGGGCGATCGAGAATGGTGTGCACGCTGCGTGCTGTATGCTGCACGGAGTTGCATTTTCCGGCCGCTCGGGCGGGCTCCGATTTGAGGTAGATACAAAAAAAATAATAGGAAAAAGGCGACCGTCGTTTCGGCCCCAGGAACTTGAAAAGACGAAAAGTTGACGTTATAAGGGGGAGGATAGCGTAGTAATCGAGATGCAGGACTGGAAAAGGCTACCAGTTGAGCTGACAGAAATATCTCCAGGTTACCTACACATATGCAACCTTAACAGAGTGTAGCAAAAATAGCCGAGTGCGAACGAACGAGCCCGGCGCATGAACATGGTAAAGATGAGTGAGATCGTAAATCTCACCTTTTCGTTGATCTAGAGCTTCAACACGCACTTGACAGAAGTATATGTCTCTTGCGTGGTGTAACACGGCAGAATGTCAGGGTTTACTGGCACCGAGGTGAACAGCAACAGCCCACACTGCAGTGCATCAGTCGAGACGCACAATGCTGGCATCTACGTCAACATTCCATATCTTAAATGAGTGAAAAATATTTCGGACAAAACAGTTTGTACTGCATACCTAGGTAGGTAGGTAGACCTTCATCATTGGCACTAAAGTCGCCGAATCACGTGTACGGCCCCTTATGGCCGTCATCCGGCGCCCCGCAAATTGATGGTGCCTCGATTTGAATGTTGCATCGAGCCGGAGTGGTAGGGTTGTGTGTTTTTTGTGGCTTTCTTTTCGTTCGTGGCCCAGTAGATTTATACTGATTCCAATGAAATATGCTGGTTTGTGGCACGTACGTCCATACCTCAAGCTCGCTCCAGCTCACTTGAAATGGAGATTCACACGTTTACCATGTGGTAGCCTTGTTTGAGAAGAACGCATGGGGCGGCGCGTTTAATAGCCCAGATGTCCGATATAAAGTATCGCGGCCGTAACGACTACCACGACTCGACCTGCGATAATCCCGTCTTTCTCGGTTCGTATATTTGGAGCCATAGGATGGTATCGTTCTGTTTCATATCAAACACCTGCTTCCACCTTCTTGATCGGTTCATCCTGGAGTATCAGTGCATGCTTTCAATACTTTCGGTCATCGAGACTGTCGGCAAAAAGCTGTAATAAATACCGCGAGATGGCCCGACAGAGGCCCAGTTGGGTGAACAAGACCCTTTTGACGAGTCAGGTTTACGACGTTATTGAAGGTTTTGTATCGAGTCCCAATTGCGAGGCCTCCGAAATCGCAACGTCATTAACGTCGCTGTTCCTACCCTTTACAAGAACCAGAAGCGATATCGAGAATGTTGATTGCTTGTGGGGAACGATTTTCTGGACGGCGTCGACCTTTTTTCCTGGGGCGACCGAGCACTGGCGGCTTATAGAGCTTGTTCGTGAAATCCAGAGGATTCCAGCACCGCCGGGAGAAGCAATAAGCGCGGACGAGGATGCGAATGGTCATGAGTGGTGGGTAGACCTTCCCGGATGGACAAGAGTTTGGGCAGATCTAGAATGCGATGCGCCCATTACAACACCCATACGGAACAGAAAGGGAGCAACACAGGAGCAGCCGATGAAGTTTACGCCCGGGCCGTGGCGACGTGAAGATGGGAAACCAATGTCCGCGTTGGCGTGGACGAATTTAAATGCCTTTGCTGCTAAATTGTACGCCCAAACACCCCTAGACTATCTAGGTCTGATAGGATTACAGTCCTTTCTAGAGGCACTGGAGAAGGATATATCTCCCAGAGACCTCGACAATGTGGTTCCCGCAGCGGCATGCTGGGTCTTATCAGCCGGAAAAAGCCTTTGGGATAATAGTGAGGAGTTTGGCATGGCGATCAACGAGCGAGACCCAATTGACAGCTTGACTATGTCTGGCGGAGAGCTGTACACCGGCACAAGAGGGTTATCTGACGAAAGATGGACATTTTGGAAGGAACGCTTTGCTATCTTGAGCAAAAGGCTGGACCTGAGTCCCAACACTCGACTGTTCGCTTCTCAGGCGTTTGATGAGATGAAATGCATTGAAGTCAGAAAATAGCCAAGCCAAGCCAAGTCGGTCGCTGGTACTGGAATTCCCGGATTCAAGCTGTCTTCAGCGTCGCTCGCTACGGACAGACAACAAGACAGTGAACACCAATCGACGAGAGAAGCTTGCATGAAGACTATTGAAGTTAGTATTGCCCACGAGTGGGGTAAATATAAGTATGGAGTAATTGCTTGCTCACTGCGCCCGCTGGAACTGCCAAACTGCATGGTGATATTGAGGAAATGTGTTCAACAAATGAGTTTATGGCGAGACCTCGGTCTGAGGGCTGATTGCGAAGAGCATACTGGGAACGGTGATATGAAGACTGATCTTCAACTAAACTGTCTGTTGTATTGCAAATAGGGTTTCATCATTAACAGCTAAAGATGAAGTACTCCATGGTCATCGTGTTCTGGGCGCTGTTGAATATAAATCTAGCCTATTCGAGCTGTCAGATTCAACTCTGAGGTATTTTAAGAAATGAAAGAAATCCTCACATTCTGAATTATGTCCTTAAATGGCGGCAAACCTCCATATGCTGTGCTAGGACGGCAGAAACGCAGATGCGAGTATTCGTAGGGCGTGAAAGGGGAAATAAGGTAAACATAACATAAATAGCGCGGATACATCCCCACCAAGTGAAGAAGTTTTGTTGGAGATGAGAGCGACATGAATAAGAAAGCAGAAAATGTTGAAGTTGTTGTGAACCAAAGACTTGGGGGAAACCTGGGATAGAGGCAAGTCATCCCGACCTTGCTCCGAATTTCAGATGCTACGGCCCGAGCAAGTTCGGAGCGGGTAAACATTAACGCTGTAATCCGCAAAATCTCCTTTCGCATTCATGTCGAGGAGATCAGGTCAACCCCGGAACTCTCCATCTCACAGCGACTGTGGAAATAGCAATGTCGGGTAAGGTACAGAAGCTTGCAGCTTCTGCCCAACGGCAGATGAATGCCGTGGTGGTGTCTTCAGGTCTTATGCATAAGACTGTGAAGGTGCGTGTTGGAGTTCAAAAATGGAACAACCACATTCGAAAGGTATGCATTTGTCTAGTTTCTTTTTCCTCCGCGATTAAAGTTTCAGATTCTACCAGACTTCGGTCCTGTGCATACTCATTTACTCATGTTTTCAGGATTTCAATGGCACTCAACACCTGATGGTACATGATCCAGCATCATCCCTCCGAACCGGCGACATTATCAGTATATCGTCCGGTTGGCGTGTAAGCAAAAATGTACATCATGTAGTACGCAGTATACTAGCACCTTTCGGCGAACCAATTGAGGCGAGACCAGCAGTTCCAACGGAAGAACAGAGAATGGCGGAAAGGATCGCAAAACAAGACGCCAAGATAGCAAGGAAGCAGGCGCGCGAAAGGGGTTATATCTTGCCAAAAGACTCCTATACACCAGAAGAACTCCAAACAATCAAGGAAAGGCGGCAGGCTAAAAGGGACAAATGGATACAAGGTTATGAGGCCGCCAAAGGAGAACCCATGCCCGACAAGTTGAAGTTTCGTTTTATGAATTACCAAGAGAAGGTGGAGTATTGCGAGGCCAATGATCTGCCGATTCCAGAACACAAGCCAGTGGTAAAGAAGGAGAAGGTAGCGGCTATGCCACCTACCTCCGAGGAGCTTGCTGCGATTAGACAACAACGACAAGCAAAAAGGGAAGAACGGTCGAAGTTGTACAAAGAGCGAACAGGTACGGAAATACCGGATTGGCAGCTCTATAGCTGGATGAATGTAGCGGAGCGCAAAGAATGGCACGCAAGAGACCCCGAGACAGCTCGGACGGCAGAGCTCAAGTGGAGAGAAAATCGGGAGATAAAGTATAATCAGTCGAAGAACTTGTAAAATGTGTATAAGACGGCGTTTTGGAACGAGGACGATATTGTATCATAAAACTGGTCAAGCGCATTGCAGGAGTATACCAGAAGAAAACTTAGCTGCCCATTACAGATATTTGTTGCTGGAATCTGGTTCTTCCCGCTTCTGTCGAATGGCTTCGTCATCCACTGGTGTCTGTTCGAAGCTATCCAGGATATATTTTTGACCTGGATCAAGGCACATCTGGAGGATTTGGGCTTCACCCCGGGGTATAGCGAGTCATTCAAAATAGACAAGTCGATGTATCACTTGAAGCTACCTCCTTTGTATTATGTATCTTTTATGCTGGGTCAGTCGCACTAGAGCTCTATCAGTTTTGCCATTTCGACCTCTAACAAGCGATTTTGTGGAATTAGAAGTGAGTATGTATAATAAACCACACATCGGGTCCCCGCCCACTGGCGCCCATATTAGTCTGTCTAATCGAGAGATAATAGTCCTATTAGTAAGGGAACTCACGTCGTTCACTATAGGGCTCATGTATTAAATTCATGTTTTTTTTGCTGAATCGCTTACACTTTCTTTGTTTTCCTCAGCTTCCTAACATTGCACAAAGTCGCACCAAATAATGTTGCCAAATCTTTTGTTCACTGTCACCCTTTGTAGCATTCAGCTGTTTGACTGATATGAGAACAGCAATAAGGATACTTCTACTACTTCTAACCTTCTAACTTTTCCACACTTAACAACAAGTCACCACACAGTCTCTGAAATTATCAGAGAACCCAAGATCCGTCCCAAACACTCCTTCTCAAACTCACTCAGAATGATCGGCTTTGGCGACGACAGCACCATGGATGACTCTTCTCCCATACTTCCGATGTATGACCCAGCATTGCTCCCAATCACTAAGCGCCGCTCCATGGATGAAGTAGATTGGAATCTCATTTATGCTATCTCTTTTTGTATGGTATTGGTATGTCTCTATCTTGCCATCACCCGTGATTCCTCCGGGAATTAAACCTGCCTGTTGTTAACTTTTCCCGACGAGAATTTGTCAAGAGGGGAACAAAAAATGCAATGATATAACCAAATACAACTTCCCAATCTTTATTTAAATTAAACTTCCATGCACTGTTTCATGTTGACTGTCCCAGAAAATAGTTTCATAACACTTCCACCAGTGACTAAATATTTACATCTTATCAATACTCACACTTATGGACCCTAGTAAGAATGCTTTTATTTCAAAGTCGTAGGAAGAAGAATGTGCGAAGGGGGATGGGTCAAAAATCAACTTGAGTCAAATATCGAGAAGTCACCAGTACAACCACTCCCATCTAGGGTCATGGTGACGGAAAATCATACAGGCATTCATTTACAAACGTATGGATATCCATCCATATGTTGATTGGCACTCAACATTGCTGGAGTGAGATAATTTATGGGGTCTAGATTCACACCGTTAATTTTTGATTCACAAAGTTAAACATGAATTACCAGTTTCTTTCATTTAATAAATGTGGCAGGCTAGTTAGTCAGAGTTCTCATTGACCACTCAACCACTTTGGTCTTGAGTCACCTGAACAGCCTTATAAAATAGTTATGAAAACTTTGCTTTCTTCAACCAAACATCATCAGCCAGTCTTCTCAGTCTTCTACATTTGCAGCCAGGAACACTTCACACAACTTTTACAAAACTTCAAAACTTTAGAAACCTTCACAATATGGCAGACTCCAACATCCCGAACGTCAACGAGAAGGAAGATTCAACACCTCCACCGCCTGCATCAAGCTATCCAACTCGAGGTCGTAATGGAGAATACCAGTTTACCCTCCACACAGCAGACTTCAATCTAATCTCTCACATCGGTCTCGGAGTCCTTTTCATGATACTTTCCACTGGCATCGCAACCTACTTCCTCAGCTTCGGACGCACGAACTATTTGGCCTTCGTCATCTGGCTATTGAATCTCGCGCTACAGTATATCCTGATTCTTATCCAGCCTTTCCGTGAACTGAACAATAGCTTGCGACCATTGTGTACCTTCCAAATGGTTTCACTCGTTAGCTATTTCGTTACAACGGTACTTTGGTTCTTAGTTATGGTGAATTCGAAGGGTAACGCCTAAATCACCTGCTCGCTACTAGTAAACTTCGTATTATGGGCTGAATTACAGGCAAGGCAATACTAAAAGGGATAGAATCTCTCAAAGTAGTCACACGCAACAAACTACTGACTCTAATCTCACTGAGGGTCAAAAGACTAGCTACTAAATATAAATATGTTACCTCTAAAAAATACTTAAAGTCCTTATAATTCAGAAGGATGCTTATAATCTGAATAATAATAATATTTTTGAATTGAAACAATGAATCATAAACGTTTGAAATAAGAAGACTGATTAGTCAACACCAAAAAGTCTGCTCTTGAATATTTGCAAAGTTAACTGCTTTATGTAATATTTAACTTGTGTGTGTACATAGAGAAGAGCGCAGAACTCTCATCCAGTACCTGTTTTTACTACTGTCAGTAAAGGTCTAAGCCACAAATTCACATATTCAAGTGTGAATTAGCCTTGTTGTATTTCTAGATATAATCGGTTCTCATCTGTTCTTAGTGAGGTGAACAACAGGTTCAATGAGTAGATATAAGGACCCTCGTCTCTTCTACGGGATCCTCTGTTCTTCTACTGATCGTTACCACAGAACCACACTCATACACAACCACACTCATAAGCAACCACACCTATAAACAACCACTCCAGTCACAGGAAATACTTCACACACACAAGACCTTACAAGCAAAACCTGATAGACTATCACATCATGGCAGATTCCAACATCCAAAATCCCCAGAACCCGCCTCAACACAACCTTGTACAACCTACTATTTCTGAAATCATTTTCAGCATACTCCAAGACACATTTTCTGCCACGCTCCTCTCATTGGCATACTGCTCAGGGCTTGGTGGCTTTGGAACACTCTTCGGCAGTATAATTTCTGGCCATTATCGCTCATTCGTTCTCTGCGCAATAACCTTGGCCATGAATTATGTATCTTTCATGAAACAACCTGTCTATCAAGGGAATTTTTCAACATATCTGGCATTTTCGGCACGGTGCTCCCTCATAAGCTCCTTTGCTGCGACTCTCCTCACGTTCTACAGTCTGATAGCAGTTGAAATTGGTGCAGAGTTAACCAATCGATCAATCACTTCTCTGATTATTGAGGAGCTTGCCAACGGGCTTAGAGAAGGGATCCTACAGAGAGAGATGTTCTGAGGTGAGGAAAGTAGCACTCGAAAGATAGTCACCGCTATTCTCATTTAGGAACCGTAGACTAGCTACCCTAAATCAATATACTGCATTTACTTATTACTGCATTTACTTATGAAAACAAATCTTATTAAAAACATTGTATGTGCTTTGAAATATGTCATCCTTAAACTTAGAACTTTGAAATTGTTATAATGTTAGAAGACTATACAGCAAGATTAGACAGATCTACTCTTGAGATTCCGTATCTTCAACGATATACTCTTAAAAGGTCAGCCATTACTTTCTCATATACGAAGGTATTACAGGTGAGACGCTAGAACTAGAAGTCAGTGAACATCCTACTCAGTACCTATTCATAATCTTGTAGAGATATACTTACTACTTCACCTCACTGGCGTGAATTAGCTTACTTTTCCGTTTATTCAACATGCATGACAGTTTCACTCTAATTTTATTGTGTCATGAGATTCATTCTGTTCTGTCAGCTGAACAATCAGTAAACTAGGTATAAAATCTCTGGCTTCTCAACACAATATACAATTCAACACTCAACCTTCAACTCTCCGTCCACAAACATTTCAAACACACGAAAGCCTTCACACTCAATAATCATTTCCCGAAAGGACCAAACAAATTTACAACATGGCAGATATCACAGCTCTCTACGCAAACCGATACTTCGACGACGAAGAGAAAAGAGACTGGAACGCACCACCACCTGCATCACCTCCAGACTACAAGGAAGCCCTAGCTCGCGAGCATACCATAGTCCGAAATCGACAGATAATCTTCTTCGACATCATGCGACTCGTGATCTGTATCGGGATAACCTTAGAGGTATTATATTACTGGGCAACTGACAATTCCTTGTCGGGGCTCAACATCAGTCCTAACGGACTCCTAATCCTTTCCGTCGTGTACTGTGTATTTCAATGGATCGCATTTTATTGCACTGCTGTTTACGGAGGGCCAGTACTGGAAGAGAAGAACCTAAAACTGTCACAAATCCTTAACGCGACATGTTTACTTTGCTCTGTCTCATGTTCGTTTTGCGCCTTGGTTGTGGCTCTCCTTGGGTTATGCGTTGCAGTAGATTCGCCTTATGGAAGGTACTACTACTGTTGATCGAGCAGCTTCGTCAATTGGTTTTGGGATTGGGAATCTTGAATGAGATAGAGGTTCTTAGGATGGCGGTGCTCAACAGACTAGCATCGTCATTCTCATCAAGTTCCTCGAAACAAACTGGCACACACCATCTACCACTGCACTGATACACCAAGTCTTCTGGGGAAACAGAGAACGCACTCAATTAAAGGATGACTTTCAACAACTCCTCCTTTAATCACAAAAAATCAATTAATCATTTCAACAATAACAGACTTGACATCCCATGCATAATGGAGCCTTTGAATTAGTATACGTGAGACAGTGAAAGTAAAATATTCTTTAACGACTTACAGATAGATAGTCTTTGTGAGAAAAGAAGAAACATTACTGTGATAACTCTACCACTCTTCAAATTACAACTATAGTATTAGTATTTCCTTTCACAAATAGTATAACTTTTTTATAATCAACATAAGAACAATAATAAAACTAAAAGAAGATATTTCTTTCGACATCATCAAATCTTCATGTATTTTCAAGCCGTTTAACAGCCAACTTCTAATTTTCATTAGAGCACTTTTATCTTCTACCAAGACCCATGCTTTTCGTAAAATCCTACACCATTCCCTAACAAAATAACCATACCTCATATCTTCGTCAAACCATGTATTCATTTCCCCTCCAAAACCCCACCAAGAACATCCCACCCATCTCTCCTCCACGGCGCAAACATAACTGCCTTCTGTGCGTCTCCAACTTTCCCCGTCCCGGCAAACACACTCGCAAGATCCGCGCCTTCAAGTTGACCACGGGGAGGAACCGCTTTGACAGCTGTGACCAATGCCGTCTCAGCAACTTCATTATCCGACTCCGCGAGTTCGGCGAGACGACTCCAGCCATAGGGCTGGTTTGGGTGAAGGAGGATATCTGTTTGGATTTCCGCGAGGACAGCTTGGTCGGCGTCATCATTGGATGACAAGGCGGCAGTGGCGCGTAGAATTTCGCTGACTTGTGATATCTCTAAGTCGGTGATGGAATGAGTTGCACGTAGCTCTTGGAGGGTTGAGGAGACTGCTTCAAGAGATTCATCGTCTTGATCAAGCAGGGCGATGACTCCTAGTAATATGACTGATTGTACATGATTTGGATGGCTTTCAACGCAGTCGAAGAGAAGATCGCGAGCTTGCGTTTTCGAAGGCTCGTCTCCATTTGCCCATAATACCTGTGCAAGAAGGCATACGGCATCTGGATTCCCGTTGGATTCTTCCAGTGCAGGTTTGAAAAGTTCCAGAGCTTTAGCATGAGATTTGTTGTAGTAATGTGCTAACCCGACAGTCAAGTGGGCTGATAATCTGCACTTCTTGCGGTCTTCAGCGGTGAGTTCGTTACCCGCATCATCGGCACTTAACTCGAGAGAGGTTTCACCACTATCAATCGCGGCTGCGTATGCGCCTGCTGCGAGTTGTGAACGCGCCAGGTCTGCTTTTGCTAGGGCAAATCTAGAAAGTGATGAAGGTGATTCAGTGACTTCATAATCCGCCTCGACAATAGAGCAGATTTTTGATAGATTCTCGACGGTGGATGCGACGTCATTGATTCGCTCAGAAAAGAGGGTAGATAGATGAGAATGTGCCAAATCAGTAGGCATCATCGCCTGCAACTGATTTAAGGCGAACAGAGGCTGAACAAGGTCTGTAACACTTGCAATAGAAGATGTAGCAAGTATCTGGTCGAATGTTGACTGCGAATACTGTCGCTTTGTGATCAAGGAAGATGACTCCGAGATTTCAATGGCGTGGGTGAATAGCAGATTCGCCTCTCGGACATCACCAGTCATCAAAAGTGCCAAGAGACCTTGTCCAACCCAGGCGTGAGCAAATTCAGGATCACTTGACTGAGCTCGAGTAAAAGCTTCATTTGCAAGACCCATATCGTTTTGCAAAAGATACAGCGTGCCCAGGTTCGTCCACGTGTGAGGACTGCGCTCGTTTAAAAATAAACTTCGTACGAAAGAGTGCTGAGCGACTTTGGGGTTCAATACGCTGGTCACAACTCCAAGTGCATTCCAGAATTCTGAGTTTCCTGCTTCCAACTCAATGGCTCGCTTGAAACAACGGACTGCAGCTTTGAGGTATTTGCTGGACTTTTTCTTGAGACTTTCGCCTAGACAAACGTGGGCTCGATGTTCTGCCCAACCCAGGTTGTAATAGGCGACAGCCTGGGCATGGATATCTTGTGCCGAGGAATGGACGGCTATTTTATGGGACAATATAGCTCCATGAAGGCATCTAGTAAGATTAACACCTTTTTGGTGACCCTTGGCGAAGATACCATCAGCAAGAACTACATCGGTGTCCACACCGTCAACATCTGCAAATAACTTGTAGGCTTCCCGTTCGGGTTCAAGTCTCAAGAGGTACTTAACGTTTGATGACGGAAATTCAGGAAGTCGATCCTGGACCCAAGAAAATATTGAGCAGGCATCTCCAACTGCTTTCCACAGATTGAAAGCGTCGGCAGCGCCAGTATTCGTAAGGTTGATAGCTGCGTCGATAGTCTCCGAGGCGCGATTTGCAGCATAACCGAAGAGACCTTTTTCAATACCATCCCATGCGCTTTCGACAAGGGCTTGGATTAAGGCGATGGAAACCCCAAATTCGGTAGGATGCTCTTCTAGTACACTCTGGTATCCCTCGATGGCTTCATCGTATTCGCCAAGTTCCCTCTTGACATTAGCGAGCATATGCTTTGCGAACCAAGTTTCTCCTGATTTCTGCCTCGTTATTTCTTCTTCAAACCTTTCGGCATGTTGAAATGCTTTGGTAGCCGCAATGTATCGCCCGGAATTGTGGTAACTCTCTCCCAAACCGACCCAAGAGTTATAATCGTCTGGGGATATTCTAAGAGCGGACTGGAATGACACTATACTCTTCGAATAGTCTTGTTTGTTAAGTTCCGCAACACCTAAAGCTGCAAATGGCCAGCTGATACCTTTCTTCTTCGATCCTGGTGCCGGCCTAACTTTTCCGGATTCCACCACCCTCTGAGCTACCACTTCTACGAGGTCCCAGTCGCTCTGCTCAGCGAATATGCGAGCTAATCGCTCAGCTGCCTCGACTTCGGATGGTGAAAGTTCAAACGCCTTTTGAAAACACTTCCTAGACCTCTTCTTATCGTTTGTATAATCCGCATAAAAGATTCCGAGGCTAGTGTAAGCCGGAGCGAAATTGAGATTGCTCTTTAATGCAGCCAAAAAGTAAGCGTAGGCTCCATTTCGGTCTTTTCTCGCTGACTTTGAAGAGTCAATATTCCATATGCAAACACCCAATCGATATTGGCATTGGGCAAGGAGGTCTTTTGACCGCGTATCTTTTCCATCGATCTTCGGAACACATCTCTCCAGATCACTTTTTCCGGCAACGTAGTCACCGCTGAGAGCCTTCACCCACGCGGCCTCGGCTCTGATCCGAACGTTATCAGGATCTTTCTTAAGTGCACGTCCGAGGAAGTCAACAGCCGCTGCATAATCCTCCTCTTCTTCATATATCAATCCAATTCCGATTAACGCCGGTGTCAAAGTCGGGTTCTGCTCAAGAAGCTTGTCGAACAAAGATTTAGCTGCAGGGTGGTTCTTTGGCGATTGATAGAAGACAAGGCCAGTAGCAAGGAGTGTTGTAATGGCCCGCAGAGAATGAGCAAATGATAGACCAGTTTTCTCACCTTCAGTCTTCACGAGATGTTGAGCATTTCGCATCAGCTCAACAACACTTTCATGTTCTTCGAGGAACTGATAGTATTCACCCATTAGTCTGTGCGCCAAGATTGATTTTCCAGCCTCCGAGATACCCTCGCTCATGAGAATCAGCCTATCCTCCGCAAGCATCTGCTCATCTAATGATACCCCTCCTCCTTGGTCGTCGTCATCCTCACTCTCATCAGATGCTGTGGTTTCTTGAGGAGCAGGTGTCGTCCGCGGGGCGGGAGCTGGAAAGGATGATATTTCACACCCCATGTAAGCCCTCAAAACTTGTCCCAGACCGCTGGCAGGGAAGAATTCATAGTACTCACGGAGCACATTTGGGTCTAAATCTGAGATATTTTCTGTGTCCTGCCATTCTAAGGCAATATCCCATGCTAATTTGAAGGGATGTTTGATGATCACCATGTCTCTGGCTAGTTTCTGCGCCTTGGATCGTTTTGAATTCTTCTCTTCTCCCGGCGGGAGAACTTCTAGAGCTTCGACGCATCTCTCAATGAGCTTTTCCTCGTATTGTCGGCGAAGATCATCATCAGTGACCCAGTCAATGACCTGCTCATAGAGATCCTCCAAGTCACTATCTTTGAGCACTTCCCTCTTGACTTCTGCTGTTACCTGGCCAATTTTGGCACCGAGTCTGGTTCGCCTCTCACCAATCTCTTTATTGATTCGTTCTTTCTCATCAAACTCGGTGATCTGAGCCATGATCTGATATGTATAACCAGGGCGCGGCACTCTGCCTTCGAGAAAGTCGTATATCGGAGATCCAGGCAGAATTATCTCTTGGGCTTTCTTATGCTGAAGTCGCGTTCCCTGGCTCTTTGCGAAACCAAGGAATTTATCCACCACATCCTGACATTTATGTTTCTCTTCCGTTTTCTGGTATAACTCTGCCAGCTGCAATGCCGCAATCTGATATTTCCCTACCGCCGGACTGCCTTGTCTCTCGTATAGTTGTATTAAGCCTTGCCACGGATTGGGGTCGTCCCTCTTGAGCTTGGTTGCCGCATCGTATGCCTTCTCGGCCTGTACATAGTCGCCTTGTTTATTCAACGCAAACCCGAGAAGAAGGTTACTGTATATTATCAGCGTGGGGGTATCAAGAGCATTGGGACTATCATTACGCTTGATAATTCTTGGCATCTGAGGCCAGCAACTTTTCGGCATCTTTGATAGCATCATCATATTTTTCTGCTTTGATGGCCGTAATAATCGACTTCAGCGCAGCTTTTGCGGACATGATTGGACTGTGAGACTCCTATCCAGGACATCTAAGCAAGGGGAGTCAAATATGCGGATAATCATGGGGCGGGATGTTCTGTGATACCGATCAATGGTGACGGTCCAACAATTTTAGTCCACAGACAGATGGTACCTTTTTCCAGAAAGCTTCTCAGCCTTGTCATTGAGGTTGTGCCACCACGCTGGAAGACCGACTCAGTGGGGTAGCATGCCCCTCCCATGCGGTCGGATCGGGGGTACGTCGGGCCGTCGTGAAGGATGGCAATGAGCGCCACTGACATCCATCACCATTTTCTTGCTCGGTTGGCCCGCTGCAGCTGGGACATGCACCTGGCTCCCACTGCTGCTGCACCTTCAGCTTTCCTCTCTACCTACTCATTATTCAGCGCATTTGCTTCTTCAACCGAACCAATACTCGATTCTCTTAATACAAGTCCTGGCTCAACGTAGTCCAGTCTCGGATTAGATTGGATTCTTAAGTAGCTCATTTCAATACTCCTTGGCCAACCATATTCTGACATTCAATCGTACAGACGAGGCTGTTTGTAGCGAACACCACCCGTGGACTTACTCGAGGTTTCACCCACCACACCCATTACCAGCAGGGCCCGCAGCATCAGCGTCATCGATAGCCCGATTACAGCCTTGAAGGGGTTTCTGGTATTCTTTCGCTTTTGCGCACCTCCAGCAGCGACACGACTACTCCTCCTACATCGTCGTCGGCTTGGTTCTCTAGGGCACCGTTCTCAATCGCATACGCGGCAGATCAACAATATGGCACCCTTGAGACTCACAATCGAGAAAGGCATCTTCCGCGATTCCCGAGGAAGAGAGGTCACCCTGCGTGGGATAAACTTAGCAGGCGATGCGAAGTATCCCAGTAACCCAGAGCAACCATCTCATGTGGCGGACGACTTCTTCGAGGGCGATAATGTCACTTTCCGAGCCCGCCCATTTCCCAAGGAGGATGCCCACATTCACTTTGCGCGACTCAAGCGGTGGGGATACAATACGATACGTTATGTTTTTACCTGGGAGGCGATAGAAGCTGCTGGGCCTGGGACTTATGACGAAGAATGGATTCAGCACACGATTGAGATACTGAGAATGGCGAGAGATTATGGCTTCTACATCTTTATGGACCCCCACCAGGACGTGGTATGTCTCCCTATCATCATACCGTAATCTGCGCTGACTTTCTACGAAGTGGTCAAGGTTTTCGGGAGGTTCGGGAGCCCCTATGTGGACTCTATATGCGTGTGGTCTGAATCCACAGAGCTTTGCGGCTACTGAAGCCGCCTTGGTTCACAACATGTATCCCGAGCCTGAAAAGTTCCCGAAAATGATCTGGTCCACGAACTATACACGATACGCTTGCCAAACCATCTTTACTCTTTTCTGGGCCGGGCGGGATTTCGCGCCCAAATGCATTATTGACGGGAAAAACATCCAGGATTATCTTCAGGAACATTTTGTGGGTGCTTGTGCTCACTTGGCAAAGCGAATTAGTGAAGCGGGGGATTTGGAAGACGACATTGTTATTGGATGGGAAAGCATGAATGAGCCAAATCGGGGAATGGTAGGCTATCCGGACATCTCGGTCATCCCAGACGAACAGAAACTGAAGAAGGGTACGTCTCCTACGGTATGGCAGGCTATCCTAACGGGCTCGGGCCGCGCTTGCGAACTGGATACCTGGGACTTTGGTGGCATGGGCCCTTATAAATCTGGGCGAGCCCTCGTCGACCCGCAAGGGGAAACTGCATATCTACCAGCGGACTATGATGAGTCGAGATATGGCTACAAGAGAGATGCAGGCTGGAAACTAGGAGAGTGTATATGGGCCCAACATGGGGTATGGGATCCGAGCAACGACACAATTTTGAAGAAAGACTATTTCAAGAAACACCCAAAGACGGGCGAGGTTATCGACTATGAACAGTTCACAAACACATACTTCATGGAGTACTACCGCATGCACAGGGACGCGATACGGGCGCATCATAAGAACGCCATCATGTTTTGCCAGCCACCAGTTCTGGAGCTTCCCCCATCAATCAAAGGAACTGCAGATGATGATCCGAATATGGTTTATGCTCCGCATTACTATGACGGTATAACGCTCATGACCAAGAAATGGAACCGGTACTGGAACGTCGACGTGTTCGGCATCTTGCGTGGTCGATATTTGAGCCCTGCCTTCGCGGTAAAGATTGGTGAGACTGCAATTAGAAACTGCTTACGAGACCAGTTGACCGCTATTCGAAAAGAAGGCTTAGATTATATGGGCGATCACCCCTGTGTGCTCACTGAATTCGGTATACCATATGATATGGACGACAAATATGCGTACAAGACTGGTGACTACTCTAGTCAATCCGGCGCTATGGACGCCAATCATTTTGCAGTCGAGGGTAGTGCCATGGCGGGGTACACCCTGTGGCTGTACATGTGTGAAGTATATGGATGCAACTCCGTTTTAGAGCTAAACTAACTTTCCGTAGAACAATCATAAGCTGGGCGACCAGTGGAATGGTGAAGACTTGTCGATATTCTCCCTCGACGACCGGCCGTTACCACTATCTCCTGTGCCTCAGTCTCCGACCAACGAATCGACGCTCACCGTGGATCAAAAGTTGGGGAGCAACACTAAGAGAGAGTTCTCTGACGAGTCAACTGTTAATCCAGGTAATTTGAAAGCTAAACTCAAGACGCCTTCGATATCATCGCAGGCCACCACAGACAAGCCACCCGAGCTCACCAATAGTCCAGGATTTCGTGCCGCTGAAGCATACGTACGTCCTTCACCATTTGCAAGTGTTGGCAAGATTATCAACTACGGCTTTGACCTTCGTAATTGCGTCTTCACTCTGAATCTAAAAGCAGATAAGGTGGCTCCACAAGACTCGCCAACTGAAATTTTCCTGCCCGAATTTCACTTCCCCAAAGATGTCTGCGATGTGGAAGTATCTGGGGGAAAGTGGACAATCAACACTGATGATGAAGACGGAGGCATGATTCAACGACTTCGTTGGTGGCATGCTGAGGGCGAACAGTCCATCAAAGTCACAGGCGTGCAAAGACGACAAAATATGTCTCTTGGTAAGGAAGAGGAAGAGGGTTATCTGGATCAATGTCAGCAGAGCAAGTGCGGTTTGATGTAAAGATATTGATGGTTTATTGAGTTGCATAGTCAGGCGTTTGGGCATTGATCATGGGTGGGAATACTTTCGAAGCCAACAAGACGAGACAGACCTGTATAAGGTTTACTTCAAATACATATATATGAGATTGCGGTCGGAACTATATCATTAGAGTTACATTACCAGGATTACCTATGAAAAGAAGCTCGGGAACCAAACTCTCCTTACCTGGACACCAGATTTTTGTCCCCCTCCAAACCTGACCATCGGAGATCAGAAGGAGAGATGCTTGAAAACTTATTGTGCCAGGGCTGTAGAGGCATCTCTTTTTCAAACAGACGCCCTCCCCCTCTAATCGCCCTCCCCCTCTAGTCGCCCTCATGTTGTAAAAAGAGATCAACGATTAGGAAAGTGAACTGCAATGACGTCTGGTTGCCTGACAAGGCTACCGATTCGACTCACTGGAGCAGCCTAGAAGCGGTGACTGCGACTTTTGAGAGAGACGTCTGTTTAGATAAAATCTGAATACTGAGCTGAGTCGAACACAGCTGTTGATCTTCCTTCCTGTGAAAAGAACTAGACAAGTCTTGTGCTGATTCGTTGTGAGGATTTTGTTATTAACAGCCTTGTTCGGCAAAAGGTGGACCGCCGATTCTACTTCAGCCTTCCTTCTGCTGGCAACTCCATCCAGAATTTCTCAATATCACAACATCGCATTCTGCTTTGTGCACACGGACTGGCTCCCTTCAACAGCTGGTGGTCCCAGTTTCTTTGCGGTCGGCTCGCACACTTATCAATCATCACATAAACTTTCACCTGTCGAAGGCTCTCAGACAGCGTGAATTCACGCACATGACGATAGGTATCGATCGCAAGCTGGATGACTCTTTTTCTGTCCTAGACCTGGGTTGGAACTCTTGATTTCTACCTTACCTCGTATCTTGCCACCGATCTCGCGGTTAGTTAAGCTCCTGATCTACTCTGCAAACGTATTGTTTGCGATTTGGGCAGACGCGATGGGCCCTCCCAATGGCGAGCATGTTAATGGCGGTAACACGAACCTATTACCACAAATCCACGAAGCCCTCAACTTAGTCCATGGACCATATTCCTCGAATGAGTCGCGGCGACAAGCGGGCATTTTCCTCGAAGATCTCAAGAGAAACGACGAAGCTCCATATCACGGCTTCAATCTCGCCTCGGACAAAACCCAACAGCCTGTCGTGCGCCATTACGCGCTCTCGCTCCTCGAATTCGCACTCAGATACAAATGGGCAGAATATTCAGAGGAACAGGCGGACACTCTGAGACGGTGGGTGCTGCAGCTATCACAGAATGTCTCCCAAGAGGATCCGCAGTACCTGCGAAACAAGACGGCACAATTATGGGTGGAAATCGCGAAGAGGAGCTGGGCGGCAACTTGGCTTGATATGGATGAGCTGCTTGTCCAATTATGGAATATCCCTGGACAAGTCGTGCATAAAGAGTTCGTCCTCTTCGTTCTCGAGACACTCTCGGAAGAGGTGTTCAATGGCGAAGATACGGTTGCCATAATGCGGGAAGGAGTTCTCAGCAAAGCTTGCGTTGAAATTTTTACGCCAGCAATTGTGCTAGCAGAAGCATTCCCCAATCGTCAGATTGAGAACACCGTAAGATATGGAGAAGAAGGTTGGTTAGTGCGACTAGGTGAACTACTCAGTCAATGCTTGAATACCGACCTATACAACAATTCCCAGTACCAAAATTGTGCGGTAAGAGCTCTAGCGGTTTACAAGTCTGTCATGCCATGGGCCATACCTCGAGCCATCAACAGTGCCTCTTGCGTTCATCATATGTGCAAAAGTCTTGCTGCGTCAAGTGTTGCTGTGCAGCTGGTAAGTCCTCTATTCGAAATGTAATTTCATCTAGACTAATATCTGTAAGGCGTCTGTCGAGGCTCTTCATTCTCTGTATTGTCGAATGAACTTTTCTGATGAAGAGTTCCTGACTTTGGTGTGTCCAATGTACAAAGGCGAAATGGTTGAATTGCTGCAGAAACTCTATGACTGGTCCGTGGTTGATGCGAACAATGTTGACGATGAGAAATACCTATTTGCTAAGAAATTTTCCGAGGTTTGAAATCCCCACTCGTATCTGGATTCTCTAATTTGTGTTCAGATGATTTCCAATCTTGGTAGTTTAATCGAGCAGAAGAATTCTGCTATACCCGAAGATTGCGATCTTCCTAATCTACTAAATCTTTTCCTTGCCATCACACAGAGCCAGAGCTTTGTTGTTTCAATACCCCTTTTAGTTACTTGGACACGATTGTTGCGCTCCGAAACGATTGGTGGCTCCCCCACCATGTCTCCTTTAATCGCACCACTTCTAGAGCTTTGCAGCTCACGCTTAATTCGATATGATAGCATGCCTGATGACACAGACGATCCTTCCTTTGTTCTCTTATTAGAAGATATAGATACTATTCCTGAGAGACACGCGTTTCTAGGGAACTACAGACGTTATAGCACGACGATTATCGAGCTCATTGTTCGACAAAAGCAATCAGAGGCGATATACCATATATTAGGACAGATTGATAATTCATTGCAGCACTTGTATGATGGACAGCCTTCTTTCAACTGTAGGTGAAACTATAAATTCAATCCTGGGCAGGAAGCTAACCAGTCTTTCAAGCCGAAAAATACTCCAAAACTTCCGTTCCAGTCCTACGGGTTGACGCACATTTCACAGTTGTGGAAGCGGCATTGAAAGGTTATATGAAGTGGCGGTCCGTCCATGGATCAAAGTTGCGAGAAGATGTATGGCTTGGATAAACAACCACTGGTGAAAACACACTAAAGACATTGTAGGACCAGCAACGTGTAAGTATCGAAAACAACCTCGAGACATGGTGTGAGAGACTGTTGGCACTGAATTTTGAGGTTGGTCACTTTCACTCGTTCCGAGAGAACGGAAAATTTTAACACAAAAGCCCACAGGACCCTCTCATTCGCAAAAGAGTGTTGCAACTTGCTGTGGCTTTTAGCACTTCTGCGCTGGACAAGAAAGCTGGCTTTATGCTGAAAGTCTTAGAGCACATATTAATGAGCCAACCTGTCGAACATCCTGAGCACGCCGCTTACTCGGAGGCTGTGAAAGAACTCCAAGTAGATGGCACGTATGAGCTGCAAATTTTAGCTTCTAAGATGCCTGATCAACTTCTGGTAAGTTCGTTACAGTACATCCTCGAGAAATTGCTAATTCACGTTAAGGATGTTTATGAACAAATAGAAGCAAAAGTGAAAGAAATTATCGCGTCTGGAAAATTGGATTCCAAGCGACAAGTCTCATACCAAACTTTCTTGTTTACCATCATGTAAGATTTACAAACGTGGACTATGTAAGAGTGTTTACAAGTGCTAATTTTTTAAAGCCATCGTGCGGCGAATGTTACCCCAGAAGTCCGGTTGCAGAAGTTACAGGGCTTTATAGACCCCGTTCAACAACTTTGGCTAAATCCCGCCTTGGAGACCTCCATTTCTACTTTCCCTGGATTTTGTGATCTTCTTGGATTGAATAAAGTTCAACAGTATCTGACATCTCATCGTGTACATGAAATCCAGAATTGGGCTCAATACACATTGGATCCGGAGGGACAGGCTATCCAAGCAGAACTTGAAGAACGGCTGAAGGTATGTTTATTTAATGCTTCAATAGCCTGCGCTAACCATTCCCCAGGCTCTTCCTTTGCGGACAACTAAGAGCTTCTTAGCATGTTCCACAGAGAAAGTGGAGAAAGACTCGGAGGCTTATAGGGTATCTCGAATGTTGTGGCGAGAACGCTTGCCTGTCATTTTGCCGAACCTTTTACAATTTCTCAAGTAAGCAGATAGCAAGTCAAGATTGAAGAAAATATCTAATCACACTTTAGCCACTCTCACGCTTTCCACAATCCTTCAAATTGGGCAGGTTTACCCCCTGAGATGCAGGGTCTGGTTAGCCGTATCCTTACCGATCGATTTTGGCAGGCCGGCATCTCAGAAGGCACGAAAGACGATTTTTATGCTAGGGTTTCTGGCACAAAGACTACAATGGAAGGTTTTGCTTCGTCCATTCGCGGCTCGGTTCGCACTGTGAGAGAAGCCTGCTACTCCATTCTTTGGTGCATGAGTCGATTAGATGTGGACTTCTATGGCTTTAGTCAACTTCCGGGACCACTTGCTAACTCGCTCTTTGCTGATGCACATTGCTTATCATCACATCAACTGATTGCTCTATTAAATGTGGTTCGATTGATGGTCGATGATTGTCCGGTTGAGGTTAGGAGCCATTTTGTTCCTCCTATACTAGCGGCCTGTTTCACCCAGATGGATGCAAAAATCAGTTCTGAATGGGAAAAACTTGCGCAACGACAAGTCATCCAGTCAGAAAGCGAGAGTCTGACGGATGAGATGAAAGAGGAAAGTATATTGCGCCAATTGACACATGCTGCCGTAATGATGATCGGGGGTTTCCTAGACCCAGCACGACCAAGTAAGTCATCAATACGATCATAATGTTCCACCTACTAATCGACCCAGACCCGCAAGCAGTACCAATAACCAACAAAGAAGCATCGACTTATGTTGCTGATAGCAACCCAGCATCATCTTATCCATCCATGCGCAAATTTTGCCTAACTTCTTCCACCATTCTCGAACCTCTCCTCCTCTTTCTGGCACACGCAATCCGTATGCGCGACAGTCGCTGCTGCGGTGTCGTCCTTCGCGTTTACCGCTCCATCATCCCTGATTTCACCGCCACTACAGGCAATGTCGCCTTTTCCCAATCCATTCGCGAGTTCATCAGCGAGGAGGTCCTCAAATCCTGTATCGCGTCCTTGAATGAAACTTACTTCGTTGACCTCCACAAAGAACTCGCGCAAACCATCGCCGCGATCCTAACCTGCTACTCCCCTCTCACCAACACGCCCCGTAACATCCTCCTCAGCCTCCCAAACATTCAAGAAAAAGCAGTCGACAAAACTCTCGAGTATATCACTCGACCGAACGTGCCACAACGTCAACAACGCGGTGCCATTCTAGACCTGCTCAAGGATTTGAAAGGCGTGAGTATCAGTGAACAAGGCCGAATCACGAAATCCGTGGCGAGCGTCAGGAAGGAGAGGAGCAAAATGCAACAGGAGTTCCTAAAGGAAGCTCCTAGGAATGAACCTAGAGGTCCTAGTCCGAGTCTGGAGGGGGTGGCGGGGATGTTTGAGGAGAGGTGAATGACGGTGCTTTGACTTGCTTGTCGGGTGGGGGTTTCACAGATGGGGAAAGAGTGAGTTTTCTTTTTGGAATAAAATGGGTGCGTGAATTTAGGGGGTTTCTGGGTTGCGGGTAGGCTGGTGGGTGGGTTGGTGGGTGTAGATGGATGGCGGGGGGGTAAAAATATTCTTTTATTTAGGCGTTTGGTTGGGGGGGATGATGGTGTGTATCTGGTAGGGCTTTTTATGAATATAATCTTCGTTTGATATATACTTCGGAGTTGGAGGAGTGTTGGTTGTGTGACGTGAAGGTGCTTTTGTAAAGTTCTCCTAACTTTTTGGATGCTAGTTGACATTTGTGCCATTTTGAAATGGAAGCTTCAATAGACATATCTTCTTCGGCACTGCGGAGATTTTGATCCTGGGTATCTAGCTCGACATCTAGATCCTCATCTTCTCCTGCCCCTATACGCAAATGCAATGTCATCGATGATACAGTACTCACAACTCCCCCACCGTTTGAACTCACTCAGTACATCCATCTACTTCAACACCAACAATCTCTCTTACAACTATCTCACACCCCTCTACACCTGCACACCTACACACCAACACAGCGCCTCAAGCGCACTATCCGCCACACCTCGCTTAACGAAACAATGCTTGCTTTTTCCTCGTACGATGTATTAGAAACGGTGGAAGCAGGTGACTTGTCGTTTTTTGAATTGGGGTTATGCGGAAGGAGGGGGTGTACTTTGGAGAGCTGAATGGCTGGGAGGTGTGGAGGGAGGAGGCGATGGTTTAGCACGGGTGTGCAGTTTGAGGGGCAAAGGCAACGGGATATTTGGAACTGATTTACGGTACCAAAATATCCCTTTTGAATGAGCAGCTTGAGTGTTTTAGATCATTTTTAAAGGCACTTTTGAAGTCAATATAGCTTGCATCGCTTGAACCGGGGGTCTAATTGGTTATCAAAATGAAGTAGAAGCTGTGGAAAGATTTGCGATTTAGAAATGGGTTTTTTTGGTATTTATCCAGCTCGTCTGAGGAATGATTGATAAATGAAGTATAGTTGGTGGTGATAAAAGGGTCTCAGGATGGCATGGGACTCATATCCATCTCATTCACTCCTTAATATATAGATATAGCATGTACATGACAGTCTTTCTGGGGATAGATGTCGTTTACTGGAATATAGGGTTGCAATGCATTCATGTGTGGCAACCTTTACAGCCTCACTTCATTCTCTACCCCTCATTTGGTTTCCAGAACTCATATCTTATTTCCCACTACCTTGGGTCAATTTTGAACGATTCTTCTTTTCTGAGTGTACAAGTTCTGAGATGAAAACAGCAAGTCGGAGACAAAATGGCTCGTGATCACCCTACGCATATCGAAGATGGTGATGGGAATGAGTGGGATGATGGTCAGGACGATAACCAAGACGCCACCCAAGAACACTCGAACACAGAAGAATTAGCACCGCTCAACCAATATGAAGGATGGGATTCCGCTCTACCAGAAATCGAGGAAACTCAACCTCGCAGTTCCGTGCCAGTTGGACACGTACCGGCAAATCCAGAGAGCCAGTCCTATTTCCATTATTACAGTTATGTGGCCTATCCCCAAACCAATCAATGGGCATTTTAGAGAGACATGGCACCTCCACAGACTACTGCTAGCTATCCTTCCGCAGGAACAGGCCAGGAAACTCGCAGTGATAATCATGACTATTATTATCCTCCTGCCTCAGGGCTGGATTACAGCCAGATGGCACCTCCTCAGGCTACTGCTAGAGAGCATACTGAGTCATCTTCCGCGAGATTACATGCGGAACCTAGCACGGATTCGCATGATACTTCTACTCGACCTGCCAAGAAATCGTCTCATCGAGACAAGAGTGGTAATGTATCAAAGGCATCAAAATTAGCATCTGGAAAAAAGTGCTCTGTGTGCTCGAGCTCATTCAGAAACAACGCAGACTTGGAACGCCATAAGCGGGTGGTACATGGAGATGTTCTGAAATTCAAATGCGATTATAGGGGGTGTCTACACGAATATTCGCCTGTACGTCTAGATCATTACAGGGAACATCTGGAGAAATTCCACAAGGAGGATCTGCCGAAGGGTTCAAACGGATACAGTGATGAGTGGTGGGCTAAGTGGTGGGCTGAAAGGGATATCAGGGAGGACTGGTGGAGATGTAACAAATGTCTGACGAGAGTTGTTAAGGGGAATGAGTGGGTGTGTTTGAATTGCTCTACTTACTGCAGTCAAGAGCGTATTGACGAACGGGAATCCCGGTTTGGTAATTCAATGCAAAGCGAGCCGCATGTACCGACTACCACGGATTATGCTCCACAAGCAAATATCCCAGATTCAGCGTATGAAGAAGCAAACCGCAGCCAGTCCAACATCCCACTCGCGCCAGTAGCAACGACATCTGCGTTACCTGATCCAAGTCAAGACAACGTTCTGCATGGTTGGGTAGAAGAAGTGGTGATGCTGGAAAGATATGTTGACATTGAGTCTGGCGAAGAAATGTACATTCTGTGTCGCGATAACAACCGACGAATAGTGAAACGGGCGAGCGAGTGGTCAGAGGGCCAGATTCGTCCTGATGGTGTAAACGCGGAGCCTTGCTTTGTGCACAGAGATCAGGGGGGAAGGATATACTGGACGAAGACTTTCGATGTCAAGGGGAAGGGTAGACGGTAGCTGAATCTCACTGAATAGTTATGGATTATTAGCTAGTCTTGCGGTAACGAGCGTTCGAGTTTCTTGTGTGATTAGCCGTTGGATAAATTGTAAATTGAGTAGGATGGTTCAGGTAGCGTTCTTGAGACGTCGGTGGTGAAAAAATTGGGAAGCATCGATCCATGCGGCCTTGACAGAACTTGAGCGATGAAGGAGAGCGTAGAGAGAGACATCCAGATCGGGCCGACGCTGCGAAGAAACGTTAGATATTGCTTGTCCAAAATGAGCAAGCAAACTGACACTTTGCTAGTTAACCTGATAACAACATTAGCTATAGCGTCCATCTGGCCTAGAGTATAGTCTGTAATTCTCGTCGTACTTGTTGGTGAATTCTTCTAAATACCTTCCACTAGCCACTTATGGTGGTAGCGCAATTACACCGTCGTGCAACATGAGCGTTCGAAGAGTAAGCATTTTTACTATTCCTTCTTCTTTCGTAGGCGTAAGAATAGTTGCCCATATATCACATTTAAACCCTCCCAGGCGACAGTACCTTCCCCGCAATCGACAGACGACAGCGGGTCCTGAAAGTGGAACAGCGGCGCTGCAGGAAGATGGGATGAGCCGAAATAACAGTTTGAAACTGATATTTCTCGGAGACTTATATGCTTCTTTATATCATACTCTCCTGTATGTATCTTTGACGTCCGAGTTACCTGCTGTGCCATGAATTTGACAGATGCAACGTTGTAGGGGTGCCGTGGTGTCGATGGCAAGTCGGATGTTGCCGGCGGCAAACAACCTGGTATTTGGGTCATCGCGTACCTGACGATGGTGAGATTAATTGGTACTGGACTGGTAGATGAGATTGCCGAGTTGAACCGGTAGAATCTGGAGATCTTGGGTTGCTTGTTGGAGTCGAGGACAGCATGACGACGTAGATGATATGCTGGTATGAACGAGGTGGGAAAAGTACACGTCGAAGAGACGAATAGAAGAGGGGTGATCTAAAAGGCAAGTACGAAGTAGTTCGGTTGTTTAGCATCGTTCCCTATCATTTCTTGCCTGGGTTTGAGGCCTTGAGAGTCGAGTCTTTTCCCAACGTGCCAGCCACCTTCTTAGCACTCAACTCCTAAGCGAGATCGAAGCTACTCTTCAGGCTAAATGTTGATCTCGTGAGACGAGCTATGTATATGAACTAGTATTGAAGCACTAATATACTTCCGTAACTTCTCCCGCGTGTTCGTTGAAAAAGAAAGTTAACGCTCCGGCGGTAGTTTGCAACGGGGCCGAGTAGTGGCCTGTCAGGACCAAGAGGAGGGGCGTTTTAGGGCTCTCTCGGCGACTGGTGTCGTCAACTCCCGTGCGACTTCGGCATCACGTCTCTCAGCATGAACCGTGATGGAATGATCCTCCAGAGCTTTGTCCGTGAAAATCATCGGAGATCTCTCATCCTTCGGCTCCAGCATTTCGGCTATCTTCCCTCACTTCAAAGTTGACCCCTTTCCCAAGCGAATTCACGACACCCACAGCTGATTTGACTCTGGAGTACATATCGTATTCCTCTTTCCAAGCCTGTAATGGTCTCCTCCATTCCCAATAGGACGAATCAGTATCGAAGGCCATCGCTCAGACCACCAAACCGTAATTAACGGTAACTCCTCCACCCATCCCGGTAGGCCCAAACCCTGGTCTGACCCTGGTGCAGCGTGAGAACGCTGCCGGTGCACCACATTGCATCAAGTAAGAGGACAAATCAGGGCCGAGTATAAAAATACTTTAGTGACTCTTCCACGCGGCAAGCTCTCTATTGAACCTGCAGTTGCTATTGCCACAATCGTCTAACTTTTGTTGAGCTGAAGAGAGGTCAGCACCTATCAAGATTATCCTCAAACACCAGCATTTATATTACATTCTGATATACGACAAGGGAAACCGTTCCCGGGAGCAGCTTGCCACCGGGAACAACCTCTCACTTAATCCTTGCCACATTGTTCACGCACACAGATCTGGTACAAGGACTGTTGCAGATGGCACGGCCTAGCTCTTCCCCACTACCAACCTGCCCCAGATAACTTTCTTGATCTACGGAACATCCTCTCCCAATTTTCTACCGGTTCGACATCAACCTCTGATTTTAGTTTCTTCACCAACACTGCGTCTGCTATTAGGCGGAGCAATTGGGAGAACATTCAACCGCTCACCACGCGAGCAAGCGCAATCGTCTCGTCAAGCCTCAACGGTTCTTGACTGAGGTGTCCGGTTTCAGCAAAGCTACACATGCCACCGACAGGTGCCAGAGTTTCATCTGATGATTACAAACAACTGTCCAACAACCATATCCTAGCGTGACATCAGAACCGATTACCCTACGACAAGAACAAACGCTAAATCGAGGACTTGAACATCTGTACCGGCCCCGTATCAACGCAACTTCAGACTCATTTCTTTCCTTGCGAAAATCCGTATTTCATCAACCAGTATTCACACCAAGGGGTTCCCTGGACAGGACCCTCATCTACTTCGACAAGATGGTTTATTGTGGGAAGCCCTCACGGGGCTGTCAGATGTGTAGGACGAGGAGAATAAAGGTGGGTCATATGATTGATTAAGATATCATCCATACAATCAAAGGAACTCCACTGAATATCACTCATGATGTAGTGCGATGAGACGAAACCTACTTGTAATCAATGCGCCAAATCAAGACGGCAATGTCCTGGATACAAAGATGATTTCGACCTCGTCTTTCGAAATGAGACGTTGGCTACGGAAAGAAGAGCAAGAAAGGCGACGAATGGTAAAAGAGAGCCTGGACACTTTACTATCCCCACCGGGCCCAATCAACAAACTGTCTTTGCGGTAAACTCAAAAGATGAAAGCAATTCTTCCAAACCGGATGCAGCTATGGAAATGGGACTGTCACGAATCAACACGATGATTCTCTCGGTGCCAATTGAACAACAAGCGCCCTGTTTCTTCCTTTCCAATTACGTCTTGTCACCTACGTCTGACGTCGATACGCCACGAGGATATTTTGATTTTCTAGGCCCATTGATGAAAGGAGAAGGCCCGGATAGTCAGTTGAGGCTTGCTTTCACTGCTGCCTCGATGGCGTCTTTAGCAAATAGACCAAGCTCTAAGCACCGAAGGGACTTGAAGCATATGGCTGTTGCGCATTATACGAGAGCGTTGAAAGCAACGAATCTTGCGCTTCAGAATCCAGCGCTACAGAGAACTGATCAAACACTTGCTGCTGTTCTCATGTTAGGTTTCTATGAGGTAGGTCGAGGATATCCTCCACCTCCGTTATAACATGCTGATATATGTAGACGATCTGTACAGAAAACAACAACGCATCCGCTTGGTATTCACACATCGATGGTGCAGTACAGCTTGTAAGAATGAGAGGGAAGAAATTTGCAAAATCCAGAATGGGCAATTCTCTCTTCCAAGTAGTACGGACACAGATGGTAAGTGTCAAGTCTACCCCTTACCACCCTCCCAACTCACCGTAACAAGATGATAAACTGCATGACCTCTGCCAAACTACCAAAAGGAGGAGTAGAATGGTGGACAACAGACATCGAAGGAGACTTCGGCTCACCCATCGTAAACATGAAGCTACGCCTCGCAACGCTCCGCTACGAAATGAACCAAACCCTCAGCGTCTACAGCCGCACCCCTGAACATTTCGCCAAAATCGCCGACATCATGCGGCGAGCCCAAGCCGTCGAAACCGAATGTCAGGCTTGGGAAGCCTCGTTACCGGAATGGTGGCATCCTAAAACCGTCGCCTGGGTCGACAACATCGCCGGCATGGACGTCAGTAAATCTGAAGTCTGGCCCGGCAAGATCGAAGCGTATCATAACATCTGGGTTGCTACGTTCTGGAACCACGCGAGAGTCGCTCGTATCGCAGCATCTGGTATCATAATCCGCTGTACAGCGTGGATGTGTTCACCAGTAGACTACCGCACCACCCCCGAATACGCCTACGCGAATCGTATCTGTCTTGACCTCGTAATCGACATAATCTCCTCCATCCCCTACCTCCTAGGCTGGTCCATTGGTAAAGGCTCCTCCGCCACAGCCAACCTGTCGAGTTTCGAGGCCGGACTCGAGGCGTTCATAAACCCTAAACCCATCGGTGGTTTCTTCGCCCTCTGGCCCCTTTTCGTGGTCAGCACCGCGGATTACTGTACTGATTCACAGCGAACATACGCGAAAGCACGAATGGTACATATAGCCGACCATCTAGGACTTAACCACGCCCGAGTCCTCGCAGGCGTAAGTCTCCCTTCCCTTTTCTCCTTTTCCTCTAACATCACACAGTTCCAAATCCGCATCCCCTCCATGACAATCCGCCGCGACAACATCGGCCGTCTCCCCTCCCCCTCGCAGATGATCGCGCAAACCCTCTACACCCCCGCCTCCCCCACCACCTTCCCTCCCCCAGGCACATCCTTCCCGTCCAGTCCCGAAGAACCAAGCTCCCCGCCGCCGGCGATGGCGAATAGGACGTATGATCTATCCCCGTTGCAGCAGCGCGAGATGATGCAGAAAGAGGCGTTTGAGCGGGAGAGGTTGACGCTTTTGAAGCGCGCGGCGGGGGACCAGGGGGAGAGTGTTGAGAGGTTGATGGCTAAGTATTTGGCTGTTTGATTTGGTTGGGGGTTTTTTGTAGCGATATGGGTGTCAGGACTGAGGTATGGAAAATCTGGGTTGGGAGTTCTTGGGTTGGATCGGTAGGGTAGGGAGGGGTATCAAAGCTGGGTGTTTGGTGGGAAAAGGAATCGCGTGCTTGGATGGTTTTGGTGGGTGTTAGTGGTTTTGGGGTCGTGGATTATGGATATAGGATACTTCTGTTGTCTTTGAGACGATCGGTATCTCTGAAATTGTAGGCATAATTAACTGTGAAAGTACTGGACGATATCACTAGTTTCGGTACGTTGTAGATGTATATCAGATTCATCAACCATCGCGCTTCTAATTCAACGTTTATAACCACACTAAAACTCCACCACAGATATCGCTCACAAGCATACCCTGACTTCTCACACCAAATAGGTAGTCTCCAGTGCCCCTATATTACGGTAGCGCAAAGATACCCACGTCTCACATATCCTTAAATTATTTTCGTCCTCACATGAAAATCCTTAATCACGGCAATATCGTCGGATTCTAGAATATTGACTTCGGAAAGCTCTCAAACAACACCCATTTTACTAAACCATTTTCTTAATTCTCGACCAGCAATATTCTTCCTCGTACTCTAAATTTTCATCAACGCACTACCCATCCTTCTACTCGAATCTTGCTGTATCGTTAAACTAGAATCGACCATCGTATCACATCACAACCCCCAACTAACCTCTTCCCTCGAACCACAGGACGTAGCATTTCGACGCCCGAATTATCGTCCCCACCAAGGACGGAAAAGCATGTTCCCGCCATCTAGTTCCGAGCATCCTCAGAAAAAGTGCAAATCCCTTGCTTCAGCACATCGAATTCTACGAAGCCCCTTACGAAGCGAGGTTTTCCAACGTCTAAGATGAAGGTGACGTGGCATATACATTGTGAGCAGGCAGAGATGATAGTCAGAGTGTTTATCGATGGTCAGAGACGAAAATGAGCTTACAGACACGACAAATATTCATGCCGAGACTACCAAAGCCATATCACATTATTTACGCACAGGCGATAGAGGACATCACATATAGCAAACAGCAACATGAGTTTTCCACATCATCAAATTCAAAGCCTAGCTACCCACCCCACACTCAAAAAGTCAGACTAGTTATCTAAAACATCCCCAACAAATCCTCATTAGTCTTCTTCCCCTGCTCCCCAAGCTGCTGCTGCGGTGGCGGCGGCTGATGATTAAGACTCATATCCATGCCCGCAAGACCGCCCATCAGATCATTCATATCGTTGCCCTGTGGTGCCGGGTTCGAGCTACTTCCATTCATATCGAACAGACCCATCATGTCATCCATGTTGTTGGCTGGTTGTTGGGAAGGTGGACTAGCGACACGTTGAGGGGTTCCAGCAAGACCTTCGAGACCTGATGCGCCGCCGCTAGGTAGGGCGTCTGCTGATGCGGGTGCGCCGCCGTCAAAGTCGATGTCGAGAAGGTTCTCAGCGTTTTGACCATTTTGTTTGGCGACCACCCCAGCGGCTGCGATTGGATTGTCGACTGCGTTTTGGCGTTGCTCTTGAATCGCTGCGTGTTGGATGGCGTCGGCGCCATATCGACCGTGGCCGACGAAGGTCTCTGGTGGTTTGTGATATACGGAAGCAAGAGTTGAAAGCTCGGTTAAAAGTTGTTCTAATAGTGCTGGAGGTAGTGATGACATGGTAGTGGTGATAGGAGGTTTTTCCGAGAGAATGATGTTCTGAGTTCATTAGCATTTAAAATAAGTATGGATTTAGCCAAGCCTACCTTGGCGATTTGAAGATCGCCTGATAGCAGTCTCCAGTAAACATATGCTCTATCCCTAATATCCGGGTTATCGTTGTCGGCCGTTGCAGACTGGAGAACCGTCTGTACGAGACCTTGGTTGTTGTCAGGTTTCTTCAAAAATAACTTGACAACGGCAGTCAAAATTTGAAGCTGGACTTGTGTGAACTCTTCCATAAAGCCTTCCACGAAGCCAGCAAGAATCTCATCAGCATTGCTAATTTTCTCCGCATACTCTCCTACAATCCATATCAAAGCACCACGTGCCTCTGGTTCATCTAATTCATCAATGTGTTTGCACAAAGTTGGAATGATCCCTTCATAACCAGGATATTTTCGGAAAATGTCCTTGATGACTACAATCGCCTCTTGAACAACATAGTTCACTTTTGTGGCGATGAGGTCAAGAAGGGTGTTTACGCACTTCTCGCTGGCGCTCTCGATCTTGATCGCAGCTTGTCCGATAGCCTTTACAGCTCGGCGAACAAAATCCATGTCGACTTCCAGAGCGTACTCTTTCAATTCGGCAAGGAGCTGGTCGACGTTTTTGTCATTGGCTATCCGTACCATAATCTCGAGTTTCTGAAGCTTTACGTATGGCGGATCGTTGTATTTGCAGAAGAAAACACGCAGCTCTTTGCTTAGGATGTCGGGTTTGGATTGAAGTAGCAAATCAATGTTTCTTAACGCAACATATTGGACTTCTGGGGCAGAGGCCACAAGGGTGACTATCAAATGTTAACCAAAGTTAAGCAGACTAGAATGGCTTTCTTACCTAAAGGAGGTGCCATTTTCTTCAAGTACTGTTTGTTCAGTTCCTGGCTGACATTTTTCATATGCAGGAACACAACTTTGACCGCAGCCAGCACGACACTTGGGTTGACATGCTGGAACTGTGGTGATACTCTCTCACAAATGTGTTCCGACTCCTTCACGTCTTGAGCCTTATAATCCGCCAAAGTCGTCAATATCGTAACTCTTCCCCACTCCGTACATTCATTCAGAGCCATCAACATCTTTTTCAGTGTTGCCGGCGTCACCCGTAAAGCCTTTGTTTCTGGCGCAGCTTCGTTGATTTCTGCCAGTGCTGTCACAGAGTTGGCCACGACCATAGGATTTGGATCGCCAATTAATTCTTGTAATGTTTCTAAAAACCCGTTTTCGAGGCACATTGTAGGATTGAGATCAAAGAGTTTGGCAACGCATATCGCAGCAGTTTTCCGCACATAAGGAGATTCATCTCGTAGTGTTTTTCGTAAAGGTTCCTCCATATAATCAACCATCTTATCTACCCGGATACAACCCATAGTTCGAATAGCGAGGGCGCGTACGAGTGGATTTGGATCTTCTGAGTCTTGCACAAACGTATTGACCGCTAGTATACAGAGATCCGGATGCGATTTGGCATAATTCCTAGTTGCAATATCAGCCATCTCGTGCATGTCAGGGACATATCTCCAGCTAGGCAACATACATCAGATATAGGTAGACAAGCTTCTTCTGATCCAAATCTGCAGTGGCAATATTCTTCAAAACGTCCGGAAAAAGCGCAGACACATCTTTGCCCAAGGTCATGGACATGATGGTCTTCTGGATAGCCTCTTTGCGCTCGTACGCATACTGCGATACTAATCCAGCTCTCAACTCGAATGTCTCGCCCTTCCTGGGTACCGCGAAGGCCCCTTTTATCCTGTTGACCGCCATCGTTCACTCGGATGGCGATTCGAGGTCGTGCCCCTCATACACCGGTGGCCTTTTGAGGTGGGAAGGTCGAAAGGCAGATTCTTGCAGAGCTGAAGTGATTGATGTCTGCTTGAGGTGTGCTGTCAAATGATGTAGGATCAAATCGTTATTGAGGTGCGGAGTTCTTGTGTGCTCGTAATTTCTTCGTCGCAATGAAAGGTATTGATGTTGCCCATTGTCCAAATCTCAGCCCTGCAGGTCCAACGCTAAATTTGGTTGTGACAGGGGCGGGGTGGAAGCATGAATTCAAGCTTCACGTGGAGTTGTTCTCACCTCCTTATCCCCACAACATCATGGGCATGAAACAATCCACTGAGTATAAGACCGTTAATTGAGATTTGATCATGGTAACTATGCTTCCTTTCCTCAAAGCACATTGAAAATGGGTTTAGCTAAGTTTTCCAAGGCCAATCTTCCCAACCTTCGTCGACTGTTTGTCGAGGCTCGAACAGATGCAGAAGAAAGTGCATATTCTCGTAATGCAGTTAGTACCACAAACTCTTCTTTTGGCCCAGGTAGCTCAGTATTACTAGTTCTACAATATCGTACTCTTCATGTCATCAGTGGCCGTCTTCAGTCTTGTTGCACAGAAAATGAACAAACCATCAAGCTGAGGACTCAAGCGGAGGTTTAAAGGCGTTATGTCACACTCGAACCAACTAGCCGTGATGGAAGATTAGAAGTCATACCTCCGACCATGATGGAAATTAAAAGCGGACAACTCAATCTGAACGTTTACTTTGGACGGCATTCGCAAAGGACCCATCGGCATGTGACAAAAGGCATATTAACACCAAAGTTATTAGCACCAAGACCCGGGAACAACTCGATCTCTATTGGTTAGACATTGTTGATTATCTCTAAGACGAGCTACGAGACACTCTCTGAGTGCCTAGGGGGTTTAGAGCGACGACCCGGCTAGGCAATGTATATGAAGGAGGCTAGTTGTGATCTATACTCCTAGCCAAATCCTCAAAACCATCAAGTCCAACCTCCATTGCGCGCCATGTTCTTCGAGTCGCGGAGTTGCGAAAAATCGCTGACATTCAATATGGCTTCAACTTGACTCTGCTTGCGCTCTGTTTTCACATTCCCTCCTCACTACTTGGCATGCCCTTGACTCCGAATCTGGTCTTCCATCGTATGGCATTCAAGCAGTTGTCCCATTGACTACTTCTCCAGTCGTATCCTTTCCCGGCGCAACAGCTTGGTTCCCTTCAGCCTTCTGCTTCTCCCACTGTTCCGGTGTATAACATTTTGGCGTCCAAGCATGTATAGCAGCGATCTCGCTCTTCAATTCGGTATTAACCAATCTATGTCTTGCCAACGTCGTCTTCTTCTCGAATAATGGGGAAACGATAACAGCAGAAAAAGCTTGTCCACAGCCGCCTGTATCATGCGACAATCAGCTGTCTGTCGTAGCCGTGATACTGGGAGGAGACCTACCTGACATATCCTCAATCTCGACATGCACAGCTTGTAATTTTTCAATTAGCTTAGACTTCAGTCCAGCATCCGTGACCCCCGAGTCCCCAGACATGATTTCGTACGACCCAGAAGGGCTAAATGCTATAGTCGACTTGGTAGTGTTGATGCGCGAGATCAAATCTTATCTGATCGAGAGAAAAAGTACTGGTCGCTGCACAATTACGTTTGGCGGGGTTGTACGGTAGTCAAAGAATTAGTAAACAGCGTCAGGAAGGTTGGTAATTGAGCACAGTATTTTCGTAAAGATAATATATGTAAATTATAAGAACCAGACATACCAAAGAGTGAGTAATAGATGCAAAACAGATCACGAGTAAGTCTAGAAGTCTCAGACAGTATTGTCATTCAATATCATCCAAACTTCCATATCAAAACCCAAAGACCCCTCCACACACAATCCGGATCGCTTAAATAAAAGCGGGGCTTGCTCTCGACCTCGACCTCGAGCAACTTTGGAACAGTTCATGAGCCATACAAACCTTCAACAAATAATGAACTTTTCTAGAAATCTACTCTCTTCATTTCGCCCCTTTAAAAGATTCCCAACAACCAGAAATCTCACCACAATGACCTCTCAAACCTCCAAAATCTCTCCCTTCACAAACGCGGTCATCACAGCTGTTCGACAGTTGTATGTATACCTACCTCAGCCTAGTCATTCATCTTATCATCTTCTCACTAATAAATATCCAGGTATCCCGAAGTCCTAGCAGACAAATCTTTTGATAATACCGGTTGTATGTATGAACCCCGTTTCCAGATTCACTGAAATAAAGGCTCATTTGTAAATAGTATTGCTGGAAGCGCCGCACCGAGATCATTTGAAGAAATCGGTGCTGCTGACGGTTGACTTGACGACGGCGGTGGCGGACGAGGCTATTAAGAGGGGGGATTCGATCGTGATTGCGTATCGTAGGTGCTTGTTTCTTTTTGTGTCTAGGTTTGGAATGTTTTACTCTGGGGAAGATTATTTCAATATCAGAAACAAAGTTGCTTTAGTTATCGAATTGCTTATCGATGTTCCAGTCTCTTTAAAAGAGGCCGATTAAGTCTCAATTCATACTCAGATGGATGATGTTCCTGTTATGCCTTACAGCTCTCGTCGGTCCTACACTTCTTATCCGATCTCAGCTCATACCTCGAAGCAATCACTAACAAATTTCTAGATCCAATCATATTCCGCGGTCTCAAATCACTCACCCAGAGCAACACCCAAACAAACACCCTCCTCCGTCTCGCCCAAGAAGGCATCTCAGTATACTGTCCCCACACAGCAGTAGATGCCGCTCCAGGCGGACTAAATGACTGGTTATGTGATATTTTCTCCAGTCTTGGACCAAGCGAGTAAGCTTCAATCCCTCAAACTTCAACCTCTAGCCATAAAATGGCTATGCATCCCGCCCTCATTCTTAGATGCTAACATAACTAGGCGCACAAACATAACACCCCACCCCTCACCACCCTCAACTATGTCCACAGCAGGCTACGGTCGTATCCTGCGCTTCTCCACCCCGCAACCCCTCAACACCTTGATCAAAGCCATAACAACCTCCCTTAACATTCCCTACCTGTCCGTAGCGACACCGCAATCACTCTCCTCAAACTCTGCACGCGCTCACCCAATATCTTCAATCGGCATTTGCGCCGGCTCCGGCGGTTCCATGCTCAATGGCCTTGATGTTGATTTGCTATTCACGGGTGAGCTGTCGCATCACGAAGCGCTGGCCGCGATTGAGATGGGGAAGTGTGTGATTACTGCGTTTCATAGTAATACTGAGAGAGCGTTTTTGGGGGACAGAATGAAAGGGTTGTTGGAGAAGGAGGTTACTGGGGTAATTGCAGGGTTGAGACAGAAGGGGACGTGGAAGGTGGATGAAGGTTTTGAGGTTGGTGTTAGTGAGGCTGATAGGGATCCTTTTTATGTCGTTGGGAGGGGGGTTGAGGGGTGGTGAGGATGTACGGATTAAGGTAGTGACGATGAGTTGGTTGTAAAGAGAAGGATGTCGAATTGACAATTAAAAGTGTAGGCTTGGGTCGTTCGAACCGACATGTCCGCCTGGCTAGAGCCGATCCGTCTTGATACCTGTTGGCTGGAGGTCGATCGTATAGAACCTACTAAGACGTTGTATTATAGCTGATCTTGTCCGAACAAAAGCATTGTTATCAACACAAACCAATATTTACATGATTTCCGTCATTCTCACCAGGCTTGACTTAAAGTGTCTGCACTGAAACACACCAAATTTTCAACCAAAACGCTCAAAGGGTATCATATTCAACTCTCATCCCTCCTCACATTAACCCAACTCCTCTCCCCCGGCCCCTCACCCCTAACAGCCGCCTCTCCATCCTCAATACACTCACTAACCTCCACCCCACCAACCCCCCTCTCCCTCCACCTCTCCAACACCCTCCTAGTCCTCTCCCACAATTTCCTCCCCTCCTCCTCCCTCCCACTCCCAACCAACACCCTAACCCTCTCCGGCGTCTCCAAAACCCTCCTAACAACCTCTCTCCTCCTCCCCTTAACCCCATCCCCTTCACCTGTCCCCCAAACCCCCCTCAACGCCCCCGCCCGTTCCCACACCCCCCTAACCTCCCTATCCAACCCGCCCATCTCCACCCCACTCCCCCTCATCCGTCTGATCGTCTCCGTCGCCGCAATCAACTTACTATAATTATCATACACTAGTGCCTTCCTCTCCGCATCCAACGCCCTAATATCCATCAACACCCCATTATACGTCCTCAGCACCTCTTCGAGACTCTGTTCCTCCAGCACCTTTCGCACATACGCTTCCCCGTCGAAATCCGCGCGGTCTAACGGGGAATCTGAGGGCTCGTGGGGGGAGTGGATGGATGAGGTTTCGGATTGCGTGTCGGCGGAGGATTGGAGGTTGTAGTAGGAGCGGAGGGCTGCGCGGTTGCGTTTGGGTGCTGGGGAGGGGGAGAGGGGGCGCGGGAGGTCGGTTGAGGGACGCGTGGAGGAGGTGGGTGTGCTGAGGAGGGGGATGCGGCGGCCGGTTGTGGAGGGGTCGCGTTGGGGTGCTATTGTTGACATTATGGATGGGGTTTTGAGGGGTGGTGGGTTTGTAGTGGGAGTGTGAGCATTGAGTGGGAAGCTTTTGGTTGTGTGGAGTTGAGTGATGTTGTGGTTGATGAAATCCGGGGAAGAAAGGCTGTCATTTATTTTAGCGAGGCTACGCAAGGCTTCACCTTATCTCACTTCACAACACCACAACATCACAATACTAGAATGTCCTTCATCCTCGGCCTACGTTTTCAATTATTTTCCCCGAAACTGAGATGTAAAACATGAACCCACCACCACCAACCCAAGCTCAACTCCTCGCCCGCCTCCACGCCGACGGCTTCCCAACTCCATCCCCAGAATTCCTCCTCTCAATCCTAACGCCAAACCCAACAACAGGACGTATACCACCTTTACAAGCACTCACCGCAACCGTACGTCCCCCTATCCCCCTTCCCCTCCCCTTTCCACACACAACTAACCCCCCTCCAGGCAAAACACCGCATCCTCTCCACCCCCCTCACGCCCACCCTGCTCTCGCCCTCCACCCCTTTCCTCCCCGCAACCATCTCCTCCCCAACAACCCAGTCCCACCTCCTCACCCACGACACCCCCGTCCAAATCCTCGACATCCTCGACATATCCACGCCAAAATGGACACAAGTAACCCAACTCGAAGACATCCGAAAAGGATCCTCCACGTCCGGACGGCGGGTCATTCAACTCCCTACCCCTCCCTCTGAGGATTCAACTCAGCAAACACAAACCCAGACTCAAACCCAAGTGCGGAGCCGGGGGACGTATAAACTGCAATTGGTAGATGTAAAAGGCACGCAGATCTCGGCGTTCGAGCTCCAGCCGATTCCGAAGTTGGATGTGCCGCCGGGGATGGGGATTGGGTGTAAGGTGATGTTGAAGAAGGGGACGAGGGTTGCGAGGGGGGTGGTGTTGTTGGAGGTTGGGAAGACGGTTGTGTTGGGGGGGAGGGTGGAGGTTTTGGGTAAGGCGTGGAGGGAGGGATTGGAGGGACGGTTGAGGGAGGGGTTGGGTGATGTGTAGCGATTGTGTTTTTGCGATTGGGAGTTTTAAGGGGGTATTTTCGTGAAGTGTATTTTAGGAGTTTGGGAAGATACCCGGCGGACTGTGAAATGAGATGTAAGATATCTGCGAGTGATATGGAGTCAAGTGATTCGAGGTTGAAGAAACAATAGGAGTGGTGTACTGCGTTTTCCCGAGCAATAGGACTTAGAAGACATTCAGATCCCTACTATAAGTCGAATATCTATACACAACAAGAAGATAATACCCAATCAAACCACACCAAAAATAAACACATAAACACAACAATTACCAAACGAAGTTCCCATAGCTTCATCAACACTAGGCAATTGTGCCAGGTTGAGACGAGAGAATTTAGCGAAAGTGTCTACATGAGCAGAGTTGTTTAAAAAGTGGGATATGTGGAGTTAGGAAGAGTCACAGGTTAGGTGTAAAGACATCTACTAAACCAAAGAGAAAACCAAGGTTTTTAGGTGGGGACTTCAAAGCAAATTTGTCCAGGCATTATCGGTTTCCAGAAAAATGAAGTTTGGAAGGAATTCATGTTAAGGGAACTCGATGCAACCAAAGTAGATTAGAAAGTCAATCTCTCAACCTTTCACAGTAGTTCATGATATATATAACCTTTCATTCCCTTATTCCCCTATAAAGTAATAACAGGAGCAGGTTTCCATCTTTTGTACACCTCACTTACTCCTTGCTCCTAATCTCCAGCTAGTATGTATCTTGTATTAATCCCAAATAAAACAAGAATCATCCCTTCACTCTCTATCTTCCATAGGAATCTACATGTATATGTCCCTATACACATATATGCATAAATCCAGCAACCGTACTTGCTCTTAATATATTAAATACAGTAGAACGTAAGACCAAAAGACTCAAGGACTATTGCTATTTATTCCTTTAACGGCTTAAGAGAATAGTTATATATCACAAACAGACGATTCCACCACCTCATCACAAGAGATAACTAAATTGGAGTAAACCACCCTTCACACCCCTCCAAACATCTCCATCAATCCAAACAACACCCTCCCAGATCTAGTACCTCCAACCCGCTACACCTCTTAAACTCAAGAAACCCAGCGACTTAGCAGGCCAAACACCCACAGCCCCCCCAATCTCCAAACCACATAATCCCAAACCCAACTTAACCACGCAACCTCCTAACTACCCAGTACTTAATACAATCCACATATAAACTCCAAGGAAGGACTAGAGACGCCCGTGAGAAGAGTGAAAAGTTTATATAGGACATCACTATTAGCATCTCACTATCGTCACATCCCATCCCGTTTCTCGCTCTTTCATTCTCAGAACCGTGGCACCTTACACTTTTAGCCTCACTCACAATGAACCACTTCACATCGCACTAACCTCACTACGCCTCACCATACACTTCAACACTCAACCTCACATACCTCACTCAAATCAACCTCACACATCTCAACTTACACACATCAACATGCACAGACACTCAAAGAACAACCCAAATTTTTTATATCCATTGCCATTGCCATTTTATCCTTTCTCAAAACCAACATAATCTCATCCATCCATCCATCCATCATTTAGTCAAAAAAAGAAGAAGAAGAAAAACGCACAAAACAAGAGAAAAACAACAGAGATTCTCAAACACACAGAGGGGCTAAAGATCCGAATTCCCATAAAAATCCCAGAGAGATATTCCTCATTTCACTCCCTCACTTCCTCTGTCTTCTACTCCTTCTCTTGGAATTCTTTCACCCCTCACATCTTCCTGGAATCTTCCCTCCTGGAGCCTCAAGCCCATCTATCCAACCCAACCACCCAACCACCCAACCAGCCCTCAACCCCATGAATAGCCCCATCATGAACACACTAACCTATTCCTTCCCCACGCATCACACTCTATCGCATAATCTCCGTATAAATCAACTCCTTCAGCTGTTCCTTGGTCAGATTATCCTTGTTTTTATCGAAATCAAAGAATTCCTCTGGGATGGGAGCAGCCGTTGGCTCATCATCTTTGTCATGGTACGGACGGAGATATTTATGTTCTAGAGCCTTCTCGACCGTGATTCTCTTTGCCGGGTTGAATTCCAACAGCGCCTGGAGGAGTTGGATGGCAGGAGGTGGTTGTTTTGGGTCATCTTCTTCGTCCCGTGGTTTGTCGGGGAAGAGAACTTCTAAATCGACCTTCTTCTTGAATGGGAGGGAACGGATATATTCGCGCGCACGTCGGGATTTGATGCCATAGTAATCTTCCATTGTTGGTGTGCCGAGGATTTCCAGGATCAGTGTCAACTGGTGGTGGTCTATACAATATTAGTATAAGTCTGAATCAAAGTGTAGTCGCAACTTACAATCCTTTCCAGGGAAAAGAGGCTTCCCGCTGAACATCTCAGCCAAGATACACCCAACAGACCAAACATCAATCGCCTTTGTGTACTCCTTGAATGTCAACATGATTTCCGGCGCACGGTACCATCTCGTAGCAACATATTCCGTCATGAAACCGGAGTTGTCTTCGTGAGAAGCAGCCGATCGAGCGAGACCAAAATCGCAGACTTTCAAATCGCAGTTGGCATTAAGAAGTAAGTTGGAGGGTTTGAGATCACGGTGAAGAACATTCGCTGAATGCATGGCTTTGAGTGCACGAAGGGTTTGGTAGATGAAGTATTGGCAATGGTCATCGGAGAGGTCTTGGGTTCGAATAACTCTGTGCATATCGGTTTCCATCAATTCCTGTAAATGATTAGCACTTGAATATGAGATTGGCTGAAAGCAGAGTTGGAAAGGGACGCACTTGAATCAGATACACCTCAGTAAACGACTCGTACGATCGAGGCTTCTGGATATCCAGAATCGAAATGATGTTCTCGTGGTTAAAGTATCGAAGGAGTTTCATTTCTCGCAGGGTTCGCAGGCAAAACATAGAATGGTCGAACGGCGTAATCTTCTTAATTGCGACCTTTTGGCCCGATGGCTTGTGCAGGGCCGAACTGTAAATCTCGTCGTCAGCAAGAATTCCACATCGTCTCCTCGAATTCAGTTGGGAATATCCTCAAAAGGACCCCTTCTCAGCCCCAAATTGCGGGGTTGTCAGATGTTGGAAAGCAGCTCGCGAGAGCGGTAAGGAAGACCAGAAAACACATACCAGACCACACCGTATGCACCCTCGCCCACGACATCTTGGATATCGTACTGCTCCGAGACGTTGAAGCTGATCTTGCGCGACCCCGATTGTCCTGGAGCGCGGTTCGACATGATGAGGGTATCGCGAGACGGGCGGTTCTACGAGGGAAGTGGGGTGGGGGGGATCGAGAACGAGAAACGTCGAAAAGGGATTTCTCGGACTGCAGCCGCGATGCGCACGAGCTGCTCGGAAACCTCGCACACTTGCAGAGCAAATGCTGGAGAAAATGAAGGTATTCGGGGGGTTTTCGTGGGTGTTGTAAAGGGATGGGTGGTCGCTGCGAGCGAAATGGATTCTTTGTTGTCTCCCCTTCAGGATGCAATGCCAGGCCAGTTCCCCTTCCACACCACAGTAGCGTCAAAGCAACCTTACTCGGTACCGGAAATCCTATGGGAGCTTCCGACCACTCGCTCAGTGCGGAAGTCAACAATGAATGTTTTAGATTCTGTGGGTGTTTCTTTGATGTTGGTGAGCTGTAAGATTATTTGAATTTCGAGAAATTGGTAGTAATTTTATTAATCGATTTGTTTGTGAGTCCGAAGTTGTGTTGGATGGTCGAGGAAATTGTCGAGTTACTTCGCGCTCGGTCCTGCGCAATTGTCGGACTGAAGCAGGTCTGAAATCTAGTTTGGGACGGTTCTTAAGTTCTCTGACCTCCTTTTGGTGGTGGATAACGTAGTATGATGGCTGTTTTGGGATGAGTTGCTATTCAAACGGACAAGTTAGCCTTCCTCACTCTGACCATATTCCTATTGTGTTGTAGCTAGGACTCTTTGGTACGAGTAGCTGTCCAACACTTCTTCAGACGTATGAAAAGAACATAAACAGATCAACGAGAAAGAGTGATACTTCATCATCTCAAGTCGCAATATTGTACCTTCAAAAGAAGAAAATCCGACTATACATACCTCAACTCCGTAATAGCTCAAAATTCCAACCAAGTCAGCAATTCCTCGCGACTCTCGTTTATTTCCACGTTGATAATCGAATTGATTCAAAACACAAAGCCTTCAAAACCAACATCAAAGACCATCAAAATCAAAAACGAATTCACAAAAGACAAGTCAAGAAACCCAAACCCAAACCCTCAAACCCCGTCCTCATCCGCCCCCAAAAAGCCCACCAGCGCTCAACGCACCCTCCTCCTATCACACGCCGCTCCCCCTCCTAAGCGCCCACCCCCCAGCAGGCGCCTGTTTCACGGGCTAAAGAAGGGCCAGTTTCAAGAGCTGGTAGTGGCTGGTCCGCCACCTAATGTGATGGGCGTGGTTGCGGCCGATGCAGGTGCTGCGCCAATGGGTGGGTGTGATGGTGATGGAGGATGCGTGATAGATGAGAATCAGGACCAGCGACGAGAAGGCATAAGTCAATAGCACCTCGAGATGCCAAAGTCTAGATCGCACGCCTACGCACAAGTTCCCTTTGTGCCTGACTAGTCGACGCCCAAGTAACACGCTAACCGCCGCCAGCATCGGGTAGTCAGCAGACAAGCAACAACCGCCGGAACCAGCGATTCAGGAAGCGCTTGCAGAGGGATATTCAAGTCCTGAGCCCCTTTAACTTGAACTTGCATGAGAGCGTGATGTGATTGATTTCAAATAGAGTTACAGTGATGGAACAATCATAATTGAAAACAAGATCAGATGATCATGAAGTCGAAGCCCCCATGTCAAGAAGAACCATCTTAACTTCATAGCATTCATCATCAAGCGCTAAATAATCACTTGTTTAATTCTTTTCTATGGTACTACAAAGTCCCAAGTCTGTTTCCACCACTTCCAATCAGCGTCCTCGATTCGAAGTCTCCGTTTACTGAACGACCTGTACCAGAAGATAAATACATCAGCAACCCGTCTTCAACCTATTTTGCATATCAGATTAACGTTTAGCTCACCTTCTCTCGTAACGTGCCCATAAACTGCTGAAAGCTCATCCCCTGGTCTGCCCGATCTTCAACCAAAAGTGTCTGGGCCCAAAGCTTCAAACTTGGATCGCCATCCTCCCTAATGATATACAGATGCGGCACAATAATGCTGCCAACACCCCGCGATCTGTAATCCCGACTTTTTGCTATCACCGCACGGACGCGTTCGTTGAAATCGTTGTCGAGTTCAGGTAGCGAGCTCTTGCCAACCTTGAGTTTGGTTCGATCTGCAACATCGAAAACATCGGCAAGTAATTGTGGTACAGCATCCCGACCAACCCAGAGAAATTGTGTCTGCCCATCGTCAATAAGATATAAGCCGTATGGTACCAAGCGCTCGGAAGACAGATTGTGAGGAGGGGGCAGCACAATCTGGCTGGTTTCCGGATCAGGAATACCCGCATTGTCAGGCATATCGTGCAGTGAGTATAGACGTGGGTAGATATATTGCATCATCAGTGGCATAGGTAAAGTTGACAACTGGCAAAGCGCCGCTGATCGAAGATCCGATGGGATCTGAGCTGATTTTCGAAGACCAACGTTCTTGATTAAACCGAGGAAAAGAACAGGCAGTCCTCGAAGATTGGCTGGGAATTGAAGACCGCCACTGCCCATGTTTCCACCAGCCAATTCCTTCTTGAACGTCTGGAGAAGTTCAATAAGTTTTGACTGAAGCGCTTCTCTGGCGGGTTCAAGACCACCGCTGAGTGCTCGTTCAACTGCCTTGTGGCTGAAAAACGTGGTGATGGCACACTGATCCGCTGATGCGTAAACATCCGCAAGATTGGTAGTTGTAGGCAATGAAAGAGTCATAACCCGAATTCGTCTTTCTCCGTTGCTTGTTGTATGTAGAACAGCGGTTTGCATACAGACAAAATTCTTCGTCAAGCTCTCATCAATAGCGACTTCAACAACGTAACTCTGGTCTCTTGGAAATGCAGGGAATGCACAAAGATCTGAGCTTCGATTGAAGAAGTTGCCATAAAACGTGCTCATTCGAAGACCGGTCGTAGCACGAACGCGAAGAACAGCCTCGAGACCGATTTCCGCAGAGAGATAATCGCTGAACTCAGTAGCAAACTTGATGGCATCTTCGCTTCTTCCGGCATTCCACCCAGGATAGAAGTAAGTTTGACCTCCAGTATATCTTGGCAAATTGCTGAGGGACGCAACATCTTGATATTGTGATGAGAAGAGAAACATATCGATGGAGACTTGGTTCTTCGAGCATTCGACAGCAAAACTCTTGTAGAAGCTGTTGCCGGTCTGGAGGAGTCCACTCTCCTTTGAAGTTCCTAAAAGTTTCTTGTCTTCTCGCATTTCTAGCTTGCCGTAGCCGACGTTTGGTAGAGTTGCTGTGATGACGACAATCTTTCCACCAAGTGGTGAGATTAATTTGTGACCTGCTCTCAGTGCCGAACCCATACATGATCCGCCATTTTGATTTGCTTGGAACATTGCTGGCAGTGAAGTCAAGAATTTCTCCACACTCAGACGGCTTTCGGATAATGGGACAAGCAGTTCTTGTGGAATAGGCAAGAATGGTTCATCCAAATCACTGACTACGAGCATATTGGTTTCTCCATTTTCATCCGTATCCTTTGGAACAGCGAAGTAATGCAGACTGGAGTCGACGGCCATAAATCCCACCCTCGTTCTTCGGTCGGCATTAGGTATCCTGTTCAAACTGTCCAAAATTGTTCGCGCACTTGTGGCAAGCAGACCACAAGAAACAGAGGCATAGCTGACGTCGAACAAAAATAAGTAGACAAGTGGCTGTGGCGGTCGAACCATATACTCCTGGGGCGCGACGAATTCTACAACGGCGTGGTTCAACTCTGGTCTTTGCCAGCGATCCACACTCTTCTGCGCCGCAGCATCCCAATCAAATGCTTGGGGAACATCGTTGGTGAGGTTACACATATTACACCGCCACCGATGCCCATGGTCTAGGAATGTAACATATGGATTGATGTATGACCGACATCTTCGACAACGAGAAATAACTTGATCTTGAACGATTGGCACAGGGTCATCCACATCATGGAGGGACGTATATGGTTGAATGACAAGGGCGAAAGGTAGTTTTGACTTCTTCAGCAAAGAGTGTGTTGTGGGAACGGCGTTCAGCGTCGATCGGACGTATTTTGGTGGACAGTTCGCATCCGGGGAGGGTGTGACACTCGACTTGAAATCATTAGCACTAGAAATGAGTTGCAATGAGTTGAAGACTTACATTAGGAGGTAGGATGATTGGAGGAGGAGGTAAATCTAGTTCAGCAACGTTGAAAGGTTGATTGAGGAGGTCGGTGGGGTATAATTGGTTCAACACAGCTGGTCGGCCAGCTGCTTGTTGTGCTTGAGCTGGAGGTTGACCTCCCACGCCCATTTGACCCATTCCCTGCGTGATTCCGGCAACACCACCAGCGGCTGGATCCATTCCATATGTTTGAGCCGGAGCACCAGGACCTGGATAACCTGCAGCGGGAGGTTGATATCCCACACCGCCACCATACTGTGGTTGCTCAGCGCCATATGGCACTCCTGGAGCTCCCACAGCCGGTACTGCAGCTGGAGCTCCGTACTGGGCACCTCCATACGCATTCTCTTGTGGTGCTGCGTATCCTCCAGCGTATGCTGGCGCAGGTGGTCCTCCTGGTTGTTGAAATTGCCCGCCGCCTTGTTGCTGACCTCCTAACGCTGAATTCGCTCCCGCTCCAAAGTCGTAGGCTTGCGCCGCGTAGCCTCTCTTTTTCTTCTTTCCTCCGACTTCCTCGGGTTGTCCTCCTGGGGGTGGTGGAGATGATGTGCCAAAGCCAGGTTGAGAGGGACTTTGTTGAGCATATGGATCTGGGGCAGGATAACCCTGACCGTACTGATCTTGTGGTGCCGCCATGTTTACTTCGGTGGAGTCGCTTCAGGAAGTTTAATTATAATCTCCAGATCGCGGAGTTTGCTGGTAATGGTTGGCAAAGCGCAATTGCTCTGCGGCCGTATCCTTAGTATCGTGAAGAAAACGTGGGACAATGATCTGTATCGGCCACCAAGCTTCGTCGAGAGAGGGGGGTCGAGGGAACACGTTGCTCAATCAATCGTATTGTTTTCCCAGCTCAGAAAGGATCAGGTATCAGCTATCTTTGGGGACTCGAAACTGCGCATGTATAAGGACAGTCATGACATATCTTGCTCTTAGCCAGGCTGTCGTTGACAGGAATATGCTAGCCTTGTGTGTGCCCACGGCTGAATGTCGACCAGAAAGGTGGCTCTCCAACCATGATCCAGTCACGTGGAATGCGGCTTCTTTGACATGTGCCGTCATCCTCGAGAGTAATTCCCCTGAAACAAGACACTTCTCTCCAACAAATCCTTCAATTCTGGCCTCTACATCTTCTTCTGACCTTGAGAAAACGTATCAAACACCTGCGACGTTATTGAAATCTGCAATCATGGCTTGGGGACGTTCAACACCTAAACCTCCCCCACCACCCCGCTCAGCTTTTATGTACTTAGCCTGCTGGACTATCCAAGATGCGAAAGCTAACATGCGACCTAGGAAATCTCTCCCTCTCCTCGTATTTCTCATAATAGTTGGCGCATTCGCATTCATTGGGTACCATGTTTACCTAGCTACACAGCAGATTTCGAAGTCTGCATCGGAGAAGATGGAAAAGAAGAATGTCGTATTTACGAAAGATGGTGTCAAGGTTGGCGTTAAGCAATTGAAGAACGAGAACTATGTGGATACGACACAAAGTTTCTTGGTAAAGGCATGGAATCTAAGTACATGGCCAGGATATAAGAGCAAGTTATGGAACCAGGAGCAGCAAGGAAAGGTCGAGTCGCGGAAACCGTAAGTGGTGCTGTATTTGTGTTGGTAGTACCAACAGCGAGTCTCAGAAGGCTAACTACGTTTCATTAGATTCTCTCGCTCTTCCTCCTCTAATGTATCGACGAAATCAAAGTAATCTCAACTTGTACACCCTTATGATACCCGGCGTTCTTTCCGAGATTCGAGCGGTCTCACATTTCGTTACGTCCTTTTAGCAACGGTCATCTTTACTTTGGGATATTCACATGAGCGGTTAGGTGGTCTGAGAAGACTTTGATATTGGCGATATAGGATGGAGGTTGCGTATCGCGGCAAAAGTTATAGTATACCCTTCGATGTTTGTTCTGCAGGATATGGACCATGATGTCTCTTATCATGAACTGGGGATTTATAGTACTCAAATGACAGACCAATTTACTTCTGTCCAAATGACAAATCCCTGATCGAGATGTTTTCCAAGGTACTTGATTGTCCCCTTTAAGATGATAACCAGCTCGATATTTGGCCTTTTGACTGAAAATTGTGAGCTACTTTTGGGCTTTCTTTCCAGGATTTTATACGCTTTTTTGATTCCATCTAGGCGACGGCGGCACAGTTGACAGCAAGGCACTGTCCATTTCTTAGGTACACGAATACTCTTTCCATAATCCAGTTACTTCATTGTACCACAAACATTATCTTCTCATCTAACCACCTAGTGACAGAAACTAAGAAAGTCACTTCATTCTTTTGTTTTATTCTCAAGGAAATCAGCCATTGCCATTATCAGAGCCAAAAGAATTCCACGAGATACACAGTTCGATTTCGGGAAATGAATGAGACGAAATGACTATCGTCACTAGTGATTCTAGCTTAATGACAAACTGTGAATGGATTGACTTGCAAGTCGAAATTGCGAATTACCATCAATACGGGGTCCTCTCGGTCATTTGTGACTATAGATGATTACTAGGCCAAGAGATACTTGTGCTTGCAAGTGAGAAGTGCTCGATCCACCGGCATTTAAGTCTGTTCTCATCTATCTTTCCTAAGTAACTTGCTGTATGTAAGCCGTCAAACCCGTGTTGCGAATCACTTTCAATCCCGACCAAGAAAGCGAATACTGTTTTCGGTGTCGCAGATGGATAGACCAGAATTTGGCTTGAGTTACATGACAACTTGAGTTACACGAGAAGACAATCTGACGTCTACACACGGAAATAAACCCACTGGAAAGTGTTTTACTTCCGCTGCTTTCGACTTTACTAACCTAAAATCAGCGAAGTCGGAGAAATAAACACGCCTTCCATATATGTTTCATCTTAAACTTTGATACGTTGTGTAAGTATCAGGACTTCATAATTCAGGTGTACACAGGAGAGTTACCTTCCCTGGTAGAAAAGCGGTAATTTTGACCAGCTCTAGCAATTTCTAGCATTCTGTTATTGCTCAGATGTATTTGGTTTAAGTTGTTTGGAATTTGTCCTCCTTCGAAGCCTCACTGCTCCTATAATCTCAGGGTGGAGCTGACAGATTAGTGGATTTTGAGATTATTGTTTGTGCAATCTTATTCCGGTAGAAGGACGTTTGGATCAAGAATAGCACTGCTGGTAATTTTGAACTTAGTATGACAGTTGATAATGTCGTTCGTCAGTCTTTACTCAAAAGCCTGCAGAGTCTCATGCTTGTTTATCTATCTGTTGTAAGGACCCTTCCGGTGTCTGTCATTCCATTCCGTGAATTTAACAGTACCTAGGTAATGTTGTGTTTTGATTATCTCCTGGACGTCGAATTATTACATAAAAAGCCTTTCAAGTCAATTTAGAGGGTGTCATGAAAGCCCTATAGGCCGGCTTTGCAACAAATGAGGAGGCAATCTAAATTGTAAATTCACTGGACCTTTCCGTATTCCCATTTTATTAATTCTCGCTTAACACACACTATGTGGAGAGAAAGGAAATACATAAGAGCAGAACGACCTACTGGTATTGAGGCCATTATAGAAGACTAGTGCATAGCCCAGGAGTGAACACAAGGCCACCTTCGTGCTCGTTTTCTGGTCAGAAGTGTTACTCTAGCCACGTTTAAACCAAGAAGTCAGGGTAATAGTATCATATAGTCAAAAGCTATGAAGGGTATTGAGTATCAACATACACATTAAGATCCCAGGGATATACAACAACCAACCTTGCTCAAAAAACAGCCCAATCCCAAATATACATCACCCAACCCTAATCACTCTCACTCTCGCTCCCCAAAAACGCCAAATCAGCCGCCCTCTTCGCGGGTCTGCTCACCACTTCCTCCTCCTCATCCTCACTGTCCCCACCCCCCTCCTCACTCTCCCCCTTCCCTAAACTCTTCCCGACTGCTTTACTTCGACTTGCCCTCCCACTCTCCATCCCCCAATTCTTCTCCCCCTCCTTCACATCCTCCAAATCCTTCTGCAGCTCCCTCATCTCCTTAATCTCCCTCGCTCTACTCTCACTAAACCGCCCGACCATACCCACATCCCTCAACATATCCTTCAAATGTTTGATTTTCGCATTATTATCCTCGCCGTAGGATTTTAGTTCAAAGGCCCATATTTTGCGGACCCCGCATTTGAGGAGGTGGGATTGCAGGGTTTTGATCTGTTCTTCGGCGGGGGAGAGGGTCTTTTCGGTGGGTTTGCTTGGTTTAGCTTTGGCGTCGGTGGATTTGGATTTAGATTTGGGTTCTGCGGATTTGGAGGCGCGTTTGCGTTTTGGTTTTGGGCCTTCGTCGATTACTACGGACATTTCAGAGGAGTCAGAGGCGTTTGCCTTTTCTTCTTTTTCTGCGACTTCTACTTTTGTCGCGGTATCGTCGTCAGAATCTTCGGCGGTGGGTTTGGTGGTTGGTTGCTTCTTTTTGGCTGATTTTGGAGACTGGGGTGCCGGTATTGGCTTCTTCGCTGGCCCGCTCTCAGAATCAGATGGTGTGGTAAGTGCGGAACTTTCCTCCTCGGCTCCAGACTCTTCGACTTTGGCATTTGATTTGGTAGGTTTTGTTTTCTGTTTGGACTTCTTGACGGGTGGCTGCTTCTTCGTAGGTGGGGCGTCACTTTCCGAGTCTGCTAATGAACTCTCACTATCATCCTCCTCCTCGTCTGAATTGTCCTGCTTCCTTTTCTGGCCGCCTTTCTTGACTGGTGTCTTGGACTTCCGCGCTATCTTCTTCTTTGGTTTCGGCGCCTCGCTGGCATCCGAATCGCCAAAGTCTTCACTCCCGTCGGATGGCGCATCGCTTAGGATACTGCTCGCAGAAACGTCGTCCTCGTCTGATGGTGTTGCTTGTTTCTTTTGTCTTTTCGCAGGTCGTGCTTTTTCTGCTGACATAGGCTTCTGTGCGCGCTTTTTGGAAGGTGCCACTTTCCTTGGTACGGGCGCGGGCTTCTTCTTCTTTTCTGGCGTAGGTTCTGCGACGGGTAAAGCTCCGGCTTCTTCAAGAGTATCAAGATGTTCCTTGAATAGAAAATTAATACCGAAAAACTCCAGGCTACTACTTTACATACGACATGTTCCTTTATAATCTGCTTCGATTTATCCTTCCATTCTGGGCTCAAGAAAAATCCATTTTCAAGATCTAGTTCCTCTTCAACCGCACTTCGCACTTTCTTCACACTCAATTGCTCTCGATCCGTGTCGAAAATGTGTTTTACGGACTTTTTGAGTTGAGCGACGAGCGCGCTACTTGAGGGAGCCATAGCAATGAGTTTTCTAGGAAATTGAACTTTGTGTATATATTAAAGTAAGCACCTGTTCAATGGCTGATTGGAAGTCGCGTCGGGTCGCGTCTCGCCTTCGAGGTCTTTGCGCCTCGAAGTTTTAAGCGGGCTCGAGGCGGGGGAGATCACGTGAAGCTCTCGGCCTTTGATCACCAACTCGAAATAGCTTCACTCTCGCGACGGTCCAGGTTTCTGCGCGCTCCTTCTTCACTCAACTTGTACCATACTACTTCCCCTCGTCAATTTGCTTTTCTTGCTCCGGCCTGTGAGGAAGCTGTGTTCCCTTCAACCTATTTCCATTCCCTCTGGCTACGTAGCTCTTGATGCTGAAACTCCTTTCTCGCTACCATCGGACACCACTTGGGCCTTTGATGCGGATCTCAAGCAAAATGGCGCGGCCAAACTTTCACACAAACATCATGCTGGATTTAGAATGCACTGATGCTTCTGTTCCAAATCCTGTCATTATTGAAATGGCAGCACTACATTTCGACATTGATACGGGAGATATACTTGGCTCTTTCACTACTCCTGTCAATTTTCAGTCTTGCTTAGACCATGGTCTTCTCGCTGATAGGCAAGAAGGTCTTGATTGGCTTCAGGCCACTATCCCTGACACTCTTGCAACTAGCAAGGCTTCTCCAGTCACACTTACTCATGCATTGTTCAAATTCTCATCGTTTCTACGCGCCTCAAGTAAGCTCAACGCAGAGAAGCTGACGGCTAGAAACCTTCGTACCGATCAATCTCAGCTTATGATCTGGGGGAACGGGGCAGTCGCCGATAATATATGGATTGCAAGTGCTTATCGAGTTTGTGGTATGGAGCGGCCATGGAAGTATTATAATGACATGTGTTTGAGAACTTTCGTCAAGCAATGTACGTTCATGACAGGCAAAGATTTTGCAAAGGACGAAATCTTTGAGGGGAAAAAGCATGTGGCACTAGATGACTGTCGTTATCAAGTCTCCTATTTGGTAAAAGCTCGCAAACATTTGGTGTCAGCTCGAACACCGAGAAAGAAAAGATCTAAGTTGCCCAGTCCGAACTCTTCTTCTAGGGCCGCAAAGGAAGACTTGGACGTAGAGACCGTATCAGCCGCCGATCAGACCTTCTTTGGCCCGCTCCAGCGAGGGTTAATTTCAACCGAAACATCGCAAGAGCAATCAAAATCGACAGCCGGCGGCGGTAGCTGTGCTCCACCTCAGCCTCGAAAGAAGAATGGTCTTTTGACGCCAGCCACTTCATTTTCTGTACCTCCACCCGAAGATGATCTACTAGAATCAACACAGCCAAATAATAGTCCGGGCAGATTAACGATTAAGAAGAGCGGGCTTATATCTCCTGATACGTCTTTTGTGTTCGCGGATGATGAAGGTGAAGAATCAGTTTCTGTATTGAAACAAACTCAGAGCGTCAAATTTGAAGGAATTATATCAGGCACTTTCGTGCCCACAGTTGCAGAGCCAGAGACGCCAAAAGCAAGAAGACAGCTCTTCCATCGGTGAGAGAAAGCGCAAGACGAAGTGTACTTTTAGTCATCATGCGTTGCTCGACTTGGTGGTATAGCTTATTCCGAGCATTGGTTTAACAAATCATCTAGAAGAGATGACTGAATTAGCATTCAAAGCTTCCGTGGAATAAAATATGGCAACAGCTACTCTCACAGCGGCGGCTGGTGGCCGGATTGTCAAGATCCTGTGAGTCGCTGAATTTTAAGCTGATTCACATCATTCGGGATTTATTGGAGAGTTATGATACTTAAGGACAGCAAAGGGTCGGTTCAGATAGAACAGCATTCCTCCCAACCTTTTCATTCTCCCCACCAACCACGCATTCCACCAACCAGCCCACGAAACATAACACCATTTCAAGGCCTAAACAAATGCTTGATCGCCCAAATGTTTCTACCATCTCTTCAGTATTTTCGAATTATGACCCACAAGCTCAAACCATCTCAGCAATGAACTCGACATCAGCACTTATCCTCTTCCTCACGACGCTCTTGTGCATCACCCCCTCGCTCGCCCATCCGGCGTTCCCATCTCTGGTGGAAGCTATACCGACTCGCTCTCCATCTTTCCCAACGGCTATTCCCAATCAAGCTTCGACAACCAGTTCAGCTCCAGGTCTGCTCAACGGAACCGATTGCGATGCACATGACAAAGTTTACCAGGCCGCGAAATGGATGCTGATTATCACCTTCGCGGAGGTTAATATCCTCGGGTTATTTTTGGCTTGGAAGTATGTTAAGGGAACTGCTAAGCCGCCACCTCCTCCACCACCTGCAGTGAAGAAGGAGGGCTAGTGGAGACCAGGCTGGAAGAGGGTTTTAGTTTTTGGAGGTTTAGCATGCAATTTGATTTTTGGGGGGATATGCGGAGGGCTGGAAGAGGAAGAAGCGGTTCGATATTAAGGATGGATATTGATGGAGATAGTGTAGTTGGAACGGAAATGGAAAACAAACTGTTTGTGCTTAATGTTTTTGAGTGTTGAAATGTGACATCAGAAGCGATAATATGCTAACTGGTGGAAGTAAGGGAACTCAGGGAAGTACTTGGGAAATTTAGAAAGTCAAGGGTCAGCCGTTTGCAGAATAGCAGTTGTAAGAAAATATTAACATACGAACAACCAAACACAGGTACGAGGAGATTTTCTGGTATACAGTCGAATTTATTCGATATCATCCTCCCTGGTATACATTCAGTGGGCTCAGAAAGCTTGACTCACTATGTTAAGGTAGCCCCTTAATCCAAGCGAGTTCGTTTATATTCAGGGTGACAGTACATTCACTTCACCAGTGAAGGTATCGCTAGCCTAGTGGTGAATGGATTCTTGTTGAAATTTTATTAACACACTTTCCTGTACATACTTGAGGGACAAGATGGCCGTCTTCCTCAATTGCACCAACCCAGCAACGTTGTTCCAGCTCAACACAAAATAACCGTCGTTCGTTTCCTTCACCTCAAACTACGACCTCAAACCACGCTCGTTACACCGGCAATCAAGCTTCGAATCAAAAAACGCTCGTTACAACACTATTTATCACCCTACGCACCCTCATCGTCCTGAAAACCCCGCCCTCCCACACAAATCCATCACCGCGAGCTCTTCCTCCCACCACGAACCTCGAACATCAAAACACCATGCCAGCAATCCCCACCCACGCCCAAATCCTCACCGCCTTGACAATACGAAATGACTTCTCACAAAGAGATCATTTGATTCTCGAATGGGTGTGCGGGGTTTTGATAGTATTGACTCTTGCCTCTTTTGCCGGCATTATAGTCAAGAAGCTTTGGTTTCCTAGGAGGGATTAGGGGTGTGGGGGGAGGTTGGGGGAGGAGAAGAGGGAAGGAGGAAGGGGTGAGAGGGTTTGGGAATTGGGGGGCAAGGGGGGAATGGATGGATAGGGATGGAGGAACAGGGTGGGGAAGTGGATGAGGGCAGGGAGGGAATAAGAAATGGAAAGAAGAAAAGAGCAGATCGCTGTTGGGTTTGAGGATGGATGCCAGAAGGATTGAGTCAAATCTAGGTTGTAGATCAAGATGGTTTTTTTGTGGACAGTCAGGGAAGTTTAGTAGAATCAATGAAACGTTTCGAACGCCTCGGCCATTCACTTCTTTTTTTTTCGTCAGCTCGTGACTCTGAATCAACTGAGCGTGCTTCGCCGTTTTTCTCGACATAATCTGAATCGTATGTTCCCACGACGTTGTGGTTTTGGTCTTCAAGACCAAGACAGATGAATGATGAAAACGATATTATTCGATCAATTTGATGCAAAAAGAATTATTTCATCTGCGGTTTTCATGAATTATTGCTGATATCTAGGGAAAGCACCAGATTCCGTTTATGTTTAAGACCGATTCACAGATTATAGGTAGCTGAAATATTACTGTCGTTTATCTATCTGCTGTGAGAGAGTTACGGAGTGGGAGTAGTGCAAGTCCAGGATGTTGAGCACAACTCTCCGGCTTGTCACAAAGTTAGCAATTGGGCAATACAATTTATTTCGGGGCTTGTTGGGTATACTGGCGAACGTCGTTGGCTGTCAACTTGATCTGATATCCTTTCAATCAGGTGGACGAAGTGTCGTAGATCTCTCCTATTAGTTGGGGGGAAAATATTTTAGGGAAACTATTTGGAACCAGTTGCAGGTTAAACTTAAGCACCTTCGTAGATAGATACCCATGATTATGATGTTATTTGAGTTGGACAGCGCTTATAAATTGTTGGCACTAATAGTTATAAGTGACAGATATGTGAGTCTCCAGGGCTGTGTTTGAAGTTTGATTGTATTATATCTGCTGGTGCTTCGAGAGCAAGCGTAAGGTACGCTTAAGAGCATGGAATTAAGAAGCTTAGGCAATCATCCCCGTCGACACTGGGAAAAAGGAGAGATGGATATTCATCTCCAGGCCACGTCTCTTCAGGAATCTGCTGCATTACATGTTGATCCCATATCATATCGTCCGGCCCTGGACCTAAATCTTTCCATCTTGTCACCATCAAGGCAGGGCCACAGTGCTCAAAGTTCCTAAATCCAACTCGATACTCTGTTCGACACTGCTCACATCTCCTCATAGTGGTTTCCTGGGTCTCCACTTCCTTTTTACTCGGTTCAAGATCCAGGTGGTTACATATCCACTCGACGGGTGGACGGTAAAAGAATGTGGAGGTTGCCTGCCCATGTGGGAAGTATACGCTGTGACGCTTCTGCATTAATCGATCTTTGCTGATGATGCAAGAATCTGTCAACATCATGCTGTAATTATCCAGTTCGATCTTCACCCAGTTTTGGGCTACCGCTTTTAAGAATCGGGAACAGTCAGACTATTTATGATGTTCTCTCATAATCATCTTGAATGCAGTGGTACCAAAGTTATGACCAATTCCTTTGATTGAATTACTGTTATCCCGATCGACGCAGCGCGGTGGTAGTACTTGGTGGCGATTGTGCCTGTGGTTCAAAGAATCGACAGTTGACCTTTTGTACCTTTCAAAGTCCTCGAGTTTATGCAATCGTAGACAGGCTTCGCATGCGACCTGGTTCGGGAGATCCACAGCCAATAGTTCCAGCAACACCAATTTCTCATCAGCTGATGTTATTCTAGAAATTTGATAAACTCCAAGACATTTATGAAGTTGCTTACAGCTCAGCGAGAAGGCTACGCCGGATGCTGGGTGTAAAAAATCCAAGATGTAGGTCAGAACATCTACTGGGATACTGCCTATGACAGAACAGTGAAGTGCATTGATTTCTGACACTACCCGTCCTGCTTTGACTTCTGGTTTGTTTCCAGAACGAGAGAACTGGTTCCGTAGACGGAACAAAGATTTTCGAGGCCGAAGTTTGCGTGATGTTGTTGCCATTTTCTCGACTTTTTTCTTTGCCGACGGGCCCGATCCATGAGATTCTATCGCTCCTTTTTGTCTCGAAACATGTACGGTTACCGAATATCTGATCAACTTGATAAACAAATTTGAGTCTTGGTAAAGAAAACACTTGAAAGGTTGTTCCGTGAGTCTTCAGTCAGTGTGGGGCATTAGAAGCGACGGCGTTTTCGCTTTCCCCCCTCGTGGCTCGCTTAGCTGTGCTAGCCATCACTACTAAAATCGTGTCCCGTCAAAAGACTTCTAGAAGATGACGCAGACGGAAGGAAAATTACAGAGTTTAGGTGTTGCTACTGTGCCTTTCAAATCCATTCCAAACAATTCTGCTCTACCAATGCTGCTTACGAAATAGGTGTGAAAGAGTTATCCCTTGTCAGCACCAGTAACCGAGATCTGAGTCTTGTCGATTAGATTTTTGTGAGAGGACTATCTCGCATAAGCTCTCCAAACATTATTCTTCCAAAAGAATCTAGTTTTAAGGTAGAGCATCGATAAGCGACACTACTAAAAGTGCAAAATATTGATAAAGGTCCAATGCTCGCAGCACGAATTCCACGGAAGCAGTGAGTATGCTATTGTTTGATGGGATAGCAGGAAATGACATGACTGACAATGTGATTAAAGATATTTCCAGAAACTTAAAAATCTAGGACTCTAATAATTAAATGCTCCCTCTAGAGTTCTGGAGCTTTGCGACCTACACACCAGACACAATGTCTTCCCTCATAAGGCTGATAGGACCATATGGAGGTGACTTTCTTGAATGAGGAACAGTATTACTTAAAGTCGTTACACATATTAGTCTGTCTAGTCACGCTGTATTCACGAGTGTTGGGGTCGGAAGGCGTAGTGCGTTCGCCGATCAGTGATGCCTAAACATAACTCAACAGCCCTAGTGCTCTATGACTCTTGATAGCGAATCAAATCAACGCTTGACATACTACTGCGCATGAGTGGCAAAAGTGATATTTCTAGGCGTGCTGCAGCTAGGATTTTGAGTCCTGCCACACAGGAATTCGATTCCGAAAACAAAATTCCGATATTGATTGTTGAAGTTAATAGGTTACAGCAAAAGCGGCCAAGTCACTTCGCAATATGGGAGGAAGTTGGTCTTGGTAGCCTTGGCCTCCATAGATTCCTTGCTGAGCTAAAACAATTCAGCTGTTGACCAGGAGCTTCAAAAAGGTGGTGTGGCTGGAAGCTAATCAGTGTGGTTGCACGGCAATTCAAAACGTCTTTGATAGGTCGGTTGAAGAAGTTCATCAGGTGCTGAAACATTTGTTCTCGAAGCTCAGCCGCAGATCTGTCGCAGTTCCTTGCAGCGCCTCATTTGAGCATCTAAATGACGACTAGGCGTGTAGACTAGTGATGACTGCATATAAGGAATGTATGCGCGATAAGATCTGTAGGGAGAACTATCCTTACTTTAATCAATTCTTTCGATATCCATAAGGAATTGTCTTCACTTAACTCGCCTTTAGAAAGCTCACCTATCAAAAATGGGTTTAGGAGTTTTCGGTTTCAATACCAAAGGAATTTTAAGGTTTGATGTTGAAACAGCGTGCCGTAACACATCCACACCGATCAGATGTGGCATTATTTTCAATTCTTCCGATATTGAGACAAGAATTGGGAAATTTGGTAGGAAGGAGTTCGAGCCAAACCCGGATATTGCAGGTATTGGGGTAAGTGCTTTCTCACCTTTCATTCTTTGGGATTTTCTCAATACACTTTGATACGCTGATCACTAATACTTAGTCTCAAAAACAGATTGTGGTGTCCTTATTTGTTCAAGCTTTTTCGATGCTTCTGCTACTGCTTTCTGGCTTCTTTGCTCCGAAACTGCAGAAAAAGCGATCATACTTCCAGACGCTCTTCTTCTTTTCGGACGTATTTACAATAGTGGCTATGGTATACATAATCAACTTCCTGTCGACAGGAAAATGTGATATGTCGACATATCATTACTACGTTGCTCTGGATTCGGTACTGGTGGCTTGTTCAACGATACTAGTAACATTCACAATTTCAGGAAAGCTTTACTGGAGGACCTGGGCGTGTATTCTTCGGCTCATCACTGCAATCACAATCTTCGCTCTTCTCGGAATACTATTGGGTTACCAACTGTACACACACGGCGATAAGGACTTCCCTAACTACTGGCCATCAATAGGAAGCGATACCGCTCTTCTACTCCCCGCATCCTGCTTCTTTGATCCCGATCTGATTAGGTACAGCAATCCATACTCCCCCATGCGCGCGCGGAAAAGACCTTTTACAGAAGCTCAGATGGCCATAATCGGACACCCCACTAAAAGCAAGAAAATCCCTGAAATGGGGCTTTATTGGACGTTGGCAGCTCTCTTCTCCGTCGCGCTCATCATTTCCTTTGCGAAGTGTTGCCATTGTGGCAATTACTCGCGCAGAGCAAAACGCGCTGGATTTCAAGAAAAGTCAAAGATTTTTATGAAGTGCTTCTCGGCCGTCATTTTGGCATTTTGTTTGAGTGTTGATATTTATTGTGCAGTCCACGTCAGTCGTCTTAGAGCCTGGGCAAAAGCGTCCGGATGGCTCGAGGATAATAGTGAGAATGAATGGTCCTCACTTGGGCAGTTAATGCCAGTTGGTACTTTAGCTGGTATTTTATTTCTCATTTTGGACCAATTGAAGAGAAGGAAGCAAATTGACTCACCTGCTCAACATGTCTCAGTTGATATGGCTCAGTACGATAAGATTGAATCGACATCACAAGTAGGAGTATAGAATAACATAGTATTAGAATAGACAGGGTATTCTCGAATATGCATGTAACAAGTTTCCTGACTGCCAAATTCCATTAAATCACCATTAAACACAAGGCTCGGAAATATAAATATAAGACATCGAGTTTACAAAAAACAATAAATAGCGCATATTAAGTTAACCTAAAGAAACCAGATAAGCAATGTTGTTTGACTATGTTGTAAACTGTCGACCGCTGAATATTTTATAAAGTAATCCAAAAAATTGTTTGGCATTCTCATACTCGCTTATTCAAGGAGGTTAGAATAACGTGCCTCATACAATCGCAATGCCAAAAAGTAATTTAGTAGCAGAAAAACGTTTGAGCGAAATAAAAATAGTCCACTGTCAAATTTGAGGCATGTATTGTGGGTGCTGAAAAGTGCAAAAACAAAAAACATACAACAGCAGGTATTCGCTGGTGGTCACCCACCCAACTACTAATCTGCCGATCTGAGGCTTGTGTATGGCAGAGCGGACGGGATGCCCAATTCTCCTCAGTCTGTGGTCGTATGTGACATAAACGCTTGTTTTTGCAATAATATAATATTGGCTGAGTCAACAATCTCAAGGCAGAAGTGTTACAAAGGTGACGTCATGTGACGCTTGGTACTTCGGATGTGACCGCGTCTCTTGGAACACAATAATTCGCAGCGCGTTCGAGGTTGCTGGCCTTATTCCTATATGTATTTGACTAATTAGACGCTACGATTTAGCTTAGACTAGGAATCCTCTTGACGCTAAATGGATCATAGAACGGCAGCGTCCTTGTTATCGACTGCTTGTACTTGTGCGGATATCCGTAACCCGTGGGTACGAGAGACATCTGGACTGGGACAGAGTAAGTCACCTTATGTACTGAAACCTTCTAGCCTAACGTGGCGGCCAACAGAACCATGTGGATGAGACGAATGCGATCACTCTCCTTAAGAAGCAAAAAGCGTCGTTATGTTGCATTAGCCGTCCTTCTGCTTGGCTTTTGGTTCACCACGACAATTCTATTTCCTAGAGCACCCTCACGACCGAAATGGGCGGATCGTGCAGTCACGCCGGCTCAACGAGCCGAAGTCGTCAAAGATATGTTTAAATTTGCCTGGAAGGGTTATTACAAGCATGCCTTTCCTAACGATGAGCTCGTCCCTATGTGGAACTGGCATACCAATTCTAGGTATGCACTTTCTCTATAGTGAAGCTGATTGTTCTTTCTGACTAGAAGCACCAGAAATGGTTGGGGCGCAACCGCCGTGGAGGCGTTAGGCACTGCAGCTATTATGGACATCCCTGAAGTAGTGGATCAGATACTAGACTTTATCCCTAAAATCGATTTTACAAAAAGCAAGGATCCAGTAGACTTGTTCGAGACGACCATTCGCTATTTGGGAGGCATGCTATCAGCGTACGAGCTACTCACAGGCCCTCTGCAACATCTAGCCCACAACAAGGTCTGTGAGATGTCGCGATCATGAGAAATCAGCAGCCTACTTTACGTACTGACTTATTCAGCCAGGGAATGTTAAGGCACTTCTAAATCAATCGACGAAGTTAGCTGACACATTGAAATTCGCATTCGACACCCCCACAGGAATTCCATGGAAAAAGCTTTTGCTCGACAAGCGAATTGGTACTGACAGTACTATCAATACGGCTAGTTCAATTGGGACTTTAGTGCTCGAATGGACTCGACTTTCTGATATTACAGGCGACGAGCAGTACTCCACCCTCGTCAACAAGCCGATGAAATATTTACTTAATCCGCAACCGCAAAGAAATGAGCCATACCCAGGTATCGTAGGCACTTGGCTCAACATACACAGCGGCAAGTTCACTGATGCTTGGGGCTCATGGGGTGCGGGCGGAGATTCGTTTTATGAGTATTTGATCAAGATGTACATGTATGATCAGGCTCGCTATCGCTTGAACATGGAGAGATGGGTCACGGCAGCCGACTCAACTATTGAAACCTTAGCGATTACTCCGCCGGGAGTAAACCTGACCTTCCTTACAGAAACCACTGGGCAGCCGCTAGATCACAAATCAGGCCATCTCCAATGCTTTGCAGGCGGTAATTTCATACTCGGTGGCAAGATTCTAAACATCACGCGCTACATCGACTTCGGCCTCAAGATCACAGAAAGCTGTCACGAAATGTATGCTCGTACAGCCACTGGAATCGGCCCAGAGACAATTATTTGGCCACCTGCTAGCATGACGCCCGAACAAGAACGCGAATTCAAAACCCTTGGTTTCGGCATCAGGAATGCGAATTTTCAACTCCGGCCCGAAACGGTGGAGAGCTATTATTACGCTTATCGTGTGACGAAGGATCGAAAGTATCAAGATTGGGCTTGGGAAGCTTTCGTTGCTATCGTGGCTCACACAAAAATCAGGAATGGGTTCTCCCCCATAAGTAATGTCAACGAAGTTGGTGGTGGGTGGAAATCGGGAAAGCAGGAAAGTTTCTTGTTTTCAGAGTTATTCAAGTATATGTATCTTATTTTTGCCGAGGTGAGTGAGAACTTGTTCTTCTAAGTATCTTTTCGTTTCCCCTCTGACCAAAGCGCACAGGAATCGGAGATTCAGGTCAACTATGAAGGGCGAAATGAGTGGGTGTTTAATACTGAAGGTCATCCCTTGAGAATCCCTGGACATGGGGTGTAGATAAGGACTATCAAAATACGGACTGTGAGGGTTGTGATAAAATAAATAGAGAGAAGAAGAACTTCAAACAGTTTAGTGTCTGACATATTGCAAATAACAAGCTAGATTTCAGATCTTGGAGCTTAAATCTCATTAGAGAAATTCTCACGAATAATATCCTTTAGATTTAAGATCTTATACCCGAACATAATTCATCTGATGTTCAGATATTACAAACTGAAGATGCAATTTATCTCTAATAATGGCCATTGCAAAAATTGAAAAACGTTGAAGACGACAAACTCCAAAATTGCGAAGTTTTCCTAAGTTGAAACCCCGCCGCGACAGCTGTTATGAGACTATGAATGTTTCTTATCATTTACCCAACTAGAGACGTCGTTGGCACGGGTTATACTCAAGGTCATTAGACTAGCAAAATTTATCGTGGTAGATCAAAATATCATGGAACTTTCGCAGTGTACGAAGCTACTGCTCTCCCTAGGACTTTTTATGAAATTTAATGAGTGTTAGCAACTTAGCATATGATATTCGGATCCTCGAGGACTGAGTTCATCTAGCTGTTGACCAAGGTGTTCAAGATTTCCCAATACGTTAGAATATTCTTAAACCACTCCTAGACATATCCCAAGTTTTCTTATCATGCTTCATATTTCACAATGTCAGGTGTTTCTCCTTCAGCTAGGTTTAACTTTCAATTATAGGTATTTGAGATAGTTTAGCGCTCTTACTACTAGCATCTACAATCTGGACTTAGGGTGACTAGTCAAGAGAGAAACTATCATCGATTCCTATCAAAATTTCTTTGATATTAGGATGCGACATGTCATTCAAGAGTGGCTCATTCTTGCGTCTTGCTAGCTTTGAAACGCTAAAGTCGTCCAATAAAGGCAGAGGATCGCATGCGCGTCGTACAGATTTCCAAATTCCAAAAACGAAATATCACGACAACCAACAGGAAAACTAAATCAAATACCCATCCACAATCACAATCTCTCAAAACCAGACCAATCATTTCACACCACAATCCCTATAAAACCCTCCCACGACGCAATGTATCCCCTGAGCAACCCCCCGAAGACCCATGGCCTGCATCCAAAAAAGTCATACGATTGCCACGAGCGCCCAAGCTCCAGCTCTAGATCCTCGTATCGTCCAGCCAATGACCCCGAATTCCAGAAATCCCATCCCAAATCACATATATCGTACGATTCCCAGCGCCCAGGAGCGGAGAATCCTTGTTGTTTCGGGTGTGTTGCCTTTTTGGAGAAGGGGCTTGGGGATGCTTATTTGGACGTCAGGAAGGGTTGGGTGTGAGGTTTGGGTATTGTGGCGTTTTGACTTGACTGGAACTACGATGATGGGTTGGTCAAATTGATACTTTTATTTATTTTGATTTTGAGTTGTCTGACTTGAATTCTACGTACTGATCCTTCACTTATTACACCGAGTAGACGAAACACTACTGTATTGGTTCCCAAGACATGAATTTATGCTGCATGAGCGTTAGAGGAAGCACTAAGAAATTGTAATATGTAATAACACCATCTTCCCAGTTTGTCAGACGATCGAGTTACTCATCATCCTTACAACAGAGGAGCGGCGCCTTCCACGCCACGGAGAATATCACCATCCCTGGGTACAGTATAGAGAGGTGGTCTCGAACCCTTCTGGGATTGCCCGGCAGTACATCGAGTGGCATTTCGAGCACATCAAGAACGAAAGGGCCACGGCAGAAAACGCCTCAGTATTGATCTTGGATCTTTTTGGCAACTTGAACCGAATGTTCGTGGGAGGAATTCGGAGATGTAATCAGTTTCTGTTGTCGACAAACGTATCTGCCACCATTTTTCATCAATCCAGTTAGTTTCTTTGGAACTAAGCTAAGAATGAACAGAGAAACATCAAGATATCTTCGCTTTCAGTACCGCCGATAAATATTCGACAGAGGACATTTTCTGTGTGGCTTTCGTGGTCTCAATGAAACATCCATGAATTCTTGGATGCCCGCAAGATATAGGGTGACTGTAAAGCCAGATTCTAGGAGGTCGAGGGTGTAGAAACTAATAGCGATGGTATTCTATCGTTTTCTTATGGGTGAAAAAGAGTGCCATGTGAGAAGCCAGATAGATAGGACGGGTTTCTTGCGAGACTGAACATCCATATGAGAGAATGGAAATGGAACCTGGGCACACAAACCGGACTCACCTCTTTTCCCCGTCTGGCGCTACAGAAAGCTGCAAGCCAGCCTTTGTGACATTGCAAACGACCTATTTTTTTTCACAGCTCACCGCCAGTGGTTATCAACATCATCGATTAGCGATGAGGTCTCACCCACTTTTGCTGTAGATACTGTGCAACAACTTCATGGCTAGCGAAAGCGGAGAACTCTAGATCGCGCCTGTCGATCGAAGTTCGAGGGGGCAGAGGGGCCATCGCCATTGCAGCCAAGAAAGGACAACAATGGATATAACTGATGATCCCACGCCCACCTTCGCAAGAATTATGCTGTTTGCCTCGCTCTGGGCGTCTTCTGGGCATGACGTACCGACATGTGGGACTCGAATCTTGCGAAAACAACAACACTGTCAAAGTAGAAACCGTTGTAGGCAAGACAAGCAAACGTGCTCATTGTCGGAAATTCATATCAAGCCAACATTGGTTTTGATGTTCTCGTGGCCGTGGTGGCAAGTCATCTGAATATTCCAAGTAGCAAAGACAATTGGCACATATCCAAGACAAGCTCCCAATATAAATTCGGTTCTACCACGGGGCATTCGACGGTAGGATGATTGTATGCACAACATCCCGAATGACAAGAAAAGGTCAAGGAAATAATCCAGCGGAAAAATTGCTTGATGCGCATGTTGAGGGTTTGCTTTCGGTAGACGGTCCGCATCGAGTCCAGTTGGTCAAGTGTTGTGCATCGTAAGGTCTTGATCGAATTCTCGTCCGAATACCTGGGCATGTTGTAGCACCTGTATTCAATCGGAGATAATACCGTTGCAGTGTTGCTCCCAGTCAAGAGGAATGTCTCGTCCCGAGATGTACGGTTAAATATAGCATTTCGAAGTTGCCATGGCTTTGGATTGTATCGATGCAACGGTACGAATTGACATCCTGCAGAATGTCATTTTCCGGCAACTGGCCTTGAGCTGAGTTGCCATCACAAAACTGGAAGCGGCTAAGCGGGAAATGGTAGCGAACGTGTCTTCGTATTTCGAACCTTCCCAATCTGGTTGAATTATATATTGAATATGTAAGTCCGCTGAGGTCTGAGAAACGCTCGAATAGCTAGAGTTGAATAAACTTTGTAAGATGTTGACGAGGTGGTGGGGACACAGAAAGTTGAGTGACGAAGAGACGTTTCTTGAGGCGGCGGTGCTCTCTCCGAGTCTACCATCAGGGCTGCTTTAGATAGATTATCTGTGACAATGTCTCTTCAAGGCGGGAAAACTTTATTCCAGAACATGCATCATTGCCAAATGCCCTGGATATCGCGTACATTTCAGAAACGACAACTGGCCAACAGCACCACACGACGGACGCAAATAGCTCCGCTCACATCTGGTCCCACCCCAAAACGAGCAAGATATGGAGGGGATAGGACGAACAAACCGACAGACGGACTTCGCAGGTGCAGCGCTGATCCGTTCGAGGTCTTTAATGTGGAGATTGCAAGACGCGTAACAATTCGATGTCTTGATCACCTCAGACGGCTAGGATACTCACCAGTCTTCACAGTATCCGGAATTCTGAAACTCGGCGGCTTACTGCCATGCATGTTCTCCAGAAAACGTAGGACCTGTCCTAAAGTTTGACTGGATTGTGTCGCTAGGGACGCCCGGATGCTCTTTTGCGGATTTCCATAGAATCCCGTTACTCAGTCTGATCTTCAAAACGGAAATACTCGGAAGATCCTTTTTCTGATATCAGCTCCACTCAAAAGTATGGACATTAGAAAGAGATTGTGGTTGCCGAAGTGGTTCGCCGATGATGGTTCCATGTTACCTTTGGATTCTGCCACAACTTGACCGAGTACGTGGAATCGACGGCATGTCAGCTAACATGATGAGTGTGGTATGAGAAAAACTTCAGCTTTCACCACATCTCTTTCCCTCCGGTTCATGCCGGTTAAGATGCTCTTCAGCATGGTGAGGCAGGAGAAGCTTTCAGCCAGCAGTTTCTAACCCTCGGCTTTCTATGTCTCCAAGACTCCAAGTCTCACCTTAGCTGGGCACCTTCCCGGAGCTTCAAGCAGATCTTACTCTTCAGGTTGGCCGAAGTCGTAGCGACAAGGGGATATCTATTACTCTTTCCGGTTTGATCAATCTGTAAGCAGTTAGTACCCTAAGCGCAGAGGCTGTGTTGAGATTGCGCTAATATCTATACTTTCAGTAGTCTGTCAACTTGAGTTAGCCCAACCACGAGATCGTTTATTCCTCCTGATAAAGGTCGCTTGTCACTTTATTGACACTTGTGCTGCCCGTATTCGCGGTGGGTACAACAACTGGTAGTCGGAACAAGACATTTACGCGGTCACATTGGCACAATTTCTTATATCTTGTGTGTTCTCTCAGAAGATTCCAAAGTTAGACCCAGACTTAACCACAGGTTGTCAAGCCCAAAAGTACCTACCTACGCTAAAGCACACCTTAATTTGACAGGGAATTCGCAAGAGCTTCCTGCCTATTTTGTCCACTGCGAGCCATCCTCTTGCTAGTGGTTAGACTAAACAACTTTGCCCAAAGCGACGGCCGTATCGTTCGGTCTTGTGGTGAAACAGTAACATGTTGTCTGTATATTGCTGGGAGCCACCAAAAGACAGATTTGTATCGTGTTCGAGATCTGGCACAGCTGGACACCATTTCGGTCTTTGGGAAGGCGATCACACAAGAATTAGAACACGGTGCTTCGTCGTTGCTGCTTTTTTTCGTCAAGGGAATGACCATGCCATTCCAAGGTTTGCACACTTCGCTCGTTGCTTTGCTGCATGATATCTACCTTGATGGTGTGTGATAAGGTGCATTTCGAAGTTTCGGAACATAAGACAGAGTGGAGTGCAAAGCTAATCTCAGTGCAATGGATGGCCTGCAGACCAAATATGTGAGGACGGACTGGCTGTCTCTGCAATGCCACGCTTCCAAGCCGGCCTAGTATACTTCCTCCCGGGGTTTCGTCTGCTTGCTCTCAACAATGTAGCGTCACGGAGAGAATAGTTGTTGTGCATCTTCGATTTCTTCGATGAGTTTCTACAGCAATCAATCGAAACCGAGACACCCCACAACACATTTGCCCAAGGAATTCCTCACATGAAATCAACTTCCATAACAAAACCAAGACACTCCAGACTCATATATCCATGATACTGTGGGAAAGTTTGTGGGACGACAAGACATTGGGGGTTGTCAGGCGCTTATCAAGTAATTCGACGCAGGGTGTCCGAGCAGTACAATCAAGGGTCGGTACATCTTTTAGGCTCTGCGGCTCTTGTCTGGAGTTCCGTAGACTAAAGTCCGGGGCTCTGTGGATCCATCTTTCTATTATGGATCGACGATGCTTTCATTGATACCTAACCTTACCTACCTTACGCGAGTAGGACAGACATACAGATGAAGAATAATGTGTTCTACACTGCTATGTTTTATGTCGACCTGCCATCCTTAGGTGGTGCAAGATAGATGTTCCTGACGATCAACAGGTCCAATAGGAAAACTCATCACAATCTTCCTGCAACCTCAAGCTATCTCTCCGCCTGTCGGGAACTGGTTTTGAGGCTGAGCCCCGGATGTTACACGTGCTTGAGCATGACCTCCCGTCAGCGGCTGACCGATGCACCACGCAAGCGAGGAAGTACATCTACCTACATTTTGACAATAAGTGCATCTTGGCCTTTTCTCTTTATCGCACTATTCCCATGATGAGAGAGAAATTCTGCAACTCACACTCCTCTAGCCGCCATAAGCATTACCGATGTACGCTGTGTCACATCCTTTCGCACAGTTTCTTTTGAAGCTATCCCAGGCATTTGCAGGTTCCGCGGGTCTTATCTCGAGATTTGTTGTTCAGCCCCCCTTTTTGTGACGACGACTGAAGGCAAACCGTCAAGCAACGCCACAGCTAAAACACGCTTCTCCATCACTACCTCATACTCTCGTCAGGGCCTCTAGATAACCTTCATGAGATCCGTATCTCTTGGCACGCCGCTTCGCCCTCCTTGGCCCTGCGTAGATGCATCTTGGACAGCTTGGCCCTCAATGAAAAGCACTCTGGCCAATTTCTTAACTCCATCCGCGCAATCATTAACCTACGAGTCAGCCTTTTTGAGCAAGAAACACATTCAGCCATTTCGAATCGGGGTATTTCAATGCAGGATAGATCGTCGCGGTACTTGATCTTAGTACCTCCACCACTGTCTCTTGGCCTGGCCCCTATCGGCGAATGCTCACGCAGTATGAAGCAGATAGATTATTGTTGGTAACATCACACAGCATGTACAGCGTCTTGGGAGATGATGAATCACCCTAGCATAAACAACTGCATTTGTGATCTTTGCTGTTAAAACCCGTCCAGGCTCACATCGACACTGATGGAGTTAAGTGCCGGGATTTTTCCACTTTGAAGCCCCGCGGATGCCGTTGCGTGACGAGACAGTAGACGGTTAGCTCCCCACTTGTATCATATAGGACAATTTCATTGTCCGCCTATTTCGCTAACACTCCACAGTTGGCCCACCGGCGACGAAGTCATCGATCTGGACATTTAAAGACCTCGAGCCCATTTCTTTCCGTCGCCTCCGAGAATATATCAGACCATCATCCTCGACGATCAAAACCACATTCAATCTCCACTCCCAAATCAAACACCTCAAACACGTTAGCTTCAACCTCGATAAACACGTTCAAGATGACAGGAAAGTTCTCAACCATCGACCCTCGAAAGTGTGATTACTATGCGGGATTCATGAAGCACCTCACGCTGCCGCAAGCAAATGCAATCTTTTGGTGTCTGTTCATTCTCGTGCTTGGTATGATGTTTATATCTTCATGGCAACATCACCGGTAAGATCTCGCTAGGATTCTCACTACGATCCGTTCATATACATCCTCTTGAGCATCAACTGATATCACATGACAGATCCAACTCCCTCCTCGACCTCGAAAAAGGAATGGATCCCAAACAAGTCAACTCCGAAGAACACAAAGAACACGTCTTCCGCCAGCGCCGAGGATATTTCTGTATCGTCTTCCTTTGCTTCGTTCTCTCCTTCGTCTGTATCGTCTTCGAATGCTTCGCCCTCTTCAACATCGAATTCTGCGATGGTGAGGATCTCACTCAGATGTACTGGGGATTCTGGTCCATCCTTCAAGTCGGAAGTCTCATCGCCATCGGAGGTGTCCTCTTACAATTCTGGATCATCCTCAGCGGTGTCGGTACTCCTCCCTGGGCCGTTGCTCTAGGCACTCCTGTTCTGGTCTTCGCTGCTCTCGGATGGATGTTCAAGCATATCTCCGACGCTTTCTGGGCACGCTTCCGCAATCGATACTGTAATCGTGAAGAAAACCGTACCAACAACCATGACGAAGAGAAAGCCGAAGAAGAATACGTCAACAAATGGATGAGCAGAGCGTAAGTCCCTTCCCTCCACCCTTTGCATCTCAAACTAACAACCTCTTCAGTCCAACCCTCGTCCCCACCTCCAGCGAAGAACTCGTCGAATCTCCACCACGCCCCAAGCGCACAGTTACCATGTAACACGCCCCTCCTGTCTCACGATTTTATGAATTTATGAATATATATCGGTGTCACCGAGCCGGTTTTCCTTTTCTCTTGTTTCCCGACATTTTGCTCAAGTGCTGAGCTTGCATGGTGGATATATTAGGGTTTCACAGGCGTATGATGGAATAGGGAATGGGACTGCAGCGATTTAGCATGCAAAGCAAGCGTATGGAGATGAGATTTTGCAGAGTGAGAGGGGATAGATGTTAGATTAGAGGTTCTAACCAGAGACCATGGTTATATAAATAGTATATTGTGATAGCTATCAAAGCGGAGTTTGTTGTCTCATATCAGCAGTTCCACTATGCAGATTTTCATTTTCTCGTGCTATTTTACACAATCTCCTTCAATTTCCCAGAGATAAAAAGCCAAGAACATGCTTCCATCTCATCACCTTCCATCGAATCAACGTCTCCAATCCGCATTGCCTCAATCACAATAGCGCATACCAACCAACTGACAAACTCAGCTTTGCTGTCATAGTCCTGCCATTGCTTTAGATGATACACTCCCCGCCCTTTCACAGATGATCAGAGGAAACATCTTGGACTCATCTCACTACAAGTGTAATGTCTCGCATCGCGTCGATATTTATGATTTTGTGATTTAATTTCTTTACTCTGTATAGCATCACGAATGTCTTTGAAATGAAAGGTATTGTACTCATCTCAGAAGGAGGAGATAAGATGTGGAACTGGAGTTGAGTCACTGGAATCGTTTCGAATTATGCGATCGGCTTCGGGAGTGAGAGGGGTTGAGGAGCTGAGAAGATCAGAAGTTTTGACTGAGAAAGAGGTAATTTGGCTACGTAAATGGATCTGAAGATTTAGTTTCTGAGGGCTGAGTGAGAGTTTGTTCTTATTTCGGTGAGGTGGAAAGAGGCGGTTTGTTTGGAGGAGTGGATAATCAAGCGTGGGAAAGGATGGGTGGATTGGTGAAGGAATGGACTGATTTGGGTGTACAATTTAATTTGACGGAACTCTCTGGGTTGATTTAATGACTATGGTATAGGTGGTTGAGACGGTATGATCACGGTATCGGGTAAAGCTATTTTGTTCTTTAAACAATGTGTTCTCATTTCACTTCTGCTTCTTGTATGTAGGAATTACACTTATTAAGTAAAGAACTACAACACAAACCCCGAAAACATCAAGGCCACCAAGCAAGACGAAGTTTCCCAAGCAAGCCCAAAAGCCTTCCAACTTCTATTCCGTAACCTCATCACCAGCATCTCCCCAAATATAACACACATAAAAAACTCCGCTCCTTACCGCACGAACCAAATCCAAACAGATATAGCCCCTTACCCGAGCACAACATCTCAAATCCGGGGAAAACAATATATCAGTAATGAACTTCCCCAGATTCTTCAATGGCTTTGTTCCCGAACTGCCGTCATCGAAGGCGCAAGTTTAGCGATACAGTACTGCCACGCACCCAAGATTCCAAGGACGTGTCCAAGAGAAGGCAATTGCTTGAGGGACCCTGTGCTTGAATTATCCACAGAATTATCCTGAGAGGAAGGCTTGTAGGACTTCCATATTCCCGTCCGTACCGACATGTTCCCCCCTATTCCTATGGCAGACTCAGAAAGCCGATAGCAGAACCATATGCACATCTGACATCCACACTGCCGCACCCTCAACCGGTATCGTGCAACCTGCCATCGCGGCTTTCACACCGAGTACACCGTCTACGCACCGGCCCCCGTCATAAATAAACCCCGAACAAACCACCCTTCTTGCCCAGAAAGAACGCGCAACATCCGCAGATCCCTTTGATGGAGAATGGTTTCTCCGCCATGATCACTCTCATATCCCCTATGTATCCACTACCTTATCTCTGGCGCCTCATTGTGTCGAATTCGGCACAAAAAAAGAGTGTGACAGGCATAAGCCTTATGGATTCAAAGAGACGGCGGCTTGGACGTGCTTGGATACATGACTTGGCTGGTCGGAGGCTTATATAGAGAGATGGTTGTGGATTTAGCCGGGAGGGTGGAGGGGTGTTTTGCCGGTTGGTGGAGGTGGGTTCTAGATTTGTTGAGTTGGCGATGATGGCGTCGAGATGGATTCGTCTTGATTATTGAGATGTCTGTTGTCCTTGTTGTTTGTTACCCCCACGAACTACTCGGATGATTTACACAAGGGTGCTCTGTCAGGGGTGGCAGATCTTGAAACATTTGAGATTATCGCAGGGCTTGGAGGGAAGGATGATGACATGCTGCTGATTTTCAGGTTGTTGTTGTCGCGTTTCCCGGTGATGTTTTGTACAGAAAGTTCGAGTGTTGTTGTTTCTGCCAAGAGAGGCTTTTCTCTGCAGTGTCTGACCGGTATTTGCTTTTTCTTCGTCGTCGGCATACCATTACTCGAGTATCCCTGGGTCACCGCTTCTTCCTCATCTCCTATGTCTCCTTCTTGTGTGTGCCCCTATCTCTCCAGCCTCAAACTCGCTTCTATCCCCCATGATATCCAGTTCTCTTCTAACCCTTTGTAGCTCAACTCCTCCATGTGCCCTCTTCCACCTCCACTCTCCTCCTCCACCCCACTGCCCCCTCTCCTCTCCATAACCCTCCGCCTCCTAAACCCATCGGAACCCCACTGTACGGGCGTAAGAGGCGCCGGGGCTTCCACCGCCTGCATATCGCCAAGTCAGCCATCCTGCAGCAAGCGGGAGGCGCTCTCGCCAAGCAGGGAGGGAGAAATGCCGGAAGCGGGGCGAGACTTCGCGTCTGGGTGGGCGTGATTGGCGATGATTGGGTAAAGAAAAAGGTGGGGTATGCGGTGGAGTATATATTCCTCTACATGCTACGGAGGAAGAGGAAGAGCAGAGAACAGGTTGAGTTAGTAGACCCAGTTCGTTGCTGTGATGGCTGTAGACGCTCAAGTTCACGTTGCGGGAGGACTAGGCTAGTTTTACGCGCCCCCCTAAGCTCATACATAGGATTATACACCCCCCCTGCTCGCCTTGCTCATTTGGAAATCGGTAGCAGCAATAGAATCGGCAGCAACAGCCTGAAAACCTTCTCGTCCGACTTACTGCTGTCGTTTTCTGCTTTACTTGCGAAAGCTAGAGGCGGGTGACCAATGAGCGAGGCGGGAATCAGCCCAGAAAGCCTCTGGAATGGATAAGGGTGGATCCTGTGGAGTCCATAGTTGTTTCTTTTCAACATGTGATTGTCTGTGAAGCTTCAGGGGCTGTACAGGAGATTTGCTGATTATATACTTGGGATTGCTCAATGTTTTATCATCATGGAAGATCATAGGTGAAGTTATTTTAATACTGAGGCTGTACAAAATTCGCACCGGACAGCACTACGCCATTCCCCAAAAATCCATCTTGATCTCCCATAATCCTCAGGCACCTCCATCTGGCTTCTAGATATATATATATCTGCCTCCTCTCTCTCTATCTCTTCCCAAACGAAGCAGAAATTTCGCAACCCAGCGACCTCCTCCTCTGCGTAGTCGTGATCTATCACACAATCTCCATTTACTCGACGTTCTTCAATGCATTTCCATGTCTCGAACCTCCCATAACACTGTGATTCCCCTGCCATTCGTACATCAGACTATATGGTCCCCCGCGCCCCAGAATCGGTGACAATTAAACAGTCAGCAGCAATTCCGCAAACGGCGGTATCTCTGTCGCCATCAGAACAGCTCCCGATAGTCTCATCGACAATCTATAGTTTCTGGTAGAACGTAAAAAAATATCCTTGGCCGCACGAAGTGTGGTTATAGCGTAGAAGCAGCGCACAACAAGCCGCCGGTCATTTTCTTCCTCTGCAACTGACTTGTAAGTTAACAGGAGGGAAAGGGAGGGGGAAAGTGTTTTTATAGAGATCGGAAGTGGGGATTTGCAACGGTCGTCAGATGGTGATTGGGTGGATGGTGTGATTGGGAATTTGAGTTAAGGGTGAAGATGATGTTGGAATATGACAAGCGATTATTTAGATTAATACATGGAATGTTAGAGATGCCGAATATAGTTTTCGAAAGTTAAGAAATTTAAGAAACCCCCTCAAGTCTCTTTCAAAACTGTGCACTCTATTATTTCTTATATTGATAACTTTAGGCTCTTGATATACCATCTGTCTGCTGTTAGACTGCTAATTAAACCTTCTTGCTTTTGGAGAGACTTGGCTCGATCTCCTAAATGATTTATATATGCCCTCTACAGGAGTTCATGGTGAGCTATGTGTGTTACAAATTAATATACTTACGACTGGTTGTAATACATGCTTATCTTCGTTGCCCTCCATTCCATCCCTTGTAAGCCACAACATTCCCCTTACCGAACCCACCAAATCGCAAATAAACCGGAGTCTCATATCACCAACAACCTCGTGTAGAGCTGCAGAAGTCTTGACCTCCCTATTTTGACCACGAAGCTCCCGATATCTCCAGCGGTCACAAGCGTTTCAATAACACAACTTCAACTAATGTCAGACTGTATAGACATTCCGCCTACATAGCATGCCGCAGAATGCACTCCACCACCCAGTACTTAGTCTATAACTTCCTAAGTGCTGAAAACATGCACTCGGTGACCTCGGGAAATGGCAACATAGGAGTTGTGCTCTCCGCCTATACAAGCAGTAAACAAACAATCAGAACAAGCACAACCCAAACAAGTAGCGAGTATAGAAGGGCCGCAAGAAGCACGTTCTACGCTAACACAAGTCGCAGATATACAATTGAAACAAGCGCCTTTCCATTTACCTTATACTTTGAATCTCAAACACCACACCCATTGCCCGAACTCCTGAATGCGTAACGAGAATTCCTTCCTTCCGAACAACAAGCAGAAGCCAAGCTGTAACGATATGTATTACAAGAGTCTTCTGCCACCCTAGACACCGCACATATCCGATTCGGATATAGCAAATTCCCTAGAAGCGCAGGAGACATATCTTCCGCCAGTAAATCATATTCGAACAAGTACAAAGTATACTCGCGCCAACGGCCATCGAA